TCTTCTTTTAAATTATTCTTGTGGGCTTCATTGGGTCCTTTGGCATAGTTTATCTTCATTTTGTTGGAGTCTGGATCTGAGTATCTGTTTTCTTCATTCCCCTCTGGTTCCTGTACTAATTTTTTGCTGTGGGGAAACTGGTTTCCCTGTTTTTTCTGTCTTCCCGTCATTGTCTTTGGTGTTGTTACTGTCCCTGTACTGTGTGCAATTAAGTATTTTCTAGCTTGTAATAATAACAATGGTAATATTTAGAATGGAAGGGTGAGCTGAGATGGAAAGCAAGAAGTTAAAGAAAAGGGAAAACAAATACACAGACAAGAGAGAAAACAGAACAAGGATCAGACAAGAAGTTTCAAAGGTATAAACAGGGAGGTTAGTGTACTAATGACAGTAAGCTGAACAGCATTAGAGAGACAGAGAGAGGATTGAAAATCAAAAATAAAAAAATAAAGATAAGAATAAAAATAAAAAATAAGTAAATGAAAGAAATGTCTACATATAGAAATGAATTAAAATAAAATGGAAAATAGAAAATTAAAAAAAAAAAAAAAACCAAAAAACCTCCAAGTTCAAATGCAATGAAGTTTCAGTCTTAATAATTTGGGTGTCCATCTCAGTCTCCAGTCCTGGAGATGGTGCCTCAGATGTTGTTCTGTAGTTGTCTCATCAAAGGGGATGCATAAAGTAGAACAAAACTACACACACACAAAAAAAAAAAAAAACCCCACCAAGTGTCTCAAGTTCAAATGCAATACAGTTTCAGTAAGTTTTTCCACTTGCAGGTGTAATTTGGTTGTTCTCTCATCAAAGGTAGGAAGAAAAAGAAAAAAAAGAGCATCTGGAGACAGTTCTGAGAATGGTATCTGCAGCTGTGGCTTGCCTGCCAGCTGCTGTCAGCCTGCTGTTGCTGGAGGCGTTATTTATGCAGATCTCTGGGGTGAGCTTAGCACTCACCTGGTCCTGCAGGCTTTGTTTACTCAGAGTTCTCCTGTGCGGGAGCCTTTGCTACAGGCTTTCCCTTTGCCAAGCACTGGGAAGGGTGACACTGCACCCGCGTTTTCAGGCCTGCGTGTTTATTTACAGTTCATGTGGAAGGTGGGTCTTCCCGCCTTCCTGTGGAGTTTTCCTCCCACTGCCACTTTCACAAGCTTTCCTGCTCCTGATTACTGGGTGGTGCTGCTGCTCCTGCCAGCCGCCATGTTTGTTTACAGTTCACATGGGAAGTGGGTCTTCCCTCCTCTCCTGTGGAGTTTTCCTCCCTCCGCCACTCTCACCAGCTTTCCCGCTTCTGGTTGCTGGGTGCATGCCCCACCCCCACTCCAGCCAGAGCCTCTCCGGCCTTCCCGGCTTGTTTATTTACAGTCCCGGGATGGATTCCCTTCCCCCAATCTTCGGCGCTCAGTGCGCCCCACCCTCTTTCCCGCGTGTCTTTATTGTTCTTATTGCTTATTACTCAGTTTCTCTTTTTTCCCCGGGTGGAGGTCAGTCTGTCCAGGGGGCTATGCTGCTCTGGCCCAGGCTTGTCTGTGGGAGTACCGCGGTATGGCGAAGCTCACTTGGTCCGTGTCTTCCCAAGCCATCTGGGCAGGGGTGACTGGCACCCGGGGGCCCTCCTGGTTTCTCAGTTTAACGTGAAGTGGAGATTCTCTGCGCTGGCTGGAAGTGTGGAGGGGTCAAAGTTATGCCTCTTCTCAGTGATTATGCCTGCAAAGTGTGTCTCCAGCATCTCTTCAAAATTTCACTATAGGAGGCTCGCTTTCTGCTTTCTCCCTCTAGCTGCCATCTTGGAATCTTCGGTTAATTCTTCTTGATCTAACCTTTTCTCTAGTTCCTGGTCCCTTCTCCTATTGGCCTCAGTTGCTTTTAAGGTATCTGCTTTAGTTTCTCTGCATTGAAGGCAACAAATGGTAGCTAATTTTTTAGGTGTCTTACCTATCCTCACCCCTCCCTTGTGTGCACTCGCTTTTATCTTGTGCTCTGTGGGTGTTCTCTTCAGTTTAGAGATCATTTCTTTTGATGAGCAGAAGCTTTTTAGTTTTATGAAGTCCCATTTATCTATGCTATCTCTTAGTTGCTGTGCTGCTGGGGTTCTTACCACCTTTAAAATGAGTAAATGGTGTGGTATGTCAGTTGGATCTTAGTAAAGTTGCTTTAAAAGAATCAAATGGCAGAATCTAAATAATTTTCTTGGTTCTTTATCTTAGATATAAATACTATTAATGACCTGAATATTCTGTGCTTTTTATTAATAGTCTGAACTGGAAGGGAAATGAAAGAGATGAGGAAACTATTTTTAAATAGTTTCAAAATTAACCTAAAATGTTTGCATTTTTGAGAAAAGTAATGGCCTTTCTGTACAAGTTTAATTGAAATCCGTAAACTAAATATACAGATTCTGTGGGCAAGAGTGAGCAAAGAAAATGAAACTGATTATCTGTGCTGGCAGATATAAATTCTGGTTTATATATAAAATCCATAATGTGTTATTTGCCCAGTTATGATCATTTGGAAATTTCTTTTAACAAAAAGTCGTGGGCTGGAAGTGTGCCTCAAGTAGTAGAGCACCTTCCTAGCACCTACAAGGCCCTGAGTTCAAATGTCAGTACTACACACAAAAAACGTTGCTCGTAGAAGAAACTAGTCTGTTTCACGAATATAAATTTTAGGGCTGGCAGAGTGGCTCCGTGCTAGAGTGCCTACCTAACAAGAGTGAGGCCCTGAGTTCAACTACAAAAAAAAAAAAAAAAAAAAGGAAAAATAAAAATTCCAGCCTACTCATCATTTTAAAATATAAAGCAAAAACTTTCCTTCAAAAACAAAACAGGCCTCTGTCTAGCCTGGTGAACTGGCCATTCACTACTAATGAGATACAATAAGCCAACATCTAGAATATTCTTCTTATACTCAGTCATTCCTAATTGTCAACTATGACTCGAATTTCATGCCTCATGTGTGTTACAGAGACTAATATGTGCCATGTGTCCACCACTCACAACCTAAAAAATAGGAATATTTTGCTATATCTAGCTCAGAATATTCTAAAGATCTAAAACATCACCGAAATCATAAAAGTCCTTATCCTGCACATCCATTCTTTTTTCGTCCCCCTTTATGAACAAATTTACTCAAATTGACATGTATCCTGCCTGTTCATGTATTTATACTTTTCTGTATTTGTACATAATCATAAAAAGTGTAAACTAATTTTTTTAGTTTGCATGCATATTATTCCTTTTTTCTCTCTGTTTTATATTAAGATTTTCTTATATTGATATGCATAGCTACAGCTGATTACTTTTACATTTCTGTATAGTATTCCAACACTATGAGCCTTGTGAATGCTAAATATCACAGTGCCACTGACCAATACTTTTTGCTCCCCCAACCCCACGTTGTTAATTTCCCATCCAGACATCCAACACACACCCTTTACGTTTTGTATTAAGGTTTAGTATAAAAAACATTTAGAACTTGGTAGAATCTTAAAGATAATATAGACCACAGGAAATATAGAGGTTGTGCCCTTCCAAAGATGCATAGCCAATCAGTAGAAAAGATGGTATCACAAACCATTTTGTGCTAGATGCCGGTGGCTCACGCCTGTAATCCTAGCTACTTGGGAGGCAGAGATCAGGAGGATCGTGGTTTCGAAGCCAGCCCAGAGCAAATAGTTCACGAGACTCTCTCGAAAATCCCAGCACAGGCTGGTGGAGTGGCTCAAGTGATAGAGCTCCTGCATAGCAAGCGAGAGGCCCTGAGTTCAAACTTCAGTACTGACAAAAGAAAAAAAATCTCATGGTGATACCCAGCACATTGTTCCTTCAACGACTACATACTGACTTTAACTCCATGTTTTGATATGAAACCATCTATATATGAAAGCATTTATCATGAGACCTTCACACGAATAGATTTTGAAATCTTTACGTTCTTTACTGAAACCCAAATCCCAAAGCCCATGTCTTTGTTGAATGGAACAGCAAAGGAGTCTAAGATGGAGCTGCCTGTCTCAGGCTTCTGTGCTCAGGCCTGTCCCTCTCTGTGGCATGCCCTTCCCCTTGCACCTTTACCCAGCTCTCATCCCTCTTCCTTCTGGTGTCTTACGCTTGCCAGTGCCATGTGCCAGTCCTCTGTGCTCTCGGGGCGCCTGCCCGTGCTGCGTCATAGCATTTATCCTACTGTGTGCTGAGTTCACTCTGCAACCAGGCTTGGGAACAGGGTGCTGTCTCTATTAATCTTCGTCACCCAGCTTCGTGGGAAAACTGGGTGAATGAGGAAGGAAGAGGGTAGGGGATGCAGCTGCAAATCCGACTGGAATGATGGACGGCTGACTGCGGAAGGATGCAGACGTTGCTGCTCCACCTTACTGGCAAAGTTACAGGTGAGTCGCGGAATAAAATCTTGTGGGAAACTAGGTCAGGGATTGACTAACCGACGTTCCAAATACTGGAGCTATTTCCACGCGGCTGTGATCACCCACGTCCAATTTCTTTGGACTCCTGCTGTGACTCTTTCTTGTCGCTTTCCTCTTCCTTATTTTCTTATTTCTTCCCAGTGTTTCTTAGGAGGAGAAAGGGATATTTGATTTTTCTTCCCCAGGCGTCCTTTCCTTTTTGTGTCCCTTGTTTTATCCTCAGTAAGAGAATCTACACTGTTGTGTTCTGGGGCTTGCAGTAGAGGGGTGATGGGCGCACCTGATGGCGGGAGTCTGCGCGCTGTAGAGAAATGCCCACTTTGGTACTTGAAAGCCCGGGCCGCTCTACGGCCGCTTTCCCCTGGTCCACCTCAAGGTTGGCCTAGGGCCCAGGGACCGCCCCGGAGTCTCGCGCGGACTAGGGCCCTGGCTCTGCCTCCTGGAGAGCAGCTCCTGATTGGCTCTGGGAGGCCGGCCCTCGGCCAATGAGGCGCGGGGGCGTTGTCCTGGGGCGGGGCCGCGGCCTTCCGCGTGGCGCGCGCTGGGCTCCCTGCTCTCAGCCGCGTCGCTCTGTCTTTCCGCCGCCGCTGCCCTTCCTCCTCCCACCGGCGTCTCCAGGCCTCAAAACCAGGCTGGACATGGCCTTGGCCACCGGGGCAGCAGCAGCAGCAAGAAGGACCCTCAGCTGGTCCTGCTCGCTCCTCCGGCGCGGCTACCAGACGGAGAGGGGCGTCTACGGCTGCCCGCCAAAGAAGACCGACAGCCGCGAGCCCCGGGGCGGCCCCGCGCGCCCCCCAGGTCGGGGACGGGAATGGGGGTGCGAGGGGCTCCAGGCGTGTTGGGGGCCGGGAGTCCGGCGCTGGCCTTGTGTGGGTGCAGCCGTGGGGAGGAAGTGGGGAGGGGACAGGGGGAGACGGACGTGGGTGTCGTCTCGCCCCCTCCCCCGCCGCTTAGCATCTACAGGTGGGGGGTCCTCCAGGTCGGGGTCTCAGCTTTGGCTCCACGCGTGGGTGGTCTCCCATCTTCGAGTTGGGTCCTGATTTGGGGAGGGCTTATCTTTTCTATCCGACGTCCATAAGCGTGCAGGCATTTAGCTCGGCGAGGCGGGGCAGTGGGAGAAGTTCTAGGATGGCCCAGTTCACTCCAGCATAGGCTTCCAGGGCGTCTCGGACTAAAGTGCGCATGGAGAAGTTCGGTAAAGTCTGCAGCTCGCCAGAACAGGCCAGTTCTTCGTGGTCTTACACGACGGTGTCTCTCACCCAGCGCCCTTCGCTGAACTGCGGAGTTTGAACTGCTGCACCTAGAACCGTGTTGCTGGTCGTTTCAATGGATTAGCAGATAGGAGCATCAGTTTGTGGAATCTCTGTTGCAAGGCCATGTGTATGAGACTGATTTTAAGCTCTGAAGTTATTGTGTCTTCATTCGTCCTCATAGAGTAGACGATGGATGCAAACTGATTATTAGGCAAAAACATTTGGCATCTTTGAATCAAAGATTAGATGAATGTGGACGATCCCCTTCACTGTGCAAGCACTTGACTTTTGAATCTTACATCAGGCACTAGAACTTGTTTTGCTCTCCACCTCATTTCTCTGTTTCGTATAATGGAGTTTCTGTGCCCTGAGATCAGAAAGAGGACATCCTTTCAACAAGGCTGAATTTCCCTCCACCACTAGACCTTTGACTATTATATCGTGCACTGGAACTCGGTGTTTTTCTTCACCTTAGGAGACATTTAAAATAAACGTCATTTTTCTCTCTTGCATGCAGTGAGGTTTATTTAGGAAAGGCATTTTGACCAAGTAGATTATTAGTCATTTTAACCTAAGTCTTGATAAGTTGCTGTTTCACTTAGCAAATTGAGTGTCTATAATTTATTTTCCCCTGTGTTGGGGATTGAACCCTTGGTGTTCCCTACCACTGAGCCACTCCTCCAGCCTTCTAGAATTTATGTCAATTGCTTTCAAACTTAAATGTGCTTTAATAGGGTTTCAATGTTTAAAGTGCTAGTTCTCAGCTCTGGGTCCTTTTCTCTCTCTCAGGTTTTAATTTGGTGATCTGAGATGAGGTTCAGGAATATGAGTGTTTTCTTCTTTCTTTTTGCTGTGTTGAGCTTAAGCCAAGAGCCTCATGCATGCGAGGCAAGACCAAGTCCAGGAATATGTGTTTTTTTTTTATCAGGTATCCTAGATGATTCTGTAGCAGGAAGTCAGTGTCTTCCCTTGGTCAACTCTGTTCCAGTCATAAGGGATGTATGCACAGGACAAATTTGACAATGCCTTTTTCATTTGATGTCACGTTAGTGAGTGCTCAATGCTAAGCTATTGTGGTCTCTCTCAGGAAGGTTTCTATTTGATTCCTGTTAACAGCTTGGCAACTGAGAATTAACTTGACTTGGGAAAACCTAGGCTGGTAGTTCTTAATCGCAGATGATCAGATATCATCTTGGGAGCTTTGGCAAAATGTTCCTGGCACTGATTTTATATATATCTTCCTTTCTTTTCCCTCATCACCAAATGGCTTCTCAGTACCTCACTAGTAGTGAACATTCTGTACTGTGAGGTGCTTGGTGAAACCTGAAAAGTTCAATATTGAGGGCTTGTGGTGTGAATTAAGTAATAGAGTCCCTGCCCTATAAGAATGAAGCCCTGAATTTAAAACCTAGTACTGCAAACAAAACAAAACAAAAAACAGAATTGAATTTCAACTGCAGGTCAGGAATGGGGAAGGACAAGAAAAATCAATGTCGGAAACAGTTGTTTGTGTCATAGTTGTAGGATTGACTTAAGGAATTTTACTGAGAAGGGGTAATAACTTCATTTGTTTTTTAAAAATAAATAAAACTTAAAAGCTAATGGGATAATTTTTCTAAATTACCCTTGTATGTAGATTGGTGCAAGTTTTTCTTCTTTCTGTTTTAGAAATTCATTTTTCCAGAACTCTTTTTGTAAATTATTATCTCCTACTAGGCTGTGGAAGAAAGGGGAGAGGAGAGTTACATATGTGACTTACAGTAGCAGAACTAGCCCAGAACTTGGTCGGTATCTACACATATTTGCAAGAGAGACTGGAAAGCATAGCCTTTATTCAGGGTGGCCAGGGACCAGCTGGAAATGATCTTGAGTCAACGGGAAAACAGGTAGTAATGGCACCACATGCCACCTCTTTACTACTGAAATGTTTTAAGTTTTTCTTCTCATATGTATTCACCTCTTTTCTGAATCTGGCTCCAAGTCATTGTCTCTGGAGAATGTGCATTCTTCATTAGGACTGGCTGTGGTTCCTAAGGGTTTATAATTTTTTTCAAAGGAGGAATGATTTATTTTGGCTCCTGGTTTGAACTTTCAGTCCGTGGTCACTTGGTCCTTCACGAGGCCCAACACCATGGTGGGGAGAGAATGGGTAGAGCAAAGCTAGTAGGGAAGAAGGGAAGGAAGGAAGAAAGAGAGAGAGGGGAGAAAGGAGAGGAAGTGAGGCTTTTTTGCAGGAAATTTAATATCCAATTCCAATAATATGAGACATTGGATGGGTTGTATAATCTTTGTGTAACCTTTTCTTTTCAGCTTCTGCCTCTTTGTCTTCTGTCCTACTTCTGAGAGGTAGCTTCAACTTTACTTTCAAATATTCCAGTTTTTGCTAGCAACTTTTTAATTTCAAGGAGCTATTATCTTTCTGAATTGTTTCTTTTTATGGTGGTGTAGTCTTTTTTTAATGGTGTATTTTTGACCGTTAAAATGGTATTATTATTGACTATTAAAATTTTTTCATCTTGCATACTCATAGTTCATGAAGATTCTTTCCCATTGTTTTAATTTCTGTCTTTAGATTAGAAGGTCTCTTCAGATGTCTGGTAGTCCTCAGTTTTCTGCTTTTGTGTATCAGAGGCTCTTAACATGTGGACTGGGCTAGTGTACCCTGAACTGCTCTGTAGATTTGGCTGGAATGGCAGGTGAGAAATCCTGTTATTATCATCTTGAGGTCAGTTTTCCAGAGGATTGGTCAGTCTCCACAGAGAAGATTCTCCTAGTCTCCTACCTGAAGGATCCAGAGTTGGCTGCTAGCATTTGAGGAGCTAAGTATAGGACAAGGGATGGGACAAACATTCACTTCTTCACATAATCCCCAGTCTTTGCTATGATACCACTGTCCTTAATATCTTTGTATCCCTCTTGCCAGACAGCCAGAGATCCTCTGTTTTATCCTGTCCAGCAATAAAATTCTAGATGTCTGCCTTGGTAGTAGTAGACGTCAGATGCCCTAAGTTGCATCAAGTTCTCATTTTGGCCCTTACTCCTGGTCATCAACACCAGAGGAGTATTCTTCAGGGTTAATTTTGTTCTTAGTGTTCCCTACTGTCAGTTCAGGATTCAGTTTTTCTTCTAGTGCCCAAAATGGCGTTTTCTTGTCTCCTTTTTTGTTCTTCCTGCCCTTGTGAACTTATGCTGTTTTGAAAGCTTGGAAGTTCAAGATCAAGATGCTGGCAGGTTTTGTATCTGGTGAGGGCCAATGGTGCCACCTAAGTATACTCACATGGCAGAAGCCAGGGTCTGGAGTTTTATGAACCACTACCCACTCCATATATACACAGTCCATATTCAGTTACAGGTGTGTTGTTTGTTTGTTTGTTTGCTTTTCTGGCCAGAGTTAGGATTTCTTTGACAGAAATCCTAACATAAACTTCTCTGAAGTCTCTGTTTCTGATAATTCCATGAGCAGCTGCCATAGTCAAAAATCTCATCCAGCTAGGTTTTACGCCTGAGAAGTTTGATCTTTTATTTTCTACCACTCTGCCTTATGGTGCTCTCCAAATTTAATGGTGTTGACCTTGAGACTTTCTGAATAATAGGCTCTAATGTGAAGGCAACATCTTTTATTTGATTTTTAAGACTAAGTTAGCTCCCATTATCTTAAAAAAAAAAAAAAGCTACTAGCCAGTACTATATCTGAAGAAGGGTTGAGTTGAGTCCAGTAAGTCAGACTTTTTGGGACAACTTCTTCTGTTTTTATTTTATTTTTGTTGCTGGAGAGTGAACTCAGGGCCTCATGCCTCTTGGGCAAGTGTTCTACCATGGAATTACACCCTCAGGCTGGAATCTCCTAGTGCTTCTCATTTTTTAATTTTGCCAGGCTCTTTTTCTAGGCTCTGAGACCACAGACAGAGAGTCCATCATGTTAGCAGGCTGAATTTCCCTCCATCTCTGCTGGCTAATTAAGTAGCTCCAACGTGACTTCATGTTTCTTCCTAAGAAAGAGAAATAGGCTCTGTCTATGTAACTCATTTGTGACATTTAGAACATTTGAATTTTACAGGTTCAAATAGTATACTAAGTATCAAGAAGCCATATATATGTATATATACATGTATGTATATAAATAATTTCAATGCATTATCATATATATAATCATATATATGATATATGTCATATATATACGCATATATATATACACACATATATATACATATATATACATACATACATATATACATATACATATACATACAAATATGGGATAACGACTATAGTTAAGCTTTTTGCTTCTGGGGTTTTCCTTAAATTCTGCATAAGTGTCTATGCTTATGGTTAATTCTTTTTTTTTTTTTTTATGCTACTAGGGCTTGAGTTCAGGGCCGACACCTTGAGCCACTCTACCAGCCCCTTTTTGTGATGATTTTTTCCGAGATAAGGTCTCTGCCTCCTGAGTACCTAGGATTACAGGCATGAGCCACTGGTGCCTGTAATCCTAGGTGGTTAATTCTTTTAATTAGGAGTCCAATGAGGTGAAGAACATGGTATGAATGGCTTTAGTCTTTTTCATGACATCTTCTAGTTGTCGTGACAGGTACCATCTTGGTCAAGAATAAAGAGTTACTATGATGGATCATATGCATAACATTTTGGCATTGACAAAGTAAATTAAAGGACAAACCCTCCTGGAAATGGACACATCAAAAGTGACACAGTGCCATAATCCCAGCACTCGGGAGGTATAGGCAGGAGGATTCAGAGGTCGAGCCAGCCTTGGCTACGTAGTGAAACCCTGTTTTTTAAAAAAAAAAAGGGACACATAGTGGGAGGAGTATAGTTAAAGTCCTGGAGCCTCCCTACTCTTCCTTGCCTTCACTGGCCTCCCTTCTTATCTTGGTTAGAATCATTGCTTACCTAGGATGACCACATCATCCACTAAGACTGCCCTTGCATTAAGACTAAGGCAAATACTGGATTTGCTTTTAGTTACCTTTTGCATAGCAATGATTTTACTTAGTTAAACTTTGACCCACGATGTGTTCTTTGTAGCTAGCTGTTGATAATGGCTTATACTTTAACCTCTACAAAATTTCAGCTGCCAAGTAAACTTGAATTACTTGCTTATTTATTTTGATATTGGGGATGGAACTTAGTGTCTCATGTGTTAAATTTGAATTTATTTATCAAAAATCCCAATTTACAATGGGTGCGGGTTTAGGAATGGTGACTCGTGTATAAATTTCATCATTGAGGATTTGGGGCTGCTAGTATAAAAAAAAAAGACAGTATTTAGAGACCATCATGAGATGGAAACCATTGGATTCCAAACTATGCTCAGTTATTACTAGCTCTGTCACTGAGCTTTGGTAGTTGAAGTCAGGTTGTGGGAATGTTGTACATTGGAAGTAACAGGAGTTACAATAATAGGAGTTGTAAGGAAATAGTTTGAAGAAAATCTGAATATATTAGAGGTTTTCAAAAATACAGAAAATTAAATTCTGGAACACAAATGCAGACCAAAAAAGTATAATACTTTAGCTCTAATACTTTAAAAAAAGTCTTAATGACATATAGTTCCTTCTGACTTTTGCGATAGGGTCATTACTTTTCTTCTTTGTTTCATATTGGGGTTTGATCTGGGGTTTGATTGCTAGGCAGGTGCTCTACTGCTTGAGCTTCACTTCTAGCCCAAGACATCCTTTTTTTTCATCTTTTTTTGTGTTTTGATGGATAAAGGGATGGAGATTTGGGTCAGTGTTAGAGCACCTGGTTAGAATGCACAAGGCTCTGGGGCTTAGTCCCCTGCGTGGCCATATGTGTTGTGTGTGTGTGTGTGTGTGTGTAAAATGGATGAAACACTGGATTGAAGTCAAATTTGTGCTCAAATTCCAACTTCATTATTACCAATGTTGTCTATTACTACAAGTCCTTAAACTTTTTTGAGCCTCTGTTTACCCTTATATAGATAATGTCACTCATTTCAGAGTTGTTGCAAAGATTAGGTAAGACAGTGTGTATGAAAAAATTCAACCCAGTGTGTAGCAAAATTTAGTAGTAAATGGTCACCATTATTATTATATATCTGTGACTCTTATATATTGAGGTTATGATTTAAGAAAGATTAGGAAAGAACTGAAAGGACCAGAGCAAATGTTCTACTTAAAGTTTTTTTTTTTTAACAAGAAAAATATCTCATGAAATAAATGTACTTTAGGAAGCTATCATGTTTGTGATGGGAATGCAAGATATGATAAAAGACAAATGGAGTTGCATGGCGTGGAGCTCTCTGAGTTACCATTCAGAATGTAGTATTCTGCTGTGAAGTCATTTAACCTTTAATGTGTTTACACATGAAGTTCCTGAAGTGAACTTGGAGGTAGCCTACTCATCTGAGAACGCTCGAAGGGACTCTAGTTATGAAATCACCATTCTTGGAAGTGTTTAATGTGTTTGTAGATATCCAGCATTCCCCCACTTGCTTTAAGCCTATGCTGCCTCGAATGATAATGGATCTGTGGATATGGTCTAGATTATTTTGTAGGGGAGGCTGTTTGTTATAAGATGATGAAAAACAACTACATCAACTTTTAATTTAAATACCAAGTTTAGTTTAAGTTACCTGGCAGTGTACTATATGCAGACTAACATGAACATTTTCCTTTCTGAAAACAGAAAACTAATCAGCGTTCCTCACCACTGTTTGCTTATAGCAGAGTATAAAGTAGTTGATGTAGATATGTACATATTTTTTACATAACTACTATTTTTTTTGCATTAGCTGCATTTATTTTGGTCACAAGCAACAGAAACACTCTGGCTATCTTAAAGAGAGACTTTATCAGAAATACACAAGAGTGTCTAACTCCAACGATGTATTGAACAACCAAGATTCAGGAAGGGAGCAAACCAGAGCCACCTCTGAGAATTTTGACATGAAATGGGTTCACCTAACTGCTGCATTGGTGCAAGCTAATCAGTACACTCCTGGTACTTTGGAAGTATATAGACTACAAACCCAAGTGCATACATGCCTCTAAAATCATTCCATGGCAGTACTTGTTGGTAAAATAGACATTTGAAGTTTCAACATATGCTAATAATTTTGTTGAGATCCTGAAAATAAAAATAAAAATATAAAAAAATCCTCAAAATATATATGTCCTCAATTATAGATCTGCTGATCTTTAGGGATTTGTATAAGAATTCATCAATAGACTGAAGGTTAATTAAGTATGGGCATTAAGCATTTTTTCAAATTTTACAAGGGTTTTCAAATGGAAAAGGAAAGAAAAGTAGCTTTTGCTTAATATGAAATAGTTGAAGATAGAGTTGGAGTCATTAAAAGATCTGATGGCCAATCACTCATCTATGGTATTTTGTTTTGTTTTGCTTATGTGGGTGACAAGATAATGAAGGTCTTTTTTTAGTCTATAGTTTTATAAAATAACTATGTACCTGAGGTCTTCAAGAAACAAGGAAATGTAATATTGATTTTGTAGTTTTATCTCTTTTTAACACAAGATACAAGATCTAAAAATATCTCAGATAACTAGCTGAGAATAATTACTATATCTGTAATCTCAGCATAGTAATAGTATTTTCTCTGTCTTTTTTTTTTTTGGCAGTACTGGGGTTTGAACTCAGGTCCTACACTTTGAGCCATTCTGCCAGCCCTTTTTTTGTGTTGGGTTTTTTTGAGATAGGGTCTTGTGAACTATTTGCTCAGGGGGCTGGCTTTGAACCATGATCCTCCTGATCTTTGCTTCTTGAGTAGCTAGGATTATAGGAGTGAGCCACTGGCACCTGGTTTTGTACTAGTATTTTCAATTTTGGGTATTCTTTCAAATATTTATCCACATGTATAGTTACTTTTACAAATGTGTATTTATTGTCTAATTTCCTTTTTTATGGACTTCAGCTATCATAAGATAAATTTAAGGATAGTATTTAATTCTGAAAACCATCAGCAGACATGGTGAGAAGAAACAATGTGTTAAAAACATCTAAAGTCACAATGTCTTTTTTTGAAAGGCTGACTCTTATAGCTTGTGGACATCTCCTTAATTGTATTGTTTTGTTTCCCCCTTATTTAGTTGATCATGGTCTTGCCAGGTTGGTGACAGTATATTGTGAGCATGGTCACAAAGCTGCCCAAATCAACCCCCTCTTCACTGGACAAGCCCTCTTGGACAACGTGCCTGAAATCCAAGACCTTGTGCAGACGCTGCAGGGGCCCTTCACCACCACAGGTGAGGTGATACTTGGGCACCTTGCTCTGTTTTTTGTTTTTATTTTTTGGTGGTACTGGGGTTTGAACTCAGGACCTCACACTTGCTGGGCAGATATTCTACCACGTGAGCCACTTCACCAGCCCTGTTTTGGTGATGGGGTTTTTTTCAAGATAGGGTCTCGAGAACTATTTGCCCAGGGCTGGCTTAGAACCCCGATTCTCCTGGTCTCTGCCTCCCGATTAGCTAGGTTTATAGGTTCCTGCCTCTTGCCCTCTTCTTGAAGAACCCATAAGCCCACTGGAGCTGAGGCTTGTGTAGGGTGTGAAGAGAAAGAGGGGCATATTTAGTTTTCCTCAGGGAGGAGCAGACTTGAGGCTCTGGAATGTTCTTCTGATAGGCTTATTTCTTGTTTGTTTAGAAACGTGTTAAATTCTTGTTAAATGCCACACAGTTGACAATATTCTGTCATTTTTACAGTTACTCCTAAGAGTTGTTGTTGTTATGTTTATTTTACAGATGGGGAAACCTAGACTGAGAGGACTTAAGTGACTTGTAGCAGAGTTAGTGTGCAGCCTAGGTCTGCTTCTCTGCTTCCATTCCAAAGCTGGCACCCTCAAATTATTATTATTATTATTTTGCAGTGCTAAGTATGGAACCCAGAGCCTTGTGCATGCCAGACTAGTGCTCTACCACTGAGCTACATCCCCAGCCAAAAGGGTTCAAATTTTAATTTTAAATTATTATAGAATGCAAACTTGGCATTAGAGCAGTAGGGTTGTGTCCTTGTTAAAAAAGTTTTTTTTTTTTTTTTTTTTTTTTTTCTGTCTCTCTCCTAGTTTTACTGCTTCCTGGTCTTTGTATTTTTAGTTTTGTCTTTAGAACAATCTAAACAAAACGGGTGTTGTAGATCAGTGGTAAAGCACTTGACTATCTTGTGTGAGTCCCTGAGTTCCATTCCCCAGCTCCATACACACACAAAAATGTTAAATTTGTTAATAATGAAGTGCCCTGAGTTGAAGTAGTTATTTTGGTATATTTCAGAATTAATTTTTTGCATGGTTGATTATTCTTTGAAAAGATCCCTTTGATTCTGTTTCATAGGATTATTGAACATGGGCAAGGAAGAGGCCTCTCTTGAGGAAGTATTAGCCTATCTGAACCAAGTCTACTGTGGGCCAATTTCTATTGAAACTGCTCAACTTCAGAGTCAGGAGGAGAAAGACTGGTTTGCCAGGCGGTTTGAGGAGCTGAAAAAAGAGACATTTACCACAGAAGAACGAAAACATCTGTCAAAACTAATGCTAGAATCTCAGGTATTAAAACAGCAGCTTGTATCTGTGGAATGGTCAACTCACTTTCTCAAAGTATCCCTGCTGTCAGTATACTTTACTTTGGTTGGTTCAACCCCTTCATTACTCTGCTAGACCACTTCCCTCTTACCCCCCATTATTCAGCTGCTTTCAACATACTGTTATATCCTCTACCTGCACAGATGGAACGTATTTCAATACTGTTAACTCTCTAGCATTCTTTTGCTTTCCTTCCTTCCCTGACTTCCGTAGAACATGTTCTGCATATGAGTTTGTACATGATTATGTTTGTTTTTGTGTATGTGTTTATCTTTTGGATCTATCTTCTATATATGAGAGAAAGCATGCAGCCTTTGTCTTTCTGAACCTGGCTTAACTTCACTTGACATGATGTCCTTCAGTTGCATCCATTTACCTTCAAACCATGTGGTTTCATTCTTCTTTATGGGTGAATAAAGCCCCATTGTTTTATTCCATGTATATATATGTATGTACATGTAGTATATACGTATATATATGTAAATATATAGTATATACATATACACATGGAGTTTCTATCTATCTATCTATCTATATCTAATCTATATCTATATCTATATGTCTCACATTTTCTTAATTCATTCATCAGTTGTAGGGCATCTGGGTGGAAGAGGTTCTTGATACAAATTAATAGAACCAAATCTTTGTCAAGGCTGTGATCAGAGTTCAGGCATGTCAAGATGACAGGAAGTTTCTTTTCAATAATTTGAATAGTTGGATAGTGTGTGACCTTGATTACGTAGTACTATAGAGCCCTCTGCTAAGACAGATGAACTGGAAGAGGCAGCACTGGCCTAAGCCTGGCCCCTAGTCTAGAAGAACATATAATTAAGCAGGGTTCTTCTTCTGATGAGTTGATTCTACTGCTCAGATTCTTCTCTTTGCAACCTTTAATATGTCTGGGGTCCTTGGCAGAACTGTTCAGGATTGCTAATGTCTCCCTGGGACATGTAGTAAAGGGGCATAGCTGTGGCCACTGAAATAATATTGGGTCTTCTTAACAATGTACATATAAGCTCATCTGACTTTTAAACTGAACAACTGGCAATCTTCCAGCAGCTAATATATCATACTGGATGTTCCATAGGAGTTTGACCACTTTCTGGCCACAAAGTTTGCCACAGTGAAGCGATATGGAGGTGAAGGGGCTGAAAGTATGATGGGTTTTTTCCATGAGTTGCTGAAAATGTCAGCCTACAGTGGGATAACTGATGTCATTATTGGGATGCCCCATCGAGGGAGGCTGAATTTGTTGGCAGGCCTTTTGCAGTTACCTCCAGAGGTAAGGTTCTTTTCTGTGTTTCTCACCAGCACTGTAAAATGGACTGTAACAGAATAAAACTAGCGTGGAGATTCCCTTAAAAAGCCCTGTAACAAGCGGTTGGTCCAGGAGACAGTTTCCTGAATGGACAGAACTTAATGCTGACAGATAGAACTGGTATTTGAGTTGGTTTTGAGTATATTCTTACATGGATCCTTCCTTCTCCCAGGGAAGTTAAAGGTTAGTTTGTTTCCTCAAGGTGATAGAGAGATAAATTCTATTCTTTTGAGCATGCTTTTCTTATTTAAACAAATACAAATATCTATGCAATTTTATACAGTTTTTACCTTAAAAGAAGTCAAGAAGTTATTGGCAGAATTGATAGTTAATAGATTATACTAGACTTAATGGTACATTCTTATCTCAATGACCACCAAAGTGAGCACTTTATTTATAAGTAACCAGATCTTGGTATTCCAGTTCAATCCAACTCAGTTGCTTTGTAAATCGCTCAAAAGACTTGGAGTCAAGAGTAAAGACTTTTGGGCTGGGGCTGTGACTCAAGCAGTAGAGTGTAAGCTTGAGGCCCTGACTTCAAACCCTAGTACAGTTAAAAAAAAAAAAAAGGGGAGAGTATATCCTGAGAAACCTTTAAGAATGGGTGGTCTAAGTCCTGTTCCATTAAATTTCTCTGTATTTTTAATAAAGTCGACACCAAGTCCTATTGACAAATACATTCTAATAGTTGTATTTTTTTAAGACTTGTTTTGCTAACTGCAGGTGGAGGTCACTTGCCATTTGCCTAAGATTAGAAATCACTTAAAATGTTGACATTGCATTTGTCAATTCTGAGCAATCCAGCAGCTAGATAGTATGTTTATAATAATTATAGAGGCATTTAAAGAATATTTATTTCTTTTGTATTATTTAAAGTAACCCTAGTCTCCATTGTGATAAAATGGATTTTTTTCCTGATATGTTTATTTCTAATAGCTGATGTTCCGTAAAATGCAAGGCTTAAGTGAATTTCCAGAAAATTTCCCAGCCACTGGAGATGTGCTTTCTCACCTGACGTCCTCTGTGGACCTGGACTTTGGTGCCCACCGTCCCCTCCATGTGACAATGCTACCTAACCCTTCACACTTGGAAGCCGTTAACCCAGTGGCTGTTGGGAAAACTCGTGGCAGGCAGCAGTCTTGTCAAGATGGAGACTACTCTCCAGATGGTTCTGCTCAGCCTGGGGACAAAGTCATTTGCCTACAGGTACTTTATAATGTCAGGAAGTGAGGTCTGCTATTGGGAAAATCAGGGAGAGAGAATGCCTGAGGTGGTAGGTATGACAGAAGATTGCAGATATTCATGAGGAAAGTGATATGACATTTTAGGAAAGAAGATTCTGGGATTGTTTTTCTTTTTCTATTAGTGTATATTAATTGCACAAAGGACTTTCATTGTGATATTTGTATACATTTGTATAATGTACTAATAAAATTCATCCCTTGTTTTAAACTTTTTCTTCCAAGATCATTTAAGATCTACAACTGCCTTATTGTTTGCTTTTGATGTGAAGAAACAAAACATCTCCCTTCTTCACCATCTTGTGTACCAGGTTTTGTGATGATGTTCTGATGTAGCAGGCTTCAAATGGAAGGATAGCACACTTTAGACATTCTCTCATGATAGTATTTTGTTTTTTCCTCAAATCCCCTTTCCATTCAAGTGTGATATACTTCTCTCCTGCACCTTCTTGTGTTTGCCATTGCTTCACTCTCCTATTGACAATGGTAGCCAAGATTAGGTGATGGGAGCTATGCACAGCCTCTTGTTACTGAGCAAAGGAAGAGTTCAAACCTGTGCACTAATCCTTATATCTTGCTGGCTGTTTTCATGCAAGATTTCCTATAGCTGATTGTACCTCTAACAGCCTTTCCCCCTGTGAGAATGTTTGCTTGGCTGATGTGTATAGACGGCAACATAGAATGGGAGGAATGGGTTAAGTGATGGTGGCTGCAAGAGGAAAGGACTGATGTAACATCTTTCAGAACTGCTTCTGAGGTCATTCTAGGAATTCCTGTAACCTGAATATTTCTAGGAGGGTGGGTGAACAGTGACAGGGTGATTGTTCATATTCCTATTAGTATTTTATAACAGCTTATTCCAATTTGAAAACCTAAATTTCTCAATCCCTTATGTTCCCTCTTTCCCCCATGTTTTAGGTTCATGGTGATGCTTCTTTCTGCGGTCAAGGGATTGTTCTCGAAACATTTACACTCTCTAATCTCCCACATTTCAGAATTGGTGGGAGTATCCATTTGATTGTCAATAACCAACTGGGTTACACCACTCCAGCAGAAAGAGGAAGGTCTTCTTTATACAGTAGCGATATTGGTATGTAACACAGAGAACCAACATGACTATTTCAGACAGGCAAGGAATTCCTAGAGAAATTTCTAGTTCATTCAAAACAGTGAGTCTCATTGGTTATCCCATTTTAAATTTGGATCACATATGGTCAATAGTCACCAACAGTTGCCAAATTAACATTACTTTTGCAGCATGAATGTGATCTTTATTTTACTGTTGTTATTATTTTGTGATGCTGGAGATCAAACACAGGGTCTTATGCGTGTTATGCAAGTGCTGTACCACTGAGCTACATTCCCATCCCTGAGTGTGATATTTAAGTCCAAGGAAATAATACAAGGATGGAGTTCAAAGTTTTCAATCTCAAATTGCTTGAGTAGGCATTTCTGGTACAATTCAGAATATTTAGTACAATTAATACAACACTAGAGTAATTATCTTTAGAATATTCAATTTTGGAGTGGCCAAGATCTAAGTCAAAGTGGTTATGGTCAACACTAAATTTGGTGAGATAGCCTAGTTAGAGGTAAGACATGAAAAATCAATATCACTTGTTTTAACCTGTGGAAATTAGCAATTTTAGGAGAAAGGAAGGGCGTGTATTACCCATTACTGTTTCACTGAATGGTTACAAGAACTATTATCTAGTAGGAACTACTGTGTCTTTATACTTAGAGCCTGGACTGGATGCGTTGTAGGGTTGTCTTTGTGAATTCTTATTGACTTCCTAATAGGCATGGTGAGGATCCATTCTAGAACTTCTCCTTGGAGAAAATGTTTTGTTTCCTAGGACACATCATTTAATGACTCTTTTATCTCAGAAAGAAAGATAATAGTAATGATAACAATAAAAGGTATTAATTATTTATGTACCAGGTATTGTGAAGCATTAATACTTCCTGTGTGTTAACTCATATAATCTTGACGATATCACTTAAGAGGCAGCACTCATAACTTTTCCACAATTACAAAATAAGTCACAGAGCTGGGACTTGTCACTGGACTCCAAAGCTTGGGTTCTTAATAATCAAACCAAATTACCTCTGAGTAAAGGGACTGTTTTCCCATGAAGGCAGTAGGTCTTGGTGGAGGGCTAATGTCATCCCAGGTTGACTGGCCGCTTCACCTGGATCTTCCCTTCTCCAGGGAAGCTTGTGGGCTGTGCCATCATTCATGTCAATGGAGACAGGCCAGAGGAAGTGGTCCAGGCCACACGACTGGCTTTTGAGTATCAGCGTCAGTTCCGCAAGGATGTGATTATTGACTTGTTATGCTACAGGCAGTGGGGCCACAATGAGCTGGACGAACCTTTCTTCACCAACCCAGTCATGTACAAAATCATCAGGTACAATCATAAACCTTCATTTAGCTACCTCCTGTCTGCATAATGCTTGTATTTTTGGTATTGCTTTGTTTTTTTGCAATTCTGGGAATTGAAGTTAGGGCCTTATGTGTGCTAGGCAAGCACTCTAGTACTGAGCTACACCCCCAGCCCTAATAATTTTTAATTAAGGTAGGGTGAGTGACTTCCTTAGTTTCCTTAGGACATGAGACTTGTCATGCTAAACTAGGACAGTCTTGAGCAAACTAGGTTGGTTGCCTTATGGGTCTCATACTCCATGTTTACACAATGAATAAAGAATGGGCAACTTAGCAACTCAACTTAGCAGATGAGAAGACTGAAGTCGAAGGACTTGGGCCAACCATTCCCTGATGCTCCTTCATGTGGTGCTGGCAGATCAGGAATAGGGCCTCCACAATTCACTTCTACACACCACAAATGTGGACCTGCTCTGTGCCCTGGTGGGAAATAACAAGAGGGATTTTCACGAATGTTTAGAACTTTGCTGTCCAGTGCAGAAGCCGTTAGTATTAAATGGCTCTCGAGCATTTGAAATGTGGCCAGTCCTGATGGGGATGTGCTGTAAGTATAATAATATACACACCAGATTTCAAAGACTTAGTATATAAAATAGAAATGTAAAATATCTCAATAATTTCTATATTAATTAGATGTTGAAATGAGTATATTTGGGGTATATTGACTTAAAAGTTATTGCTAAAATTAATTCTACTTATTTCTCTTTCTCCATTGTAATTGCTAGAAAATTTAAAATTAAACACATAGCTTGCATCTTACTGCTATTGGACAGCACTGATTCAAAAGGTTAATGTAACATGTAACTTTGGCATTTCCTTTCCTAGATACTGCAGAGTGAAATAGATTCCCCCCCACTCTATTTCCTCATGGATGTAAATGAAAGTGGGGGAATAAATTCAGTGACATTCTGGGTCTTTCTGGTCCATTGGTAAAGAAGAACTCTGCTCAGGAGGCCCCAAGCTCTAAGCTTGGTAGTCAAGTGACTCTACAGACCCTGGAGGTCCATCTTTAAAAAAAAAAATCACCATGCTACCTATCTCTTACTTTTGTCAGGAGTAAATATGATAATATATATGAACAGACTTTATACTTTAAAAAGATTATACAAATATAGGATGACATTTTCATTATTGTTAGAATATGATTTAATCAAACAGGTGCCAGTTATTATAGTTCAAAGATGATTAAGGGAACATGAAATTAATTGTGGTATCATTGGGCTCAGTACTTTTAAATAAAAGGGGTGCTGAGTGGATAGACAAGGTAGGTCAGTTTTGTAAACTATAGTCCAGAATTTACTACTTCATAGGAAAACTCCATTCATTATTTCTACTTGAAAATAGACAAAAGCTTATAAAGGTAAGTTTGTTTCTCTTGTTTGCTTAGGAGAGGTTGTTATTCACAAGTGCCTTTCGTTAATTAATTAAGAGTGTATTGACTGCTGGGTGCTGGTGTCTCACAAGTGTAATCCTAGCTACTCAGGAGGCAGAGATCAGGAGGTTAGCATTTGAAGCCAGCCCTGGCAAATAGTTCTCGAGACCCCGTCTCAAAACATCCTTCACAGAAAAGGGATAGGGTAGTGACTTAAAGTGTAGGCCCTGAGTTCAAGCCCCAGTATTGCAACAACAACAAAAAAGTGTATTTGGCTTATTTTGTAAACTTATTGAGGTCAAAGTTATGCAGGCTAAAATTACCGCAGTATTTTAATGTGACCTTTCGAGTGGCAGCTCAGTGGCATTTGCTGTTCACAGTGTTCTGTAGCTACCGTCTCTATGAAGTTCCAAAACATTGCTGAGTGCCTTGTAATGGCAATAGCCTTCTACAATACCTTTGGCAATGGTAGTCTCTGCCTCGCTTAGCCTTCAGTCTGGGCTGACATATTTCCCCTTCTCTCTCTGAAGGGCTCGCAAGAGCATCCCAGACACATATGCAGAGAACCTTGTTGCCAGTGGACTCATGACCCAGGAGGAGGTGTCTGAAATAAAAGTCTCCTACTATGCCAAGTTAAATGACCACTTAAGCAACATGGCCCACTACCGCCCCCCTGCCACTAACCTGCAGGCCCACTGGCAGGGCCTGGTCCAGCCAGAAGCACGCATCACTACTGGGACACAGGCATGCCCCTGGACCTCCTGCGGTTCATTGGCGTGAAGTCTGTGGAGGTGCCGGAGGAACTGCAGGTGCACAGCCACCTTCTAAAGATGTATGTTCAGGTGGGGAGTTGAAATTGCCTCTTACTGCTTTTTGGTTTTGCTCTCCAAAGGATGTGATGTTGGTCTAGTCTTTTCAGTTGCTAATTCTTTTGACAAATATTTACTGTGTTATTAGGTTCCAGGAACTATAGGTGCTAAGAGTCAACTCAGATTTTCTTTACATTTTTCCTCCATACATTTATTTATTATTTATGCATGTCAAATATAATATGTGTTAACGGGATATCTGCTTGTTATAAAAGAATACAGAAGTGTCTGTTTTAGTTTTTCCAACTAGTGAATAGAAAACAACTGTAATTCTTTCAGGTGGCATAAATAAAAGATGTAAAAATCAACACACATACCCTGAAGGTAACCATTTAGATTCTTAAACATTTTGAGATTTTCTGTATTATGTTAACTATAGGATGACAAACTATCCTGCTTTGCCTGGGACTTACAGATTTTCTGGAGCATGGGACTTTCATTGCTAAAACCAGGAAGATAAAGGGTTAAAAGTCTTCATTTTTCTCAAGCCTGCAGGAAGGAACTCTGCCCTTTGAATTATTTTAAAATACTAACTTTCTAAACTGAGTTTTTCTTATACTTGTAGAACTATTATAAGAACTAGGTGCCCACCACACAGCTAAAGAAATAGAGCTTTATGAATAAAGTTTTCCATGTGCCCTCCCTGAGTCCATCTCCTCAGACCTCTGCAGAAGTCACCACTAACCTGAATGCATGTTTTAAAACAGTATATAAGAGCTGGTAGAGTGGCTCAAATGGCAGAGCGCTTGCCTAGCAAGCCTCCCAAGTGCAAGGCCCTGAGTTCAAAGTCCAGTACCACCAAAAATAACATAAATAAAATACTAGCTAACTAGGGGTGTAGCTCTGTGATAGGGCACTTGCCTACCACATGCAAGGCCCTGGGTTTGATCCTAGCATTTAAAAAAAAAAAACCAAAAAACCTTACCAACCAACCAAATGAAAAAGCAAAAGCAAACCTGAAACCAAAATCAAAAAAGAAAGAAAAACCTGTTTACAATTGTAATCAAACTCTGATATTTTTGTCTTTTTATTTGACAGTATGCCTTTGATATTAACCTTGCTTGCATTGTTTTTTGAACTCAGTATAAAAAAGGTCATGGATTCTTGAAAGTTTGTTTTTCCTTACCCCCAATTTTACAGTCTAGAATAGAGAAAGTAATGAATGAAACAAATTTAGACTGGGCCACAGCAGAAACCCTCGCCTTGGGCTCCTTACTTGCACAAGGTAAGATGTTTTTGTTTAGCTTCACAACTAGTACCAAATGCTCAAAATTATGTTTGTTACATATGACACCTGTGGTTATCTGAATTGCAGCTACCTTGTGCCATTTTCATTTGACGTGAACGGTTCTAAAACATGTTATCTGCTAATATTATTTAATCACAGCATAAACCATGTTGACAGTCTTCATCAGAATATAGAAAATAGAGCAGTTGTACCTGGAAACACGGGGTTCCTTGCTGGATATATTGGAAAGATATTTTTTCTCTAGAAATTGTAAGACAAGTAATGACTCTCCATTCTTACACAGTTTTACCTTGACTATAGACTTTTGGATATAAGACACATCTGTTTTAATAAGGAAAATTTATTCTTCTAAGGAAAAATTCTCAGGATGTGCCTGGCATGGTGGTACAAGCCTGTAGGCCCAGATACTCAGGAGGCTGAGGAAGAATTGTGCAAGCCCAGAAGTTCTAGGCCAGCCTGGGAAACATAGCAAGATTCTGTCTCAAAACAAAACAGGATTCAGGGTCACATGCCTTACTGTTGCTTAGGTAATTCATGGGATACACTTTTTCTTGCTTGCTTAAGGTTTTAATGTCCGTCTGAGTGGTCAAGATGTTGGCCGCGGCACGTTCAGTCAAAGGCATGCAATGGTTGTTTGCCAGAAGACCGATGATACCTACATCCCTCTGAACCATCTGGACCCTAACCAGAAGGGGTTTCTGGAGGTAGGATATTTCTATATATATTGTAAAATCCAGGATTCTTAAAGCAAACCAAAACAGATGCCAGCAACTTTGGGTTCAATACCTTTTGGAAACAAAGGGTGTTGAGTGGATATACAGTGTTGGACCAGAAGTAATAGGCTAGAGAGTAGAAAGAAACTGTTTTACTCTGTCTACTTATCTGTAATCATGTAAATGTCAAATGGATATACATTTTGTCAAATCAAAATTAACATAATCTCCATATTGTTATAATTCATTAATTTAGTTAACGTTGTGACTAGTAAGCCAACATTTCTGGTCTGCTTAAAAAAACAAACAAGCAACCCATACCTACTTTGTCCACGTTACCTTGTTCCCTGAGGATCAGTGGGTATTACTGCGTGCCAGTCTCCAATCTGTTCTCTTTAGAGTCTTAAGGGCAGGATCGAGTCTTCTCATTTGTGTCTCCAACGATTAGCATGGTGACCAGGATATGTATGTATGTTATTCTTCAAGGTAAAAGTTTAATGACATGTCATCTTGTTCTCTACTCTAGCCATTGGTTTGAGAATGTAAACCTGAGTTTACTGATCCTTTATTAAAAATGGGCTTGGCAAAAGCAATATTCCAGGATGACTTAAAGAACACGCAGCTCATTTTTTCTTTATATTAGTCTAAAATCCACCTTTGTATCAATCAATGAACTAGGAACTGAAATGTTTAGCATCCCCCTCCCCACCTCAGATGAGGCTGTCATAAAGTTTGACCTTTCAATGTATAGGTCAATGTATACAGTTCAGTAATTTTTAATATATTCAGAGTTGTGCAACCATCACCGCTATCTAATTTCAGAACATTTTCATCACCTCAAAAAGAAACCCCACACCCATTAGCAGTCACTCCACTCCTCCTTCCCTCCACTCCTGACAGCCACTAACCAGCCTGCCTTTTGTTTCTATTGACTTGTCCATCTTGAACTGTTCACATAAATAGAATGACATAGCATGAACTTCTTATATTGGCATTTGTTTTCAGGGTGTGTCCCTGTTGTAGCATGTGTCAGTGCTTCCTTTTCATTGTCAAATAATATTCAATAAAGATGTAACTTTAAAAAAATTTAAAAAATTTGAAGCAAACAGAATTTTTAAAAAAAAGATGGATATATAGAAGGAAGTTTTTCTCATTCTAAAGCATTTGTGGGCAAGTTGCCAACCTAATACCCTACAGTGTGTCTTTCCTACACTTAAGGTCATTCTTTTTATCACTCAACACAACCATCAAGGTCAGGAAATTGACATTGACACATTACTACCATCTATTTCTCAAACCCTCTCAAAACCATGTAGCTGTTAGCCGTCATGTCTCTATAACTTCCCCAAAGGTTAATTTCATATTCTGCTTTTTAAATCTTAACACAATGGTTCTTGTGACTTACCATGTAAACAAGATGTTAGAAAAATGGATTCTAGCCAAAGGTAAGCCTTCTTTTGTAACTTTTGCATCTTTTTCTTAAATGACATAAAAAGTTCACCATTTAAATTGTTTTCAAGTGTATAATGAAGCGGTATTGGGCACATTCACATTGTTGTAGAACCATCATCACCCTCCATGTGCAGAAGGTTTTCACCTTTCCCACCTGAAACTCTACCCATTAAGCCATGTCTTCCCATGGCTCTCTCCCCAGCCCTTGGCAGTTACTACTTTATTTCCTTTCTCAGTAACTTTGCCTAATCCAAGTACATCAAAAATTGGAATCATGATTTTCCTTTCATGTCTGACTTATTTCACTTAGTGCAATGTTTTCAAGGTTCATCCATGTTGTCGCATGTGTCAGTACTTATGTTCCTTTTTAAAACTTAGTGTATATTAATTGTACAAAGGGATTTCATTGTGATATTTCCATATATGCAGATAATGTACTGTGATCAAATTTACCCCCTCTAGTACTCTTTCTTATCCCTCTTCTCCCCTTCTTTTAAAACAATTCATAATGGGTTTCATTATTCAGTTTTCATACATGTACACAAAGTACTTAGGTCATATTCACCCCACCTTCACCCTCCTCCCTCCCATTGGTTCCTCTCCCTGAACTGACCCAGAGACTGTATGATATTTGCATTTGTGATGTGTTTTTGTTGTTGTTGTTGGGAGTGGAGTTTGAATTCAGGGCTTCATGCTTGCAAAGCAGGCACTCTACCACTTGAGCCACACCTCCAGTCCATTTTGCTCTGATTATTTTGGAGGCGGGGTCTCACAAACTATTTGCTAGAGCTGGCCTTGAGACCTGATCCTCCAGATCTCAACCTCTCAAGTAGCCAGGATTACAGGCATGTACCACTAGTGCCCGGCCTCTTAGGACATTTTAAAAAAAGGCTTGTGGGACCTAGTTTTCCTCTCAGCAACAAAGATGGTCGTCTGAGAAGTATTTTACTTATCCTTAAAGAAAATCTCTAATACCCATGTTCCAACCTCTTTTTCTTTTCCTCTCTTTGTCCCACCGTCTCCCAAGTTCATTGCTGACACTGAGCACAGTCCCCTTTCTCAAAGCAAGGTGGTGATGAGTGAAAGCAGAGCTCCCCTCTGTCTGCTCCTCCCTCTGAGAGGTTTGTATAAGTGTGATGCTTTACATTGGCTGGCTTCTGTCACATGGCCCTTGTGTGCTGTGTTTGCTTCCCTCTATGATTAGATATGCAACAGCCCCCTGTCAGAAGAGGCCGTCCTGGGATTTGAGTATGGGATGAGCATCGAGAGTCCAAAGTTACTGCCTCTCTGGGAGGCTCAGTTTGGCGATTTCTTCAATGGAGCCCAGATCATCTTTGACACGTTTATCTCTGGAGGTTGGTGGTAGTGTGTGGCTGGGGTAACGGATGCATGGCTTCTGTCTCAGGACAAATGAAAAGAGACCATTGTTGCTGCTGAGGTCCAGAGTTCAGGGAATCACCCTGTTATCCACAGGCATGTGGCAGCCACCAGACAGTTTAATGAGCTGGGAAGAGCATGGTAGCCCTCTGTCAGCTGGAGGGTACATGCCATTCACTGACTGTGCATGGGCCCACGTTCCCCCCAAGTCTCCTGAGGGAGCACTGATGTGTCTGCCACCTCCTGGTCTGTGTGACTGCCTTGTCTGTTCTTGGGGTCCCTTGAGTGACTAACTGGACAATTAACCAGCAAGCAATGGTGACATAGTGGTGTTTTAAAGTGAGAGTCAGTGGTACCCCTGAAAATCTGCTCCCTCAATCTAGGTCCCTCAAGTATCTGAAGGTCAAGTTTCAAAAGCAACACCTGCTGATTATAGAAATGAATGTATATGAGGGGAGGGTCTAAGTCTCTCCCCAGACCCTCCAGCTTATTTTCTGGGAGTGTACGCTACTCGATTTTGAATATATACCTTCGATCTTTCCTATGGTTGTCTTTTCTTGTGAATTGTGAGGAAGAAAAGTATCTGAGGAACTGGATTCTGACGTGTCCAGAGACTGCTGCCCTCCACTTGAGGACAGTGGCTCGTGCTGTCTGCTGTGCTGTGAGACTGGGAGGAACTGCCCGTTCTTGCTAAGCATGGTGCCTGCGGGTAAAGTCAGTGGTGCATGCTGTCCCAGAAACTGGGACATTGACCTTTGAGTTTGAAACATAAGGTTTCTGAAACATAAGGTATGCGCTCATCCAGACAAATGGATGTTCTCGGCTAGTTACGGTAGGAAAATGCTGGCAGATACAGGTAATGGAAACAGTGTGGAGGTGAGGTAGAACTAACATTTGTTTCATTCTCCAAGTCAGGTCAGACTGTTTTGTTTCTACTTCATAGAGTTTTTACTCCTCACCTTGTGTCTTCTCAGGAGAGGCCAAGTGGCTCCTGCAGAGTGGCATTGTCATTCTTCTTCCACACGGCTATGACGGGGCTGGACCCGACCACTCGTCGTGTCGAATAGAGAGGTTCTTACAGGTATGTTGAATGCCACTGGGTCCCAGGAAGTGTTTTCTTGCCTCCTAAGTGCTTTATATTTCAAAAGTCCTCCTGTAGATAGCTTCACGTACCCCTCAAACTGCTAGAGGTTTAGTATTGAATGAAACAGATTTATTGCTGTGTCAGTATTCCGTGGAAACTTAATGCCTCAGATGTAATAATGTCATAGTTTTATGGCAATTAAAATGGTTTGGAGGCTGGAGTGTAGCTCAGTGGTAGAATGCTTGTTTAACATGTGTGAGGTCCTTGGTTTAATCCCCAGTACCACAAAAAAAGAAAAAAGGAAAAAAAAAAAAGTTCCCCTAGACCAAGAGCTGTAGTTCCTATATCACACTCATCATCAGAATCCCTAGAGATATTTTCATAAACAGAGATGCAGATACAGGGGTCAGCTCCAAATCAGATGCTCAGGACTCTGGCCTAGGAATCTGTATTTCTACCTCAATAAAACCTTTTTTTTTTCTTTTTCAAGTAATGGTAGTATTTTTATCAGTGATTCACACTCATTATAACACTTGAACTCCCAGAAATAATCATTGCTATAATTTGAGGAGAATCATTATAAATACCTAACTATGAAATTTAAACTACATAAGGATGAGAGAGGAAGCTAGGCAATGGTGGCTCATGCCTGTAGTCCTAGCTACTTGGGAGGCTGAGGTTGGGAGGATCATGGTTTGAGGCCAGTCTGGGCAAATAGTTCATTAGACCCCATCTCTAAAATAAACCAGAGCAAAATGATCTGGAGGTATGGTTTGAGTAGTAGAGCACCTGCTTTACACGTGCAAAACCCTGAGTTCAAACCCCAGTCTTACCAAAAAAAAAAAAGAGAGAGAGAATAAGAGGAGATGTGAAAAGGGTGAAGCACAGTAAGTGAAAGACCAGAGCATCAGTGAGGTTGGAGGTTGGGATGAGGTCAAAGGTTTACTAGAGTTCGGCATAATTATGGCGTGAGCTAGAAAGATAGGAAGCCGAAGTCAGGGAGTGGAATACACAAGGGGAAGCTTCTTGAGAGAATCCTGTTACTGATACAGCACGGATATTACCGTGTACCATGGTCTGAATGCTTGTTTCCCCAAGTCCCATTCGTATGCTGAAATCCTAACCTTCAAGGTGATGTTGTTAGGAGTTGGGCCTTAAGGAGGTGATTAAGCCATGGGTCCAGCTCTCATGAATGGGAGTGCCTTATTAAAGAGGCCTCTGGCATGGGGACATCGTGAGAAAGGACCCTTTATGAATCAGGGAATGGGCCTTTACCAGACACCAAACCTGCTGGCACTTTGATCTTGGACTTTCAAGTTTCCAGAACTATGAGAAATAAATTTCTGTTGTTCACCCAATTTTATGGTATTGTGTTATGCTATAGCACCCAAATAGACTGACACAATGAGACTAGGTTGTCGAGATAGAAGGGAGGATAAAGTTGTCAGAGGACATGAGTTAAGGGAACCAAGAAGCCAAACTGTTGAAAGAATCATCTGCAGGGTGAAAATGACCAAGACCACGTTAATAACACCACCATACATGCAGGATTACTGTGAGCTGAAAGTCAGTGTATGTAAACTGCTTAGCACAATAATTGACATTTATGTGTGTTTGCTGTTTGTTATTTTTATTATCATCACATCATCTGCTTTCACTGTGATTATCTGAAGCCTTTTGTTTATATCAGTAGTTTTATTTTTAGTCCTGCAAAAGGATTAATATATGTAAAGTGCTTAGAAGTCTTTGCTGTTTATATAAGGCTTTGCTATTTCATCTGATTTCATTGTTACTGTGAAGCTCTTTGTTCCATTTACGGTATTTTTAGTCCTGTCTGTTCTGGTCTTGACATTTCTTGTTTATTAGGCCTATAATGGTAGTTTTGGGTTCCCACTCTGTTTTGTTAGCATCATGTTCTCCTTTCTTGTCTAATTCTGTGTGTTCTGTTGAAAACTCCTTGCCTTTTGCATGTTACGTTCCTTTCCTTTTTCCTCCTCTTGTATAAAATTATTTTGACTACATGATATTTATGTTGTTGCTATGTTATTTCATCTTGTTTTTGATTATGTAGGGGAATTCTTCGAAGACTTACTTTACTGTTGCTCTGATAGGGTGTGGGTAAATAGCTTATATATCTTGCTCTGTTGGAACCAACTTGCATTCTTGGAAACAACAGTTGAGTACAAATTGCAGTGTTTGGAGGCTGAGGATGGCAGTGGGAGGAAAGAACTCTGCTGAGTTGGAGACTTTTGCCAAATACTGCTCTTTCTCCTGAGATTCAGTAACTACCTACCTACAAGGACCCACTCCCCAGTCAGCACAGTGGTGGGCATTACTTTCATAGTTTCTGTCATTCAGGCTCTGTTTTGGTTTGTTTTTTAGATGATTTTGCCTGTCTTTTTTTCCCAGGGTGCCTATTCATTGCCTTTGTTCAAACTGGAGGATATTAGTAGGAATTCTTAAGGTCTTGTCAACTCTGTTTCTTGCCTGCATCACTTGTGGAATAGGGGTAGGGCCCAGGCTCTCAGCATCCTATCACACCAGTGTCTTCTAAGATGTAATTTTCTTGCTCTCAACTTTTCAGCTTTTGCTTTTGTTTTTGTCTTAAAACACATACACTATAATTTAATCTATTTCATGAGGAAAGTGAGTTTCTGAAGTACTTTCTTCTGCCCCTAACTTGACCCTACAGTCAGCAAAATGTGGATTTTTAAAAATGCCCTCGCTGGGTGATTTTAGCAAGCAGCTGTGTCTGGAAATAGCTCTGTTAGATGACACAGAATTGGACAAAGAGAGAAAACCATCAGAATTCTCCTCTGGTTAATACTTTACATGTCATGAACTTATCTTCTGTTATTCCTTTATAACAGAGGGACCTATCTCTTATTAATCGAGAACACATGGGTTTCCCTTTGGCTAGATATGGTCTTTGTGATTGCAAAAGATGAGCCTAATGCTCCCTTCCTTTCTTTCCCAGCTGTGTGACAGTGCAGAAGAGGGGGTGGATGGCGACACCGTGAACATGTCCGTGGTGCATCCGACCACTCCTGCACAGTATTTCCACTTGCTCAGAAGACAGATGGTCCGCAACTTCAGAAAACCCCTCATTGTTGCTTCTCCCAAGATGTTGCTCAGGTTCCCTGTGAGTAGAAAGAGCTGCTTTATAAGACTTTCTCCTTTTGTCATTTTTTGTGTTACATTTTTCTCTATTTTCTGTATCTAATTATATTTCTAAATTACAGAAAAGTCTTTTTAGTTTGAATTGACTTTGCAGCTTTAATATTTTTAATGGGAAATATAGCTTCCCATTTCTATTGTAATGAAGGATACAGGTAGCAAATGTTATGCTGGTATATCTAAACAGATATAAGTTTAAAAGAAGTTCTGAAGTCCAGATGGTCTAAGCACTTCTACACTGATAATAGTGCTGGAGACTGAGCCCAGGGCCTCATGCGTGCTAGACAAACACTATAATTGAGCTACGTCTCTTGACCTGATTATTTTTTTTTGGAGACACTAGAGTTTTAACTCAGGGATTCATGCTTGCCAGGCAGGCATTCTACCACTTGAGCCACTGAGGCAGCCCTTTTTTGTGTTGGATATTTTTAAGATAGGGTATCAAGAACTATTTGTCTAGCCTGGCTTTGAACTGTGATTCTCCTGATCTGTGCCTCCTGAGTAACTAGGATTATAGGTGTGAGCCGGCCTGGCTTTTCTCTCTCTCTCTTTTTTTTTTTTAAATCAAGATAAATTCCTGTTTCAATAAGTATTATAACAGTATAGATTTTGCTATGGTTCTTTAAAAGTGTACTTTTTTTCCTGGGAATACTAAGCACACAATATACCTTTAAAATATGTCACAAAAATCACAAAATATGCTATTTTCAAATGATAGCATTCAAGATAATAAATACTGCTAGGCATATATGTAGCTCTTCTGCTATATATATTTTTTCAGTTTCATATGAGAGTTTTAGATAGGAATAGCATTAAAATTTTTTTGCATTCATTTGGATGGGATGACTGAGGCGAAAAAAGATTTGATTTGGGTGATCAGGAATATCTTATGCTGCTCCCAAAGGTGAAAAAATGTGTGTCTGGAGTTGAAGGGTGTTGATTTAAGTAGCCATTGTTTCAAGCTCTTCCTGGTCTTCCCAGGGGAGTAAAGAGGTCATCATTCTTGGCTCTCACACTTTCATAGCACTAGAGTCAGTACCCTCTAATGTTTTGCATTCCTGGTACCTTACTTGCCTCTCCCTAGTTCTGGCCGTGGGAGCCAACTGTTGAGGAAATGCACTTGAAATAGGTGCCACAGATAGCAGCCATTCATGTGAAGGGGCCTACTTCTTCTCTCTCACTCATTGTTCTCAGCAGCCTCAAAGCATCACAGAACACGCAGGATAAGTTAATACAGGCCAGACATAGTGATGCATCCCTTTAATCACTAGGAGGCACAGGTAGGAGGATTGAGAATTTGAGGCCAGCTCGTGCTATATTGTGAGACCTGTCTAAAAAACAAAGCAAAACAAAACAAAAAATAAAAAAGTGAATGTAATCCCTTTGACACAGTTTATCTGAAAGGGCTCTTTTCATACAGATGTTTTGAAATAGTAGTCTTAAAGGGGCCAAATTAAAATGTGAAATTACTATAATTTTTTCTAGGAAATATATACATCTGGGATTCTTGACCCAACTTTCATTGTATTCCCAGGGTTGTCACCTGCTCTCCAAATCATAATATCATAATGATATCAAATATAAAACATGTATATATTATTAAGTATACACTTAAGAGTGCATATTAAGTGATATTAAATAATATTTTATATTGTATATATTATTAAGTATACAAGTATACTTATTAAGTGTAAGTATGAATTATTAGAAACTTTATAGAGAATTCCTTTTTCAGCTTGAAACTGAGAACAAAATAAAATATTCTGACTAATATTTTATCCCTTCTCTGCAAGTATAATATACAAATTTCAAATAAGAAAGGCCCTCAGATAGCTTCATTAAATATGTAAGTCTTTTTTTTATTTTTGACAGTACTACAGTTTAAAGTAAGGGCCTCACTTTACTAGGCAGGTGCTCTACCACTTGATCCATGCCCCCAGCCCTATTTGCTTTTAGTTATTTTTCAAATAAGGTCTTCAGTTTGTGCCTTGGTCAACCTGAACCACAGTCTTCCTGTTGGTGTCTCCTGTGCAGTTAGGATCACAGATGTATATCACCATACCCAGCTTATTGGCTGAGTCTTGCTAACTTTTCTCTGTGACTAGCCTTGAACTATGATCCTCCTGATCTCCACTTCCTGATGCATGTAAATCCTGTGTTAATAAAAAATAAGTTAGGACCACTATTGATATTCTGATTTCTTCCTGAAAATTGAGTTATGGCACAAGTGACTTATCAGAATATAATTTAAACCTTTCTTTTGATGACCTATTCAGAGATGATTCACCACATGAAAACATGACACTTGTGTAGTTCAACAAGTGGTACCTAAGTTTCACACTGTTGTCTATCCAACTCTGAACCTTAGCTCCTTTTTATCCTTCCTTACGAAGTGGAGCTGTGGTTCTGCACAGAGAAAACTCACCTTTCTCACACCTTCCTTAATAATAAAAACAGCTGAGTATTTAGTTGTTATATCACAATAGCCAGCATCAATCTAGCAGCTACTCCACAATGGGTGTCACAATGTCATGTGCCTATTTTGGATGAGAACATAGGGACACCAACAAGATGAAAACAAATTGAATCTCCAAGCTTGGTTTCCTTAGTTATTTATCTTGTTTTGCAACCACTATTTGTTTTTCCAGCATTTATTTGCATTCAGTCATTAACCAAATTTCTTTCCATCACAGAAATGGACATGTATTGTTCCTAGGTGTACTGACCAAATAGATTTCACTTATAAATTTTAGTCAAAAATGTTTAAAAACATAATTGCTGTAGCTTAGCTGTTTTGTTTTATAAGGTCTACAAAATATTTCCATTTCCAAAAACTTAACACAAAATTTCACTGAGAATAAAATTGTGTGATCAAACTGAAATATTAATTCTTTTAATATTATGCCCTTAATGTGGCACAGGCAAGGCAATCTTGTATCATTTTAGTCTGAAGTATACTGAACTGATATTTTAGGGAGAGTTACTTTATTTATTAGTATGTGTGCTTACTTGGGCTATAATTTTGATGCTTTTTTAAAAATAGGGTTTCTTGTAAATGAAAACTGTAGCTCATTTCCTTTGTTGAACCTGTGTGGATTCTTCTTTCTTAGGCAGCTGTGTCAACTCTTCAAGAAATGGCACCAGGAACAACATTCAAACCAGTCATTGGTGATTCTTCTGTGGATCCAAAAAAGTAATTTGTTGTGTTCCTGTTTTCATACTCTGGGTAGAAGTTTAATTAGTTAAAAAGTTAAAAAGATAGATCATGTTAAGTGGCCAAAATCTCCTGTATCAAGAGAGAGAGAGAGAGAGAGAAAGGGAGAGATAGATGCTGAAGATTGAATCCAGAGATCACCATGCTAGACAGGTACTCTAGTGCTGAGCTACATCCCCAGTCCCCATCCTGATATAAAAGCTTTAAGTCAGGGGTAGAGAGTTAGAGTGTGCTAGAAGAGTGAGCTTTGGAGGCACATACGCCTGTGGACTCGAGGCATGGCTCAAACAGTAGAACATCTGCTTTGCCAGCGCGAAGCCCTGGGTTCAAACTCCAGTCCTACCAAGGTTGACTGCCTGGGTGCAGCAGCTGACCCCAGCAACAGACCGCCCCCCCCCCCCCCCCCCGCCCCAGCTTCAACAGGAAGACACTGAAATCTACTCTCCCATTTCTTCTGTCTGACATGACTCTTAAGGATATTTCTCCCCCACCCTGTTGACCTTCTCCTCTACAGTGTTAAGACCCTTGTTTTCTGCTGTGGCAAGCATTTCTATGCCCTGCTGAAGCATAGAGAGTCTTTAGGAGCCAAGAAGCATGACTTTGCCATCATCCGAATAGAGGAAGTCTGCCCTTTCCCACTGGACTCATTACAACAAGAAATGAGCAAATACACATACGTTCAAGGTAAAGGGTTCTTCTTGTTAGGGTTCTTTGCTTTTCAGATACCTGAAACTAAACTATTTTCGGTAGAAAACGGTGGTAGAGGCAGTGCAAATTACTAGAAAATCAAATCTCTTGGAATCTGAGGATATAAAGCAAAGTACCACTAACACCAGTGTCTCCATGTCTCTCTTGGTGTCCTCAGGTCCCTTCCTGTCACGTTAAACAAGTAGTTTCTTAAGAGTTTGGGGGGTGGCTATCAATGCTATACCATCATCTTTGACAAATGCAGTATAATTATAAAAGATTTTCAACAATTGGGGTTAGAATATTGGATGTCTGTAGGCACCTTATATAAAAAAGAACTCGATCTTAGACCTAAATGTAAAATGTAGAACTACAACTGTTAGGAGAAAATCTTTGTAACCTTGGGTTAGATGAAAAGGTCTTAGTTATGACCCAGAAAGCACATTCCATAAAAGAGAAATGGAACTTATTCAAAATGAAAAGCTTTTGCATTGTGTAAAAAGAAATAAAAAAGATAAGTTCTAAACTGAGAGAAAATACTTGGAAATATATATCTGGCAAAGGGCTATTTAGAATATGAAAAGAGCTCTTAAAACTCAGCAGTAAGATATGAACAATCCAGCTATTCTAAATGTGTGAAACCTATGAAGTGGACTTTTCCAAAGAATGGGATGGCAAATGTGCAAATAAATAGATGTTCAATATCATTAAGGGTGGGGAAATGAAAACTTAGCCAATGAGATATGGCTATACATCTAAGAGAATGTCTGAAGTTAAAACAAAGCAAGACATTAAAAGTACAAAGTAGCTGGAACCCTCACTCACTCCTGGTGGCAATGCAAACTATTACAACCACTCTGGAAGACAGTGACTCAGCAATCCCACTGCTAGGTGTTTAGCGAGGAGGATGAAATCTCCTTCACAGAAAAATGTGTATGTAAATGTTTATAGCAGCTTTATTTGTAATTGTACCAAGATGGAAACAGTCAAAATATACTTCTACTGGTGAGTGAATAAACACAGTTCACCTTAGGAATAAACATCTGTGCAGTGTCATACCACTCAATAATAAAAAGGAGTGAGCTACTTGGGAGGAGATACTGGGGATTGAACCCAGCATCTTGCACATGCTAGGGAAGCACTCTACCAATGAGCTGCATCTCCAGCCCCAGGAGTGAACTATTGCTGTACCCACAACACAGATGAATGATTCCATTTATGTGACATTCTGGAAAAGGCAAAACTGTAGGAACAGAGGAAAGATCTCATTGCCAATGGTTGAAGATGAAAGGGGGAATTGACTACAAATGGACAGGATGAGGAAATTGGGGGGGGTCGATAGAAATGTTTTGTATCATGATTGTGGTGGCGGGTGGATGGCTATGTGTTTGTTAGGAAAAAAACCATAATACTATGCCGTGTTGGACAAGCATGCATTTAACTGAGGTTGGATTCCTATCTGTGTCTGTCTATCCAGCCATTCCTCTCCCCCTCTTTTGGTATATATGTTTACTTGGGGTACTGAAGTGACTTTATTTTTATTTCTTTTCTATAGATTTTATTTGGAGTCAGGAGGAGCCTCAGAACATGGGTCCATGGTTTTTCGTTTCTCCAAGGTTTGAAAAGCAACTGGCTTGCAAGGTGATAGCTCTTTGTTTCTTATGGATTTTTTCTTTCTTTGTGTTGTGTGTGTGTGTTTATGTGAGTATGTGTATGTGAGTGTGTGTTATTTCTCCTAGGGTAACAACAGATGGTTTTCTATTAACATTCCATTTCTTTAAAAACAAATTAAAGTAGAAAAGTGTAGTTTTAAGCTGGGCATAGTGGTTTATGCCTGTAATCTGAATACTCTGGTGGCCCAGGCAGGAAGATTGTGAGTTTACTCCTGGCCTGGTCTATACATTGTATTAAAAAGTATAAAGATCAGTTAGAGATGAATCAACCTGGGTTGTAACACATTTGTACATGGAAGCAATGCTAGGAATCTCTCTGTGTAGCTGTCCTTAACTCAACTAGCAAAAATGCTTTGTCTTCTTTATTATGCTTATGTCTTCTCTTCTACAAAATTGGAGATAAGGGCAGAACAGGTTCTGCCTGGAAGCCAGCAGGGAGAGGGGGAGATGGTGGAGGCGGGGGTGGGGGTGGGGGCGCAGTGGGGAGAAATGACCCAAACAATGTATGCACATGCGAATAAATTAATAATAATAATAAAAAACCCCAAAAACAAAATAAGAAAAGGCAAAAACAAAATCTAGTTTTAGATTATTCTTTTAGAAGAAAACCCTCAGTGTTTATGCAGCTGAATATGTGTATATACTACAGATTGGTTATCTCTTACCTGAAATGCTTAGAACCAGAAATATTTCAGATTTCTGGGTTTTTCAGATTTTGGAATATTTGCATAGACTTTGTTGGCTATCCACCCTTAAAATCTGAAATCTGAAATCCTCCAAAATCTAAAACTTTTTGAGCACTGCAATGATAATCAAAGTTTCATATTTTTGATTAATGATGCTTTGCCTATTGTACAACTAAAAAAAGTTGTTACACCAAACAAGAAAAAGCACTGTGTCACTATTTCCTCAGCATGTCTTATCCCAGCCCTGGGGAAACAGGATGAGGAATAAGCTTGTTTTACAGTATGGGACCAGATACACCCATTTAGGAAGCTGGTGTATATCGGAGGAAAGCTGTGAATCAATTTCCCTTAGGAAGGGAAAAATGATGGGAAGAAGAAATGGGCTTCTGTTCATCTTTCCATTCTGTGTGGATTAGAATCCAGATCACTTATTTGATACTAGTTTGCTAGGCTCAAATTATTCTCACATATAAATAGTTCTAATTAAGGAGACTGTACTGCTAACACCAACTAATAGTTACTTAAATATGGGACAGATTTAAAACTTGTTTCACCTTATCATGGAATTTAGGTAATTGTTAGTGTGACAAATATTTCCCTCTAATGTATTCTGTGTAACTTATTATCTCTCCAGAGTTGTGATTTATGTTTAAACAGCTAAGAGAAATACATGCACCTTCGTGATGGATATAAGCAGAGCTCTGATGCGGTCAAAATGTCATTTGATCTCTTCTTTGTTCCAATGACAGCTCCGTCTTGTGAGCCGGCCCCCCTTGCCAGCCCCTGCAGTGGGGATTGGCACGGTACACCTACAGCAGCATGAAGACATCCTCACCAGAACCTTCACTTGATGTGTCCTTTGAAGAGACACTACCTTTTCTTAAGCACACTGCCATAGAAAGAAAGGCCTGCCTCCTCTACTCTCTGCCCTTTCACCTAGGTAACATGAAAAGTCTGAATTCCTCTAAAATATTAGGATTGATTCAGACAGTTTAATCTGGAAGAGGTGAAATAAGCAGGGGGATTATTATAAATATGTGAATTGCACAGTGATTATGCATTGGTTAGATGTGAGTGAACTGGAGAACAAGGCCATTAGCTAGATGGTTTCTGACTCTAGTAATTAACCAGGCAAAATTCTCTAGACATAATTTAGAGGCATGTATAGATGACCTCAAACAAATTCTCAATTTGTTTGACACATGTCATGTTCATTAATTTTCCCTTCCTTTCTCCAAGCCCTGTGAGTACCAGTATTTTCAGTTTATGTAATCTCCCAGCACTGTGCAAAATTTTCTGCCAAATACCAGCAAAACTAGATTGTTCTTGATTTATGGACTTCAAGTGAGCTTTTATCCTTAAACCTAACTCCTATTCAGTATAAATCTCTGTGTATGTGATTGTTTAGCTCTGTATTTTAAAATTAAGGAGTTTTAACTATGCTAAAATTGATTTGTGATCTATTTTTCCACCAAATTGTTTTGCAATGATACCTTATGATTGTCAACTGACTTTGGTGTCTGATATGGGGATTTCTGCTCCTGGTTAATCAGTTTTGCCTCTAAAAGTCCCAGCTGCAATGTAAATGTTTATTTGTGGATTTAAAGAGTACTTTAACTTTGACAGAGGGACCTTCCCAGTGCCAGGTTCTTGGGGATTTCTTAGAGGTCACCAAGTGACTTGCTCCATCTGAAATGAAACCTAGGGTCAGAAGGCATGCTCAAGTGGCAGAGTGCTGGCCTAGTATGCATGAGGCCCTGGGTTCAATCTCCACTACTGAAAAAAAAAATTAAGCCTAGTGCTGAAAGCATAACTGAACAACAAACTATGTAGCTTCACTCATCTTGGTGCTGTGGAGCCTGTGCCATCTATCATTCTTGCATAAGGACTCTCTTTTTGAGAAGTGGGGGGAGGAATCCTGGGGCCTTGTATGCACCATTCCTTCTCTGCTCTTACCAGCAACTGGCTGTGTCTTACAGAACCAATGTATAGTTTGTTTTGTCCACAAGGGTAAATTCATAATTCACATCATAAATGTGACATTAGGGTATGGATTAAACACTTTTATAGTAGTTACTTCTCTTTTCTTTCTATGTACCCCAGTGCTTCCTTCTGTGTCAAGCCTTATGAATCATGTAACTTAGCACCACTCATGTCAATCAGTAAAATTACAAATGCCTATTTAATGAGAGTGAGTATCAATGTCACACATAAAACTACTAAAAAATTAAAGTGTGTCAGTTTTTCTCAGGTCTCTGGTTTCTTTTCTTTTTTGGGGGGGGAGGGCAGTATGGGGGTCTGACTGGCCTGGAGCTATGATCCTTCCTATCTCAACCTCCCACGTAGTATAGGGTGATAGGCATGCACCACTGCACTCAGCTGTTGGTTGGGATGGGGGTCTCACTAACTTTTTGTCTTGGCTGACCTTGAGCTGTGATCCTCTTGATCTCAGTCTCTCAGGTACCTATAATTACAGGCATGAGTCACAAGCACCTGGCTGCATGGTTTCCTGAATTAAAAGGTTTTAAAAGATGGGATAGAGGGTAAGATTTTTAAAAATTGCTTAGATCTCCCTAAATTTCTCCTGACAAGTTTTTGATTTCTTGTTATATAACAACATGAGCCATGAAACATGTCTTCTGTCATCTTTTTTTTGTTGTTGTTTTTTTCTTTTGGTGTTACTGGGGTTTGAATTCAGGGCTTTGTACTTGTTAGGCAGGCACTCTACTACTTGGGTCACACTGCCAGTCCATCCTCTGTCATGTTAACTTTCTTATTCTAAATCTCATTTTGAATTACTGTGCAGGAAAGGGCCATGAAGAATTGTAAATCAAATATGCATAGCTTTATTCCTCTTAAAAATGTAGTAATGTGATAAACATATCCCATTTATATCTATTATACATATCTATGCTAGTTTAATATTCAATAAAATAGAGCTGAAACCAGGCATGGTGCACAATGTAAATGACACAATTTCATTCTTTATGACTGAATAAAACTCCATTGTCTATATATACCACATTTTATTTTTAATTTTTTGAGGACTCTCCATACTGATTTCCATAGTGCCTTAATAATCTACATTCCCACCAACAGTATATAAATGTTCTTTTACCTCCTCCCCCATCTCTGCCATCTTTTGCAGGGATATTTTTCCTTTTTTTGGCAGTACTGGGGTTTGAACTCTGGGTCTCACGTTGGCTAGACAGATGCTCTTCCTGCTTGTCAACTCTATCAGCCTATCATTTGTTATTATTTTCTTGATGATAGCCATTCTGACTGGGGTAAGATGGATCATATTTTTGTTTAAATCTGGTATATTCCAAAGGAGTCTCATTTGCCAACTGCAAATTCAGTTAATTTAGGACACTTTTAAACATGTATTTAGTGTTTTGCCATGTCATTTCTTACTCATGTAGAGAACCAGCTCTGATTGAACAAAAATAAGAAATGGTCCTTTAAGAATAGAATGGTATTCACCTACAAATAGTTTATTGGATACCTATTCCATAGAGAGCATATTTTTGACCTTAGAAATATATTGAGTTTGGTCCTCAATGAACTAACAATGTGTTTGAAAAGACAAAGCATTTTATGCTTAGAGAGAGGAACTTTCTTGTTGAATATACTAAAACAACATGAGAAGTCAAGGTAGAGTGATATCTGTGATAGATGTAGTGATGTGACATATTTGTAGTTCATCAAGAAAAAGTCCTGAGTAGCATGTAGTAGTAGAAAGATTGAAGAATGGTTAGAAGGTTATTCACAAAAGCTACCCAGAGTGACAAAACTTATTCCCAGGTTCTTGAAATATGAAGCTGTCTCAGAAATGGACAGTAAGGCTACTGTACAGTTTCTGTATGTTATGTTTTCAGTTTAGTGCATCTTTATCGAAAGAACATTATATTCACGCAATTACCTGACAGACTTGTATCCAAACTGCATTAAGTCAATCATTTACAGGATATACAAAAATTAAGCCCTCCTCAGTTTACCGTGTAGTAGGTGAGATCAGTCAAATACAAAAATAACTAATACAAAGTAGAGTGAGGTATAAATGAGTTCAAAGGACAGGAGATTACGGTAGACTGGATTCTCCAAAAATGGCCACAGCAATATTACCATAGGTTCTTCCAAAACCTTGTCACACCCTCTCCTCAAGGTGGTGTCTTTTTTTTCTCCTTAAAGTTGAGCAGATCCTCCTGACTACCTCACAAACAAAATGCAGTAAGAGATTTTGGGTCTCTTCAAGGATGTCTCTTGGAATCCAGCTACCATCTTGTGAGGAAGCCCAGACCACATGAGGAAGCCATATGGAGAAGTGTTGGAATTCACAGCCAGCATAAGGAGAGAGCTTCTTGATAATGCAATTGCCCAGCATGGGGGCTGTCCCAGCTGACCACAAATAGAGCAGAGACTCCTGCAAGCCCAACCTAAACTGAACCTTCTAGGTACAACTATCATTTCCTTCCACATCCTTCTCAGGGGGTTGTTATTATCCTCATTTTGTCCAAGTAGCTCGGATAGGTTTCTTGGCTATCTTGCCTTCTGAATGGCTATTCGGAAGGAGAGGAGGGATTAACATGCAGTGGCTGGCTGATTTCTATGAGTGTGTTTTCTCTTATACCATGGTATCCAAGAAGGGGACAGATGGCAACAGGAGCCACACTGCGTCAGAACGCTGGCTCCAGGAACCGGCTCAACAGCTGGGGCATAAAACCCTGACATCTGTTTTGGAGAAGATGGAGAAGGTGCATAAGCGGTGGATAGGGGAGAAGAGTTTCATAAGCAACTGACTATATACAACGTAACACAACTGTTACAAATGTCAAGGGGTTACAAATAAAATGGAAGACAACCAGAAGGTCGTTTCTGGTCCAGCGACTCAGTCCTAGGCCTCAGGGACCATTGGAGACGCTCAGAAATGAAAAGCCTGGGCCGCCACAGCCTCTTTGGGTCTCGGGAACCCCGCCTCCCGACTAAGGCCCGCCCCACGGGCGTGTCGGTCCCGCCTCCCGGCGTCAGGGCACGCCCCGCGGCTACGCGGGCGGTGACCATGGCAACGCGGCAGCCGTCTGCCAACGGCCGGGGCCCGGTCTGGGGGTGGGGCGTGCGGAGTTGGGGCCTGCGTCACGTGACTCGGGGCGGAGCCTACGCGGGGCTGGCCGGAGCACGTCCAGAGCCGGCGCCGTAGCCTGAGCCAGGGGAGGCTAGCTAGTGTAGGCATCGCCGAGGCCGCGGAGCCCCGCCGGGCCTCCCCTGCAGCCGCCATGGGCAGTGAGTAGGGGCGGCTGGAGCGGGGCTCTCCTGGGGGGCGTGGGCGGGGAGGCCTGCGCTCGCCAAGGGTCGTCCGCCCCGCGGGCCGCGGGGCTGCTATGGAGGGTGCGAGGCGGCGGCTTCCGCCGAGGCTCCTCCAGTCGAGCGAGGCCTCGCCCCGCCGGCCGCGGGGAGCCGGATCGGGGCCCGGGGTTTGCGCCCCGTAGGTGGCGAGGAGCGAGGATGGCGCGGGGACATCCATTGGTTTCGGGGGCGGAGAGTCAGGGCACCGGCCTAAACCTGGACCATTTGTGCTTTTTCTGGAGCCGTGGAAGCTCCTGTTCTTCCTTCCGAATCACCCTTCCTTGGCGTGATGTGATGAATAAGCTTCTTTACTCATATTAAATGCTTTTTCGAAAAAGTGATGCATGGGCAGGTGTTCAGGGGAGGAAAGGCGTGTGAGTGGTAGCCCTGCATTTTCCTTAAAGTGTTCTTCCCAGCCATTCGGTAGCGTTTATTGAAAACTGTAAGGTGGTATGAGCCTTACGGATAAGGCCTTTCTATGAGGGGGATCCTTTGGGGCCTCCCCCAAACACTCCACCCCGGGTATGTTCCCAGAGACACTTAGTAACTGTTAAGATGTTTGTTGGACGAATGGATAACCACATGCCCAAGCGGTGGACCCATTGGCCAACTAGTGGAGATTGGAGAAAACCAGAAAAGAAGTAGAAGTTACCTACAATGAGGAGATTTCTGCCACACACTGATGGACAAGTTGCAGACAAAAGCGATGCATGAATACAAACACTTCAATACAAAAGATCATCAAATGTCAAGAAGTGGGCTTTGGACCGTGACTTGGATTGAGGTGTGAGGGAAAAGGGATCAAAAGGTTGTAGGAAGTTTCCTGATGGGACGGCCAATTGTTTTGCATTTGAAATGAACAGGCTTTCAAAATTCAGAGTTGCCTTCCAAATAGTTCAAAATGGTATGCAACAAATCTCCCCGACAGTTACTAAATTCTATCAGACTAAAGTGGCTGCCATCCTTTTGAGAGATTTAAAAAAGATAGTATGGGGCCAGGGGCATAGCTCAGTGCTAAGTACTTGCCCAGCATGCAGAAGTGTGTGTGTGTATGTGTGTGGGGGGGTGCTGTCCAATTGGGGTGGGGGAGAAAAAGAAAAGAAAGGTAGTATAGCCAGCCAGCCTTTGGCTAACTGTGGAGATGTAATCACTCCTCAGCTTTAGAGCAATTTCAGAATGTTAGTACAGAATCCAGTGTCTGAAGGAAAGAAGACCCAAACACTGCTTGTGTTTCTGCACATTACAGACTGTTTGGTAAAGACCTACAGCTTGACTGAAGCTTGAAAGATTATCGTCTTCATTGCCTAATTTCGCAGCAGGACTTGACTTAAGCAGAAGATAGTGTCTATCCTTAAAGAACCTGGCTTTATCTTTTATAGGCTATCCAAGTAGTCTGGGCAAGTAGTACTTTCCTATGTATATAAACAAGTACTTTGATAACTGTTACTTGAGAGGATGGCCAGGCAGTGAAATATGGCTGCATGAAATGCAGTAGAGATTGTAGATTGTAAGAAGTTAACACTGGGAGATGGTTCCATTTTCTTTCTCACTTAATGAATTTTGGCATCTTTAAGTTGTCTGAGTCAGTTCTGCAGGTGAAGTCTACTTTCTGGCTTACTTTCCTCCATGGAGAACACCTCCTCCTTTATTTCACCCTGTCTCTGTCTACCATAGTGCTTTGCCTTGCAGGTAACACAGGAAACTGTAAAATTTGCTCTTTTTTGAGAACTGAATAATTTCTTTTCTGTGTATAAGAGGATTGGATACAGCGTGAGGAAGCAAAGTTGTGGTAAAAGGATACTTGATTGCTTTGCTTCTACAGATTAGTCTTCAAAACATTATTCTTTTATGTATTCATTTGAAATGTAAAGCATCATGATTATTTGATATGGGGGGATGGGATAAATTGCTGTTCAAAGTTAAAGAAAATTTGTATTTGATCTGTAAAAAGATAATTTCCAACTTTATAATAGAGACTTTTTTTTTTATAGTCAAATTTTTAGAAGTTATAAAACCTTTCTGTGCAGTTCTACCAGAAATTCAGAAACCCGAAAGGAAAGTAAGTATAATATTTTATTAATATAGAGGGTAGTTAAATGACTTATCTTGCCAAAGCAGCAAGATTGATTTACTTTCCCCAAACCTTTTCTGGTTGTAATTGGAAAAAAATTTACCTACTCATCCTTGCAAGAGGACAAAATAAATAAAAGTAATACAGACCTGCCTAAGTCTAAATAGGTTTCTCATGCTTTCCAAAATGATTGTTGTTTAAGTTGTAATATTTCCAAACCATGTGTTTCTCTGGCCTCTTTGTTAGTTAAGTCCATAGTGGCCATGGTAAGCTTTTGTAATCCCTGTATTACAGGGTGTGTGGTGCTTGCTAGTGTGACCTGCTGGGCTAGGAATGGTCCAGTCTGCTGGGTAGATTTTGATGAGTACCAACTGTTTTACATAAATGAATTGCAGTTCTGCAGGTATATCCTTCCCGTTTATTGATTCAGTCATTGGAAAGAAAAATGACAGGAGTGCCTTTAGAAAGTATTGTAATTGAATCAAGTCATTCTTCCATCATTGTGTGCTTTTTGAGCTATTTAAATACTATTAATCCCAAACTGGCTAGTTCCTAGACATTCCTCTTCTGTACTTCGAATTTCTCATGAAATTAACAAGAATAGTGGCATGAAGATAGGTAAGAGTTTCATTGAACTTACTAATTTATTTAGAAGTATATTTCATTTTTAATAACTTGAGATGGTAAAAATAGTCAGTCTAGTGACAGTTAGGGCATCCCAAGAAATTAACTTTTCGTAGTTCATGAACTGACCTAGGATTGCCCGTATAATATTATAAAACTGTATAACATTACAGACAGTTGTAGAGTGGCATGATAGAATGTTAACTGAAACGTGCCTAAAGTGCCATCTACCTTTGTGCAATATACATGAGAATCGCCTGTATTTAAATTACCTCGCATGTCCAGGTATAATACCAAGGGAAAAAACTCACTGAACAACAGACTCCTCAACAATGAAGGACAAGAATGTAGAACTGGTCATGCTAGGGAGAGGGGTACTAATGGGAAAGGGAGGGTAAATGAGAAAGCAAAGAAAGTGAAGAAAGTGTACTTTCTATACATGTATGAATGTGGAACATTCAGACCTGGTGAAATCACCACAAGAAGGGGACTAAGGTAGAAAGGAGAATAATGGAGGGGATGAACAAATTTGGGGGTATAATACGTATAAAAGGAGAAAAAGAAGGACATGAAGGTAAAACAAGTCTTGTTCAGGAGTTGGTACCAGAAGGAGGGGGGCACGCATAAGGAAAGAGTGAAGGAGGGTGAATATGGTGGAAGTACTAAGTATTCATGTATGAAAATGGAACAATGAGACCTGTTGAAACTGTTCCAAGAAGGGGGGGTAAAGGATAATGATGGAGGGGCTGAATCTAACTAAGATATATTATAAGCTGTTTTGTGAATGTCACTTTGTACCTCTGGTACAATTATAATATATGCTAAAGAAAAAAAATAGAGGCTTATGTTTCAGAAGTTGAGCTGTTTGTTTTAGCTGCTGTAAGCTAGAGCGAAATAGACATTTTCAGAGTGACTAATAGCATGTCATGATGGGAATGTTGGTTATACTTTAATGTGGGTTTTTGCTTTAAATTTATTTTTTCTTGCTTTGGATTGAGCATTTTTTTTGTATTTTATTGTACAGATTCAGTTTAGAGAGAAGGTACTATGGACTGCTATAACTCTCTTCATTTTCTTAGTATGTTGTCAGGTATGTAACCATATTATATCAGTGTCTGTACTGTTGTTCTAAGATCTAGATTACTTAGAACTTGAGAAACTTGGTTAAAATAATATACTGTAATACACTGAGCATTGTTACTCCATTTTAAAATTTTTGGTGGTATTGGGATTTGAACTCAGGACCTCATGCTAGGCAAGTGCTCTACCACTTGAGCCACGCTTCCAAATCTTTTTGCAATGGTTATTTTAGAACTAAGGACTGGTCTCACTTTTTTGCACAGGCTGGTCTGTATCATGGTCCTTTTATTAGTGTTTCCTGCAGTAATGTGTGCCACTTTGCCCAGCTTCTTCTGTTGAGATGGGGATCTCAAACCACAACCCATCTGATCGCTACCTGCCAGGTACCTGGGATTTTTTTTTTTTTTAAGTGGTGCTGGGGCTCAAACCCAGGCTTTGCATATGTCAGGCAAGCACTCTACCATTGAGCTGCATCACCATTGATTATTGTTATTCTTAATTTGAATTATTTTGCTCTATGTATTTCTTTTAGTTTACTAGTGAGTTTGGAAATTTTTTTCCTGTTTTCAGGTAATGATTGTTGCTCATATTTTTACTGAGATGCTTTTTTCCTATTGATTTTAGGATAGTTTTTTTATATATAAAAGTGACTTTGACATCTATTTTGCAAATATTTCTCTAGTTTCTTAGACCCTTGGGCTATACTGTGTTTGAAAATTAGGAAAATAAAATGGTATGCTTTTTAAATTAGTTTTTAACTGATACATAAAAATTTATCTCAACTGATACATTAAAATTGTTATATTTTTAACTGATATATAAAATAATTTATAACTATTAATACAGAGAGATTTAAGTACATAAAATAAGACTAAAATATGACCATTTCAGTGTTGTGAGAATTAAAGAAGATAATTTTAGTGAAATTTTTTTCAGGACTTTGAAAATTTATTAAAATATATATAAAAAACTTAAAACATCATGTCAGGTAGCAATAGATCAGATTAGGTCCATAATCTGGAGAAAAGCCAAATATTTTCTTTTTGAAGGATCAAGTCATCAGATCATTAAAACACATTTACTGCTGTATTTGGCTTAAATTTGTTTTGGATGGTCAGAAGGGAAATTTTTAAAGAATACAGGAAAGTACAAAGAAAAAAAGAACGGTTACCTGTATTCCTACCATCTATGTTTAACATCTTGGAAATTCCCCTTCCCTCATAAAAACAAGTCAACTTTATGGTATTACATGTACAAAGTAAAATCTAGTTGCACATGGTAGGCAAGCACTCATTTTTAAACTATGCATTTTGAAGAATTTTGACACTTATGTACACTCAAGAAACTACTACCCGAGTGGATGTAGAACATTTCAGTAAGTCCCTAAAATTCTCTGTAACATTTCTCAGGCACTGCCCACCTAACCTAGTCCTAGGCAAGCACTGGTCTGCATTCTGCACTATAATTTGATTTGGCTTCTCTGTAGTTTCATATAAATGAAATCATACAGCATTATCTTTTTATTTTTGGTACTACTGGGCTTGAACTGAGGGCCTCACATTTGCTATGCAAGCTCAAATTGTGATCCTCATAATGTCCTCCTCCTAAGTAGCTGGGATTCCAGGTGTGTACCATGATGCCCAACCTAGCTTTAGTCTTTACTATCTGACTTTGTTACAATACTTTTGAAATTTATCCAGACTTTTTCATGTGCTTATTCAGTATTTGCTTATCTTTTGTAAAGTGTCTTTTCAAATCTTTTGTCCATTTGGAAAAAAACTGGTTAATGTCTCATTGTTGAATTTATTAATATATTAATAAATATAAATTAATAAAATAAATATATTTTATTTTCTGGATAAATGTCCTTTGTCTGATAAAGGTATTGGGAATAATTTCTCATTCTTATTTTGGCAGTTCTGGGGTTTGAACTCAGAGCCTCACAGTTGCTAGACAAATGCTACATCACTTGAACCATGCCTCCAGCCTTTCCTCATGCTTTTGCTCTGGCTGTCCTTAAACCACAGTCCTATTTTTGCTTCTCGTGTAGCTGGGCCTTTTAGTTTCTTAACATTGTTGAAGAACAGAAGTTTTTAATATGATGAGGTTGCTTATCTTTTTTTTTTGAACTCTGGGCTTCAGGCTTGCAAAGCACCAGCAGTTCATTGTGGATGGTGTGGGAAGTATTGTGAAGGACACGGCTGTGAGCATTCGTGTAGAAGCCTTTATGTGGCGACATACTTGGATAAAGACCTACGAGTAGAGTGGGTCGCATGGTAGGGTAGTGTGTTTTGCTTTTAAGAAACTGCCAGTTTTCCAAAATGGCTGTACCTTTTACTTTCTCTGCATTCTTGTTAACTCATGAGGTTTTCAGTCTTCTATTTTATTTATTTCTTTTCTTTTTTGGGGGGACTAAGGTTGACTCAGGACTTTGTGCTTGCAAAGCAGGTACTGTACCACTTGATCCACAGCTCCAGTCCATTTTGCTCTGGTTATTTTGGAGATAGGGTCTTGCAAACTATCTGCCCAGGCTGGCCTCAAACGGAGATCCTCTTGATCTCAGTCTCCCAAGTAGCTGGCATTAGAGGTATGAGCCACCAGCATCTGGCTTTTTTGGTTGGTTTGTTTGAAGGCTCATGGTTTTGGTTTCCTAACTGAGATATTTTTGCCTATTCTAAGGTCATAAAATTTTTTCTCCTGTGTTCTTTTAAACATTTTAGCTTATATGTGTTGGTTTGTGATTTGTTCCAAGTTAATTTGAGGATCTGGTGAGGTAAGGGTTGACTTTTATTTATTTCTATATGGGTATCCACTTACTCTGGTACCATTTGTTGAAAAAAAATCCCCATTGATTTACATTGGTGTCTTTGTTGAAAATTAGTTAATATAAGCATGGTTTTCTCTACTCTGTATTCTGTTTTATTATAATAAACTACACTTCTCACAATTGGAACTTCGTAAGTCCTAATCAGTTTGTAAAAGTCCTTTGACTTTTTTCTTTGGCCAAATCATTTTGCCTGTTTTAGGTCCTTTATATTTCCGTATGAACTGTTAGAATCAACTTGTCACTTGTATGTACAATAGCCTGCTGGGATTATGATTTATGTTGCTTTAAATTTATAGGTATTGAAAATACTGAATCTTCTAACCTAGGGGTCAGCAAATTATTATGTGTAAAGGTCTAGATAGTAAATCTTTTAGGATTTGTAACATAATTCAAGAACTCAAAAGAAAACAGCTCAAATAAGAGAATGGCATTTCTCAGGTTTGTTTCATGTGGTAAATTAATTTATGCATTTTTTGTGACTTTTTCTCCCTGTGTGTACATAGTTGTTAAGCTATTTCTTTTTGTCTTTCTCATGCTTAGGCAGATCTGCCTATATTGTAAGTGATTTTTTTATTCTGTTTCACTGAATTTCAAACAGGTTCTAACCAGTCTTCTCTAGCTTGAGGGTGTGGTGGGAGTGAGAAAAGGGCATTCAGTGCTTCCAGGACTCTGCACGCTCTCTCCCACCTACCCTCTCTCTCGAGTTTTGTTAACTATCTTGAAAAGGTTTTCATCATTCTGACTGGGGAGGACTGTACTCCATTCTAGGCTCCAGGTCATTTCCCAGTTCCCACTTTAGGGTAACAGTAGAAGCTTCAAGTCTAATAGAGGCTCATTGCTCATTTTTCTGTCACCCACTTCTCAGCTGCTATTTCTCCTCCCTCTTAACAAAGGAGGGAAAGTAAGGATATGTGCATTTGACTTTTCTCCAGGTTTGGAATGTTCATGGGCATTCTGACTTCCACTGTGATGGCTAGGAGCAGCTTTGTTCTGAGTGCCCAGTCCTGATCTTTCATCTCCCACGGCTACCAGTGCTTCAGATTCCTAACACTTCTTCTTTTGCTGCTTTGCAGTGGTTTTGTTTTTCTTTTCTCTTAGCTTTAAAATTTTTCATTAGCTTTTTACTATTTTACATGTTTATGTTTTATTTCGTGTCAGAGAAGGAAAATGCTGTAATGTAATTGCAGTTTGCCATTGTGGTTTTTTGCAGGGCCTTCAGTGTGCTGGGCAAGTACTGTACCATTGGGCTACACGGCCAGCCCGCATCTTGCCATCTTAACCCAGACCTGTCTCAGTGGTTTTCAGTTCCCACTGCCTTTGGAAATCCCTATTGCTAATTTTCTCATTTTCCTTGTGATCTGTTCAGAGCATGGAATGCTCAAAGTACTACATTGTATTTTGCCAAGTTTGCTAAAAGAAAGACTTTAGGCAAACAAAATAAGTTTATTTGAGCATTGAAGGATTTGTGAGTGACAGCACCAGAAAGTTCTGCTCCCATGACCTGGGCAGCTTTGATGTGTACTGTCCTGTAATGTGAACTGGTTTTGGTACAATAACTCCCTCACTCCTCAGTGCTCACTTTAACTGGAGAGGGTCTGCAGCTGTAGGGCACACTTGAAATACACACACTTCATTTGTCACCATTTTATTTGGCTAATACGTTCAGATACTCACAGAGGTTTAGTTTGTTTAAAATTGCTGGCAGCATCTCTTGGGACTTTAAAAAAATAGGTTTCAAATAGAGAAGGTTTTTGAAAATAGTGGTGTGTTTTTCTTTGTGTCCGATCCCCATATGGTTGAGGAAGGGGTGCGAGCAAGTGCAATGTCTTAAACATGGGTCATATAATAGGAAGCTAGAGATAACCAGTATTTAGGATTTAGTTTTTCTACACAAATTTCTTATACTGTTGAACTTTTACTTTATTTACACAGCTTTGGATCTTTATTTTTATACCAGGGTTTCTAACTAGTGGCACTACTGAATTTTAGCCAGGACACTTCCTTATTGGGGTTGTTCTGTGCACTGTAGGATATTTAGCAGTGTCCCTCGCTTCTACCCACCAGATCCAGTAGTTAATACCCCTTCCCTGCCACCAAGTTTTTGCAACCCAAAATGTCCTATAGTAATCATCCTATAATCTCACGGGTGTATTTTTAATTGTGGTGAGAAAACATAACAAAATTATGTTCTTAACTCCTTTTAGGCGAATAGTTTAGGTATATTCAATTTTGGTACAATAGCTTTCTATACTCAGAAGTATTTACTAGTGAAATGCACCAAATAATGATTTCTGTTGGTTTTAGTTGAAGAATTTTACCCTAAAGGTATGGTTGTTTTTGGGATTGAGTATGGTGGTACATATCTGTAATCCCAGGGACTCGGGAGACAGAGCTAGGAGGATCGCGCTTTGAGTCTAGCCTGGGCAAAAGTTAGTGAGATCCTGTTTCAAAAATAAACCAGACTTGGTGGTACATGCCTGTGATCATGAGGTGTAGGTAGGAGGATTGAGGTTCAAGGCTGGTTCAGGCAAAAGGCAAGATGTTATTTAAAAACAAACTAAAGAGGGAAATGACTGGAGAGGTGTTTCAAGAGGCTGTAAGCTCACCCCCAGTACTGCGTCTCTGCTCAGAAAGATATGCTTGCTTTTGTTGTGGATCATGAGAAGTAATGTCTTTAAAAATATTGCTAACCCAAGTGAAGGCCTTGAATACGTTTTTATAGAATATTTTGTGTAATATTTTAGATACCACTGTTTGGAATCATGTCATCAGATTCTGCAGATCCTTTCTATTGGATGAGAGTTATTCTTGCATCCAACAGAGGTATGTACTGCTTTTCTTACTGCCTTCATTTTGACAAATGTGGATTAACAACGATTTTTCAAGCTGGGCATGGTGGTGCAGGCTTTTGATCCCAGTTACTTAGACACAGAGGCAGGAGGATCTTGAGCTTGAGGGCAGCTTAGGCAAACCTCTTTGGATGTCTTAATGTATTAACTTGGTAACAAAACTAGTGAAGGTAGTGAGACCCTGTCTCAAAAACAAAATAAAAACCAAGGACTGAGAGTGTAGCTCAAGGGGTAGAGCACTTGCCTAACATGCATGTGGCCCTGGGTTAAATTCCCAGAACCACAAAAACAGAAAACTACTTTTCAAGGTTTACAGGGAGAAGGAGACTATGACAGTAGAAGAAACCCATTGCTTGAGAAGAGAAACATGTAAATAGCGACACCACTCTGCATTTATTGTAGGGAAATTGGCCCTTGGGGCTTTCACAGACCCAATTCCCTGTCTATTATGGTGTCAGAGAGGAGGTGACACATTTGCATTAGACTTTCCTCCTTGGACCCGTGGGGGAGAACAGCTTGAGCCCTCGCATAAGATAGCATGAGGTGGTCTGGGAGGCTAGCTAGATTGGATCATAGGCTTTTTGTATTTTAGGAATAATGATGGCCTATTCTGTAGAAATAGTTTAAATAGCAGACAGGTAGTTTTTGTAATATTTTTAGATTATAAGAATAATATTGGTTTATTATTTTTTAAAGACAGTGAAATTTATATGAAGCTGAAAACAAACATTTCACTTTGGAAGAGCTCTCCTGGAAAGATTGGCAGTTACTCATCTAGACTTTTTCTTTGCATATGTGTTCACACATTTAAGTCTGTATACTCTAACTTAAAAATAAGATACTACCTACATACTGTTTTGTTACCTGGTTTGTTTATTTACTCTCTTAGATGAGCAATTTCATTTAATAACCATATGTTGTTCCATTATAAGGATCTGCTGTGATTTATTTAATCAGCCTTTCAACAAATTTCTGAGTTCTTACTATGTACCAAGTTTTGTGCCAGGTGCTAAGGGAGAGCAGTGAACAGACAACATCCTAATTTCCTTGCAGTTTATGTTTTCTGTATGGGGATCTAGACTCTATGTGAAGTGTATTGAATGGAGAATGATCCTCTAAAAAGGTGACATTGGACAAGAGACTGCAGGAAGTAAGACAGAAGGCCCATTGAAGACCTAGGGGAGGGAAGTTCTAGGAAGAGCAAGTGTGAAAGCCCTGAGAGGTTAGTGTGTGCTTAGTGTTCACAGAAAAGGTCTGTGTGGCCAGAAGAAATTTTTTTTCTTTTGTGGTACTGGGAGTTGAGCTCAGGGCCTCACATTTCTAGGCAAATGCTCTGCTAACTTTAGCTATGCCCCCAGGTCTTCTCTTTGTATTTTGTTTTTGAGATAGGATCACTAATTGTCCAGGCTATCTTCAAACTTGTGATCCTCCTGCCCCTGCCTCCCAAGTAGCTGGGATTACAGGTGTGTACCACCACACCCAGTTTATAATTTTTTAATAGAATAAATTTCTAGAAGTTATTGGTCACAGGATAAGTACACTTAAATTTTCAACAGACAGAGCTAAATTATCTTTCACAGGGTTGTATTATTTTATGCTTCCAGCAACAATATATGACAATAATCATTTCTGTTCTGACAGTGGATATTAGTGTTTGAGTCTTTGTCAGGCAGGTAAAAATTGATATCTATTATTTAATTTCTGTTTTTTTACATACTGGTTTGCTTAAATACTTTTGTGTTTTTATTCAATATTTTCATTTCTTCTATGAGGAGACTTTTCATAGTGTGTTAAATTTTTGTTGTTTTGATTAATAGAAATTACCAAGTAGTTTCAATGCCAAAATGGAATTATTGGAAAGATACCGGTAATTTTTTGGAATCTAGAAAGGAGGTAAAGTAAGCAAAGGCAGTTTTTAGGCCCTCACAGCAGGGACTTCTGAACCTTTTCTCTGTGACTCAGAATTCCAAATTAGGAGGATTTATGGCAGTTTTGATCTTGGGTAGAGTTTGAGAGGTAGTACAGGGATGGGACAGATTGGGGTGCTGGATGGTAGATAACAGATGCTCCATGTTTCTGCTCGTTCCTTTTTTCAGCTGGTTCACTTTTCAGTTGATTTTGAGTTCTTTGCATGTTAGAGACACGAGCTCTATAATTTGTGTATGAATATCTTTTAACTGGGTGGTTTTGTTGCTACATGGAAGTTTCATGGTTGAATCTAGTATCTTTTTCTTGCTGGCTTCTAGACTTTTATTGTCATGCTTAGAAAAACTTTTTCTTTTTCCAAGATTACTAATATATTCATCCGTATTTCCTTCTTTTACTTTTTTTATGTTTAAATTTTCTATACATCTATCATTTATTTTTATACAAGCCATGAGGTAAGGAATCTAATTTTTTGTAAATGGCCAGTCATTTGCCAAGGTCCTTTTGTGCTCTCTCGGCTGGTGCAGGGAATTCTAGGGCCTAGCACTTCTAAAAACAATGTTCTGCCATTGAGCCACACCTCTCCCCCCCAGTCCTGCCAGGGTTTGATTGTCCTTTTTTCTGCTGACCCGAAGTGCCATATTTCCTGTTACAGATTGTCATGAAAGCTTGATTGAATCTGTTTCTGGATTAGATGTATTTGGTAGTCATAAATTTTAGCAATTTGACTTAACAAGAAATCTCTGTGGCTTTAACAGTAACAAATGTTTTTATCTTTCAATACTGAAGAAGTATCTGAAAAGAGATCAAGAATCTCTACAGTAGAATACGTTGTTATATTATCTGTCTAGTATTTATAAAACACAGGATTTCAGGGAGTGATGTGGCAAAACAGTCTTGACCATGTTGTATTACTTAGTTCTGCATATTTCCTTACACAATTGGCACATTTGGTTTTCTTCATAAACCCATTTCATATTTTCTGTAGAGAAAACTTTAGAAAATACATGGGAAAAATCATCCATAATTCCACTGTGTAAAAATACCAGCAGTGAACATCTTGACCACCAGATTAAAATGATTGAAAGCTTATGACTGTACATACTATTTTCTAATTTCTTTTGCTACCCAGTATGTCATGAACATTCATGTCACTAAATATTCTGCATTAACATGGCATGCAGTTTTAAATTTTACATTAGAAGAGTTAACATTCTTCAATATTATTTTTATTAACTTGGTATGTAATTTTTGGAATTATTATATAATTTTTATTTTGCATTAAACATAAAAATCTTTAGCCAGATGTGGTGGTGCATGCCTGTAATCACAGCACTTGGGAGGCCGAGGCAGGAAGATCGTAAGTTCAAAGTCAGCCTTGACTACACAGTGAGTTTCAGACGAACCTGGGCTATATAGCAAGACTGTTGCAAAAAGAAAAAACTCTTTAGTATAAGATTAAAAGATTAGTAAAAGATTTGCATAGAAATCTTGGAAGGTTTCTTCCTTTCTTCCTTCTTTCCTTCTAGGGCTGGGGATTGAACCCAAGGCCTTGCACATGCTAAGCAAACACTCATTCTGCCTCTGAGCTATGCCACATCACCCCTTCCCCCCAGTTTGTGTGTGTGTGTGTGTGTGTGTGTGTGTGTGTGTGTGTGTTACTGGGGATTGAATTCAGGGCCTTGTGTTTGCTAGGCGAGCACTGTCACTTGAGCCATGCTGCAGTCTTTGTGCTTCTAGTTTGTTTTCATGTAGGGTCTCATGCTAACTTTGCCCATGCTGGCCTCCCAAGTAGCTAGGATTACAAGCATGTACTACCACACCTGGTATTTAGTTTATTCTTTAAATGCTTTTTTTTTAATTTTAGTGCGTGTTTTAATTTAAAAATATTTTCTATGTTGGTACTGGGGATTAAACTCATGCACCATGCTCTAGCATCAAGCTATACCCCCAGTCCTAGAAAGTTTCTTTTAAAAAGGACTGCTTTAATATCTTAAGTTTAGAATTTACAGAAATCGACATGTTATAGTACTTATAACACTTAATTCAAAGCACCATTGTAAGTTGTGTTGATAATGAGCTTTTTAAAAAGTCTATTTAAGGAATGAAAGTTTGCTTGTTAACATTTAGACGTGTTTCAGGGAATGTTACTTGGGACTAGGACACTGCTAGATTCTTCTGTAGTATGTATAATAAAAATTGCTTACCTCTTTCCCCTTCCTTTACAGGAACTTTAATGGAGTTGGGTATCTCCCCAATTGTAACGTCTGGTTTGATTATGCAGCTGTTAGCTGGAGCCAAAATCATTGAAGTTGGAGATACACCCAAAGATAGAGCTCTGTTCAATGGAGCCCAGAAATGTGAGCATTATTACAATTAAAGAGGCTTTTCCAGATTGAAGAGTGCTTGTGGTAAAATTGTTTCCTGTAGTTTTTTCTTTTCTTTTTTTCTGTCCTTAGTTGTAAGCATGTATTTCTTTTTCCCCCAATTTTTGTCAGTATTTGGTATGATCATTACCATTGGGCAAGCCATTGTGTATGTCATGACGGGAATGTATGGGGACCCCGCAGAAATGGGTGCTGGGATTTGTCTTCTCATCATTATACAGGTAAGAAATCCAACATTTTCATGTGCTAATGAAACAGATCATAGAACAAGTTTGATTCCTTTTTTCCCTAGCCATTCTTCATGTGATTGATATATTCATTTTTCTTCTGAATTATTTTATTTAGTTATGTTTTGATTACTGAAGTGATGCATATACATGTATTGATGTAAAAATTTAAATTTATTTAATAGCATCGTATAAAGAATGATGAAGCACCCCTATTTCATTGGTTCTAAGATGTACATTTTTTCACATTTTGATGTTTTCTCTCAAATCGGAATGCTTTCCTACAGTTAATAGTGCCTTAGTACTGCTGTCAGCCAGGGGCAGCCATGGAAGTTTTCATTGCTTGTGCATGTGTGTCTAGGCTATAGCTATTCAGGTTGTCCTTGTATCAGTTGATTATGTACAATGTTGATATAACAGGTGTTTGAGTTTATTCTCTGAAATGTCTTTAAAAAGCTCTGTTGTGATGGGCTGGGATAATGGCTCAAGTGGTAGAGCACCTGCCTAGCAAGCATGAAGTCCTGAGTTTAATCCCTAGAACTGCAAAAAAAACAAACTTTGTTTTAAAGCCAGGCATGGTGGAGCACATCTGTATTCCCAGCTGCTTGGGTGGCTGAGGTGGGAGGATCTTTGAGCCCACCAGTTTGAGACCAGTCTGGGCAGCATAGCAAGACATCATCTCAAAAAACAAAAACAGAAACAAAACTTGTGATTTATTTTTGAGATGAAAATTATTGTGCATACAGAAAGTTACATAAAGAGCAAGCTATAGGATAAATATTTAAGTCTAAGTCTGAATTGCCTTTTTTATAGTCAGAACATAAAAATTCTTTGTTATAAGTTTTTTTTGTTTGTTTGTTTTGCTGGGCATTTAACCCAAGGGACTTGCATATGTGGGGCAAGCACTCTACTACTGAGCTACTTTCCCAGCTCTTGGTTTTTTGGGACAAGGTCTTGTTACATAGCTCAGGCTGGCCTCAGGGTTGAAATCCTTCTGCCTCTGTCTTCAGTGCTGGGATTATAGCTATGCATCACCATGCCCATAGTACAGTTGTGGTATTTTAGATAATAATATGTTAGTGTCAGTGGACTACCATGTATATACACATACATTATATTCCACAGCTATTTCACGGGGGACTTATGAGTGGAATTTTTTTTTTGGTGGAGCTGGGGTTTGAACTCATGGCTTTGTGCTTCCAAAGCAGGAGCTCTACCACTTGAGCCACACCTCCAGTCCATTTTGCTCTAGTTATTTTGGAAATGGGGTCTTGTGAACTGTTTGCCCTGGCTGGTCTCAAACTGCGATCTTTCTGATCTCAGCCTCCCAAGTAACCAGGAATGCAGGCATGAGCCACCAGTGCCTGGCTCAGGAATGGAATTTTTTAAAGACCAACATAATTAATGACTATACTAAGTATCTGAAATGTGTAAAGTCAAGAAGGTATTATGCCGTTGTAGAATCCTTGAAAATCATTTAGAGAAATTCCCAGAATGAGTTTACTTAAATTACATAGTATTTATTGTCGGTTTTTTTTTGCTTGTTTTTGTGGTACTGGGGATTAGAGCCAGGCAAGTATTCTACCACTTGAGCCAGGCCCTCAGCCTTATTTATTCTGCTTTGAAAAGAAGTTTGCTTCAGTTGATACGTAATGGGTATCTTCAGTTCTAATTAACTTGGAAATCCATCTTCTTGTCTACTCCATAATATTCTTATTAGGAAATTTTTTCTAACAGTTCATAACCCCAAATGCCAGTTTATATATATATTTGTATATGTGTGTGTGTGTGTGTGTGTGTGTGTATGTAGAGAGAGAGAGAGAGAGAGAGAGAGAGAGAGAGAAATACGACTATCTTAGACTGGCATAGTTAACCATTTTTTTTTTTTTTTAAGATACCTTACATAGTAAGTAAATGAAATGTTAGATTGTTTAATGAGCATGACTTTAGAGAATAAGGCAAGTTAGAGCATTCAAGTATTTGTTGGTGTCACTAACAGTAAGAGTGGTTTTTCTAAAGACATAGAACTATTTTGTCTTTGGTTTAGGGCAGGAATTTTTAATGCTTTTTGGTAGCTTTATAAGCCCCTTTGTGTCTCCATTTGTTATAAGATACATTTCCTTACAGAATAGCATTGCCTTTATTTCTCAATTACAAGTCACTTGCCTGGCAAAATGATAGGCATTGTGAATTGGAGGATGAGATGTAAAGAAGACCCTCTGAGACAGATGAGCACTTCTCAACGCTCAGGGTCTCTTCACATGCGTTGGCCTGTTGAGGATGCTGAGAGACCAATTTCTGCCCTGTTTTCGTTTCTTTATAGCCTTTGCTTTATGCAACCCATAGTTGAGAGTAATCGTTTTTGTTTTGTTTTGGTTCTGGAGATTGAATTTAGGGTCTTGAGAATGCTAAGCACACATTTGATACTACTCATCTATACCCTCAACCCAAAATAACCTTGGTTTTTCAAAGACATTCAGAACTGGTATCTAGCTCTTATATAGAACAGTATGCACCTCTGAAATTTTTCTTGTACCTTCCTAAGTATATATTTAGACTCCTGAGGAACCTTAGTCAAGCAATCCTGGATTAGTTAGAAAAGAATTGACCTCTTACAGAGTCAATTATAGATTTAAGTAGATAGAAAGTGCAGTTATCTTGATGTTTATTTTCAGTATTCAGAACTTGAAGAATAATTATATCCAGGAATTAAACAAGTGAATATGTATTAATTGGTTTACAAAAATTCTGGTATATAAATATTGGTATTGTGGTTAATTCTTCTAGTGTTGATGCATTTATGTCATGTTTGATCACTGGCAGGCAATGACCCATTTGTGTCTTTTTCACGACATTGCTAACATTGAAAATAACGTTGATATGCTGAAGAGCAAAAATGGATCAGTTTGTTTTCACCTAGAAACATAGGTTTTTAAAAACTGTTTGCATGCTGTTATGGAAAGTATATTTCACTTTATTTGTTCTTAACTCATTCACATAGTCAGTTCCACTAATTGGTTTTAAAATCTAAATAGTGTATCTTGCTTAAAGTAAAAAACACAAATAGAAAATGTCTGTGTGCATGGCACATAACAAAGATTAGTATAGAAAATGTCTGTGTGCATGGCACATAACAAAGATTAGTATATTTTGTCAAACTAAGTGCTGCATGCTTTTACGTGCAGAGTTGAAATAATCAAGTATGAGCCAGGGCAGGTGGCTCATGCCTGCAATCCTGGTTACTCAGGAAATGGAGATTGGGAGGCAAAAAATTAATGAGACCTCCTTTCAACAAGGTCGCTGAGTATGGTGTTCTGTACCTGTCATCCCAGCTAGTGGGAGGAGCAAGTAGGAGGATTGTGATCCAGGTCAGCCCAGGCGAAAATTCAAGACCTTATTAGAAAAATAACTATAGAGCTGGAGGTATGGCTTAAGTGGTAGAGCACCTGCCTCGCAAGCAAGAGCCCGGAGTTCCAATCCCATTATCACTCCCCACACCAAAAAAAGTGTGATTACACTCAGTCCAGAGGCTCACAAAGTACACTGCGTGTGCACGTGTGGTCATATGGTCTGTTCTTCCCGCTGTGCTGCTCATGGAGGTGCTCTTGTCACTTCCTGGCTTCTTTTTTTCTTTTTTGTTTTAATGGGGTTGTGCTTTGAACTCAGGGCTTTGCTCTTGCAAAGCAAATGCTCTTCTGTTTGAGCCACACCTCCAGTCCATTTTTCTCGTTATATAGAGATGGGGCCTCACAACCTGTTTGCCTGGGCAAGCCTCTAAACTTGATTCTCCCAATCTCAGCTTGTGAGTCACCGGCCCTTTTTTAATAAACATGCATGATTTTTACTGCTTTTTATCCTTTAATTATAGGAACCATTTCTCACTGAGATTTCCTTATAATTCTTTTTTTTCCCTTTGGGGAAATAAGAGTTTAATTTTCATAAGCATATCCATGAACCACTCTGTGGTCTACCCTGTTCTGAACAGGGGGTCTTGGAGAGTTACAGTCATTTCAGACTTTTGGACAAGTCATCTATCAGAGCTCAGGATAATGCATTTTGGTTGGCTGATATTTGGTGGACAGCCATTATTCCCTGCATAGGGATAGGTTGCTGTGTTTATGACTGGGAATACTCATTCATTGCCAAATTGTGGTCAAAATAAAGTCTAAACAACAACATTGTGTAAGGTAAGCACGCTTAAATGTATAATGCATAACCGGTTTGATGTCTCATCTGACAGGTGATTTAGGGGGAAGTGAGTGGATAATGAGGGTAGACGACTTCAGAGCTGGGAGGAATTGATGTGATTTCCTTGATTCTGTAGGATGGTGCCTTTAAAGTTGGGGACCTGTGTCAGGCTGGGGGAATAGAGCATATTTCCTTCACTCTTGATGAAGTCATTCAGTCAGGAAGGAGAATGTGACTGAGGAGGTCACTTGAAAGGCTATGGATTGTTTTTAATTGATGCATGCTTTTTACAGAAATGTCTTCTCCAAGAAGAAAATTAAGAAAGTTCAGTGTCACATAAATTAAAGTTAGTATGCTTTCATTTTTAAAAAAAATTTATCAGCTTAAAAACCTGGAAAGCTCTTAACTGTCTTTAACTTTACATGTTGTCTTTGTCACAATAAGTATAAAATATAGTTTTTACATTGTTATAATCTGTATACATAATTTGTATGCTACTTTTTTACTTATTCTTTACGTATTATATGTAATATGTCTATGTAATATACAAATTATATAGTACTTTGTAAAAAGTATTAATATAGTCCTCATTCTTTAGTGGCAATGTAAAATTGTATCTTATTACTCTAATACATTTGGACTTTTATTTACTTGTAGGTATTTGGGATGTTTTCAGTTTTTTGCTGTGAAATTCTACAGCTGTGATAATTTTTGTTTTAGTATGCTTTTTTCAAATAGACCCTATTTAAACACTGTAAGGGAAATTCTTCAGAAAGTTTAAATATTCTCTAAAAGATGAAGCGTGTGCTATGGAATGTACCAGTACTTCTAATCCTCTGGTTTTCAGAATTGGCTTCTGACTAAACTCAAACAGCTCAAAAGCTGTCAGTAGAACAGTGATAGTGTAACAGGTCTGATGTTAAAAATGCCCCGTACTTTGCAATAGCCCATGGCATTTGTCTTTCCCCTTCCTGAGTTTATTCTTGCTTCTGCTTACGTGCATTTCTTTTCCTACAGTTGTTTGTTGCTGGTTTGATTGTGCTGCTGTTAGATGAGCTGCTACAGAAGGGTTACGGCTTGGGGTCTGGTATTTCCCTCTTTATTGCCACCAACATCTGTGAAACCATTGTCTGGAAGGCCTTTAGTCCCACTACCATTAACACTGGCAGAGGTACATTGCACAGTGACTGCAACTGCACGAGTTTTGCTGATGTGTACTGAAAACAAGTCCACCATGCAGCAGGACATGCCTGTAGCCATTCTGGTTTGCCACCCCAGGGGACAGTGAATGCTAATTGTTCAAAACTTAAGAAGCAGAGATGTATGGAGTATGCAGTACTACTTCACAAAGAGTAATAGCTAAATTTTAGACTCTGCTCACTTAATGTTTCATTGATTGCAAACAGATTTTTTTAAAAATTTGTTTAAGAAACTTTTGCTGACCTTGTTTAAGCCATTGCTGTTAAAGTCATTTACCTGACTTCAGTATTCCCCAAAGAATGAAAAGGTAGTGGGTTCAGATTTCCCAAATGAGGTCTGCTGTCATCATATTTTTAGAGAGCACTCATACTTCTGCTTCTCTTCTTATTGGCTTTGGCACAGCATCTAAGTTTTGAAAGATTTCATTCTGTCTTTCCCCTTATCCTTCTACTTCTCTCAGTTAGTCTAACTGGTTCACATCTAACTCTGATCCCAGTCTTAAAAAAACAGTAATGATGATGACTTATTAATGTTCTTGGTACAATAACCTGAAAAGCAAGCTTGGTAGATAACACATATCCTTTAATTCTGACATTTTTATTCTGCTTTGCTGCTGCTGTTCTATTTTTCTTAAAGACACTCCCTTTTCCTAAAGGAGAGGCAAATCTTTATGAATGAAATAAATGTTTGCTAAATTCTACTTTGGATGTTTTCATCAAGAATATCTCTTGAGAAAACTTTAGATTGATGCAGAAATTTGCCTCTGTGATCTAAGTGTTTTTAAAACCTGCTCACATGGCTGTGTCATAAAGCAAACAGTGGTGAATTATTTTGACTTGAGTTTCAGGTTGTTTTGACCTTTGGGACTTTTTAGAAAAGGCTTGCACAGTTCATTTCTGTCTATACTTCATAGGTACCGAGTTTGAGGGAGCAGTCATAGCTCTGTTTCATTTGTTGGCCACCAGGACAGACAAAGTCCGAGCTTTGAGAGAGGCTTTTTATCGGCAGAACCTACCCAATCTCATGAATCTCATTGCAACAGTTTTTGTATTTGCTGTTGTTATATACTTTCAGGTAAGTAATCGTGTCGCTGAAGTGAGTGAGATGTGGGCAATACCGTTTGAAATGTTGATGTCTAACAAGTCCATGTCTCGAGATCTGGTCAAGCAAATAATTCTGTTCTTTAGACTCTAGTCTGAAGGGACAAAATACTGGTGATATGAAATGAAAGAGTTTGTGTGCAAGGGAGAAAGTGTTTGTTAGCATTATTATTCATCCTTTCTGCTGTTGCTTTTTTTCCCTTCCCTTCTTTTTTTTCCGCTTCCTCTGTCCGTCCCTCCCTTTCTCTCTCTCTCTCTCTCTCTCTCTCCAGATTCTTACTATCTAGCCCAGGCTGGCCTGGCGCTCACAATCCTCATGCCTTAGCCTCTTGAGTGCTGGGATGCTAGGCCTGTGCCACCACACCTGGTTGTCTGCTTGTCTTGATATGACAGTTCTTCTGACTCAGTCTTGATTGCATTTTTAGGGATTTCGAGTTGACTTGCCTATCAAGTCGGCCCGCTATCGTGGGCAATACAGTAGCTATCCCATCAAGCTCTTCTACACCTCCAACATCCCCATCATTCTTCAGTCTGCCCTGGTCTCAAACCTGTATGTCATCTCCCAGATGCTGTCTGTGCGATTTAGTGGCAACTTTTTAGTCAACTTACTAGGACAGTGGGCCGTAAGTATGTGTTTACTTTTATAATATTTAAATGTATTATAACTTGCATTTTATGGTTTTATGTTTAACTGGGATAGACACTGAAGCAGCTATGTAAAATTTTCAGATTCATCTGCTTATAGCATTTATTTATCTGGAAGAATTGGTAAGTGTTGTAAAACTAAGATTGGCCAGTGTTTTTTACTGTTTTACTATCTAGGAATAATGTTTTCATATATTACTTGAATGACCTTTTAGGCTAACATCAGTTTGTTTCATAAAAATGACTTTACTGTTTTGTAATCTTGAATCTCTATTTTCTGTAGTAATGTTTTTCTAAAAAACTGTGGAAAAAAAGCTATTTGCAGGTAATATATGGGGTACTAGAATCATTCTTTCCTATTTTCTTTCCATTTTTCATTTGCTGAATAGCAATAAACTGTGTGGTTAACTACCCTGGAGATAGGCATGGAATTAGTAAGACTGAAGAGAGAGCTAAATATAGAATCCAGTAAACTCTTGACTGCTCTTTATGGATCCTTTTTATTATAACTTCTTCTAAAGCAATCCAGCCATGTTGCTTTTGAAGTTTAAGTTATTGGATTAAATTTTGATTGATTTAAAATTCTGACAAGTATTTTTCCCTCTTAAAATGATGGAATTAAAAGAGTAATTTCCTTTATTCTTTTGCAAAGTATAAATTCTAGAATTTGTATTCCATCAAAAATGGAATGTTTTGTATCATTCTTAAAATATGGTATTCTGTGCATTTACCTTTAAAGATTTTTTAATACTTATTTGCTATGCATAGATGGCTTCTTTTAATAATGTATAAAAGAATATAAAGTTTAGGCAGTGAGCTATTTTCTGTCAAAATGTTGATAGTTTTTTGTTTTTTGGGACGGGGTCTCACTTGGTAGTTCTGTGGTTGACCTCAAAGTTGCTTATGTAGCCCAGACTGGCCTTAAACTTGTGATCCTCCTGTCTCAAGTGCTGGGATTACGAATGTGTTCTACCATGCCTGGCTGATGCATTTAAAGCTTTTAAAATGTAGTATCATTTGTAAAGATTACAGTATGTCAGAGTCTGATGCAATTCAGAAAATTTCATATTCTAAATACAGTCAGCTTAGTTGTAAAAGTGATCGTACGCCTGTGTTCAGGAAGACAAAGGATTTTGCTGATTTTTTTTTTTTTTTAATTCACTCTAGGGCTAGAGGCATGGCTCAAGCATTAGAGAATCTGCCTTGTAACTTGAAACCCTGAGTTCAAACCCAGGAGTGCAAAAAAAAAAAAATCGATTGTTAGTGTGTTCAAAATGTCTTGTATAAAATATTGTACAATTTTTAAAAAGTGAAGGTAGTAGATACAATAGTATCTTTAAGTTTCCGTAACTTACATAGAATCATGGGCTGAGGGGTTTAAACCTAAAACACCATCATAATCTTGGACAAATCTGAACTGACAAAATGAGTTGTGGCCAGGTGCACCCTGTAGTCCCAGATGCTTGGGAGGCTGAAGCATGAGGACTGCTTCAGCCCAGTACTTCGGAGTTAGCCTGGGCAAAACATAGCAAGACCCCATCTTTAAAACAAAACAGACCAAACAACCTCCCCACCAAGAATTCTTAAGGTCTGGGGTGGGGGGGGTTTAGCCCAGTGGCACAGTGAATGCTGAACATGTTGGAGGCCATGAGTTCAGTCCCCAGAAGAGCAAGTATTCGGTCTGGCTGACCATTTTTGTTCTTGCTGTATAGGATGTCAGCGGGGGAGGACCTGCCCGTTCCTACCCCGTTGGAGGCCTGTGTTACTATCTTTCTCCTCCTGAGTCCATGGGTGCCGTATTCGAGGACCCTGTCCACGTAGTTGTTTATATCATCTTCATGCTGGGCTCGTGCGCATTCTTTTCTAAGACATGGATAGAGGTGTCTGGTTCCTCAGCCAAAGATGTAAGTACTTGGCGTAATTAAAAGTTATCTTTGGTTCATAGTTTTAGTTGTCAAAAAAGTAATTGTCATTTAAACTTTGTTGAGTTCATACAGTCTTAGTGAGGCAGTATTACCCCAAACAGGCTAAAAACTGTTTTCTGAAAGGTAGAAAGTCTTACCCTGGTTTATGATCCTCCAGAAGTCAACTCTACTCAACACTCTTTTTCCTTAGTATTTACTTTCTTTTTCTGGAGGTGATAATGAAGAAAGGTTGAGAAACACTGGTTAATATGCAGTTGGCAGCATTCGTGCCTCAGTTTCCTCAGGCTGAATAGGAATGCTGCAGTGCTCCTATATTTGACTTTGCAGTGTGTATAAAGCACACACATAGAACCTGGTAGATAGTAAGCAGGGAAATGTTAAGTTTGGTTTAAAAGTTATTTTTCTTTTGGCAGGTAGCAAAACAGCTTAAAGAACAGCAAATGGTAATGAGGGGTCACAGAGATACCTCTATGGTTCATGAGCTTAATAGGTAAGCTGATTAGATTCATTCCTTTATAAGAGTACATATGTGTTTTCAGTCTTTTACCACTAAATGTTAATCACTTTATTTGTTCAAATTCATGTAAAGTTTTCTGCTCTACACAAGAGAACTGAAATTTAACATAGAACTTAAATGTTCTCCACACCAAAATTGACCCCTAAATTATTTTGTGTTCCTTTCATTGCTAAAATGGTGTAAATCATAGTTCTCAGTGTTGGCTGAATGCACGTAAGTGACCTTTTTGATTTATTTCCAGGCATCAGGCTTTTAGTCTTTGGTACAGCTTTATTGAGATACAAGTCACACACCATGTAATGCACTCTTTTGAAGTATATAGTTGAGTGGTTTTTGAGGTATATTTAGAGCTGCACAACATTACAATCTTAATTTTTAAGAACATTATCATTGCTCAGAAAGACCCTGTATCGAGTAGTTAGTCTTCGTTCTTACCTTTCCCTCGTCTCCTCAGCCCCGGGCAACAACTGTTTACTCTCTCTCTCTCTAGATTTGTCTGTTCCAGACAGTTCACGTAATTTCTCACATAAATGTAGTCTTTTGTGAATGCTTTTCACTTTCCATGTTTTCATGGTTCTTCATGTTACAGCATGTGTCAGTATCCCTTTTATTCTTGAATAGTATCCCATTGCACTACATCTTTCATCCATTCATCAGTTGATGGAAATCTGGGTTGTTTCTATTTTTGAGCTAACACTATGATGATAGTGCTAGTGTGAACACACTTTTACAGGTTCTCTCGAAGTGGAAGTGTTAGGTCACACAGTAAGTGTTTAACATCTTGAGGAACTGCTAAAATATTTTCCAGAGTGGCCGCACAGTTCTACATTCCTTCTAGAATAGATGAGGGTTCCAACTGCTGCATATCCTCACCAGCACTAGTTTCTTGTTTTTTGGGTGTGGAGTGGTATCTCACTGTGGCTTTTATTTCCTTTTTCCTGTGACTAATGATGTAGAACATTTTTTCATGTAGTTATTGACTACACATCTTATTATGAAGGAATATCTGTTCACATTGTTTGCTCATTTTTAGATGGGTTGTTTTTTTGTTAGTGTGTTTTAAGAGTTGGGATTTTTTTTTGTTTGTGGTACTGGTGTGGAACAGGGCCTCACACATCTTACACATGCTAGGCAAGTACTCTTACCACTAAGCTACTTCCCCAGCCCTTGGGTTTTTTTGTGTAGAAGTATTGTCAGATATGATTTATAGTCATTTCCTCCAATTTTATAGGCTTTATTTACACTTTTCACTTCCTTGATGTCTTTTGGTGCCCAAGTTTTTACTTCTTTTTTTTTTTTTTTTTTACAATCAGTGCAGTTTGTTTTGTTGCTGTTTGTTCTTTGCCTTATTCATCTTTTTCCTTTTTTTTTCACTATTGTTGCACTGGGGGTACAACTGTGACATTTATAAAAGTTTTACAACTTAGTATTGTAGAATTCACTCCTTCCCAAGGTTTTGATTTTGATATAGCCCAATTTTACGTTTCTTTGTGCTGCTTTTGTGTAGTGTGTAATAAAACTTGCCAAACCCAAGGTCACAAAGATTTATTCTGGTTTTCTCCAAGGAGTTTTAGGTCTGACCCATTTTAATTTTTGTGTATACTAAGAGATGTGCTCTGCATTCCTTATTTGCATATGGATATGTAGTTGTCCCAGCACTGTTTATTGAAATGGAACTTTAACTTTTTTTGGTGGGACTGGTATTTCTACTACATTCAGCCTCCTTTATCCTTACATTATGCCCTCCCCACTTCCCACTGGTACCAAACCCCAGACAGGACCTCTTGTACCTTCCTGTTCTCCATTTTTGAATAAAAGATATTTTTGTTTAAGATAGCATTAAAGGGAGTTTCCTTATGGCATTTCCATGTTTGTACTATTATATCTCAAATTGGTTCATGCCCTCTTTTTTCTATCTTGGTCCCATTCTTGTGATTTCAACAAGTTTAAAAATTCTGTATTCATTCTTGTATAGAAAGTACATCACCCATATTCACCTTAACTCCCTTCTTTTACCCTCCCTCTCCCATTAAGTGACCTCCCCTTAGAGTTGTTTTTCATAATATTGCTGTATTTGTATTGTGTCTATCTCCCACCAGAGAAAACATTCAACTTTTGTCTTTTGAGTCTTGCTTATATAGCCTGATGTCCTCAATTCCATCTATTTACCTTCAAGCCACATGGTTTCATTCTTCCTAACAGCTGAATAAAACTCCATTGTGTATGTGTATATACACATATGACATTTTCTTAATCCATTCATCAGTTGTAGGGCATCTGGGTTGTTTTCATAGGTTGGCTATGCAGCTAAAGGCGAATCATCATGAAATGGATCATCAGAATTTTGCCACATAATTTTGTTGACACTTCGAAAGCATTTTGAAGTTTACTTTTCACTCCACAAGAGACAAAAGGGTACTTGTTATAAAATCTGGGAGTCAAAGATCATTGCCTTAATAAGTTTCTCATTAACATGTCATCTGTTATATGCAGCCCTTCACTTCTGTTTGAGTAATTTGTATTTCTATAGAGAGAACCACTGCTAGCAAAATTTTGACATCTTATTGTTTATAACTGTTGTGCCTTTCTCATTCTTTTCCTCTGCTGGCTGACGAAAGGTTTTTGTCTTCTAGGTACATCCCCACGGCAGCTGCGTTTGGTGGTTTGTGCATTGGTGCCCTGTCTGTGTTAGCCGACTTTCTGGGGGCCATTGGATCTGGCACTGGAATTCTGCTTGCAGTCACTATTATTTATCAGTATTTTGAAATATTTGTTAAGGAACAGGCTGAAGTTGGTGGGATGGGTGCTTTGTTTTTCTAAATGTTCAAATATTTTTGTGTGTGTGTGAAAGGGAAAATATTTTGACACATTGTTTTTGTCAAATGATGCTGTGTCCCTTTTTCTTCCCTCAGTTTGTTTTCAAGTGCTGACTGTCCCATTTCTGAAATGGGCATGAGCTAAGCCTGTGAGCAGCATTAGTATCAGCTGCCTTAACACTGAAGTTTACATGACTTGGTAAAGATGTCCAGTGTTTTCTGTAATGCTGGAAACCGATGCATCTACACCTTGCTGTGTTGATCAGGACAGTGGGACAGTGACACGGATTTGTTGTGCACACAACATTCAAAACATTGAATATTCCCCACCGTGTTTAAAAATAAATATAGCTCAACTTGCCACTTTCCAGTATTTTTGAGCCTACCTAATGAGTTCTGGAACATTTGTATCTAATCTATATTTTAGATAATTACTTTTTATACTTTTTTAACTCATAGTATCCATGTTTCCTACCCTCCCGCTCTACACCATCCCCCCACCCCACCTTTATTTATCTCCTCCCAAAACAGCCACTTAGCCCAGATGGGCACCATCAAGCATTGAAGTTATTTTTGTCACTAGGAACCTCTGCTTCTCGTTACTCTACCTGCTTTTCATTGCTCCTTTTTTCCCCAGTGACAGCATAATCGGTGCTGTTTGACTGTATTGGCTATGCCTTCTGATTCTACCCAGTCACTTGAGAATACTCCTTAAAATATTATGCCCCAGTTTTCTTTTTCTTTTTTTAAAAAAAAGTCCCTAAAGCAAAGATCTAATTCTCAAGCAATGTCTGTAGTTCAGTGGGGGTGAACAATGAGTAATTCATGCTAGGAATTTATGTCTGTTGTACTTATAGCAGCAACATGAGTGTAAACAGTAGACAATAAAGTTTTATTTAATAAAACAGTTTCAGGTGTGTTGGAAAAATAAAGAAATCTGATACTAAGTGTTTTCTAAGATTATTTATACAGAACCCATCCTGCGATGCCTACTGAAAGAGTATAGTAACACTTTCATGTCTAATCCAAAATTATTGAGCGACAGTGGCTAATTTAAGGGCATTCATTCATGTGACTAATTTGGAAAGGTACAAGAAAACAGTGTTCTTAACAATGCTTTAGCTTCCATTTGAAACTGCACATTTCTTTGGACTAATTTCTAAAAAGTGGCCAGATTTAATTTTTAGGCAGGCACTTGAGCCATGTCCCTACCTACCAACTTACAAAAATTTTTTTTTTTTTTTTTAGTGAGGCTGGAGTTTTGAACTCAGGGCTTCAAACTTGGAATGCAGGAGTCTCTACTGTTTGAACTACGTCTCCAGCCCATTTTGTTCTTGTTATCTTGGAGATGTGGGTCTCACAAACTGTTTGCCTATGCTGGCTGGCTTTGAGCCATGATCCTTTCTGATCTCAGCTTCCCAAGTAGCTAGGATTATAGGCATGAGCCACTGGCTCCTGACTAGAACCACTTTTGTATGGCCTGGAGTGGCCTTTAACCCCTGGATCCAGGATGAAAACAGGGCTGGCCAATAAGGATCATCCTCAGACTGCTGCTAGAGGTCACACTTAAAAGGTAGTAATCCCAGAGCCACTGGAAGCTATAAAACTCAACACAAGAGCTGTCACTTAAGAGATTAAAAGAAAATGGTCCAGGAACAATGGTAGAACTTTTAGATGATGGGCTTTAGCTAAGGTCTGCACCAGAAACCCATCTTTTCAGTTTTCTCCCTTTAGTTTGTATTGGACTTGAGATAGTGGTAACCATAAGGCTAGCCAGTACTCATTGTTTAAATGTGCCCCAACCATGTCAATCTGACCACTATAGATTTGGTTTTAGAAAATTATTCAAATATTTTCTGAGGTAAAGATAGGAAATCACTCTATATATTGTACATGCTTGAGAGAAGGGACTTAATATAGGGAGTAGAACCAACCATTTCCATTACCTAAAAGCAGGTTCAGTTCCAGTAACTTGGTGGTTATAAGAACTCTATATAAAGAAACAGAGAGAGATGGTACTGGGGTTTGAACTCAGGGCCTTGCACTTGCTAGACAAGTGTTCTATCACTGAAGCCATGCCCCTAGCAAAATAATTTATTTCCTTTGAGACAGGATCTTGCTATGCTGCTCAGGTTGGCCTTGAATTTGGGATCCTCTTGCTTAGATGACAGGTGCACACCACTGAGCCTGGCTAAGTATCAAAAATGTTACTCCTACTAATAATACTACATTCTATACTAAACAACTGAATTCCATGTAGCAAATAGTTTAATTAGGAGAGGCCAAAAAAGTCCCTACATAGGTCTCTTTTAAAAAGTTATCTTAAAACACTACGCATTGGATATTTGCATACCCAACTGCAAAAATTTTTATCTGAGGGACTGAGAGTGGGACTAGTTGACCTAATTTGGAACCCAAGAGAATTTTTCTGTAGAAATAGCCCAATCTTCTGGACTAGGTTACAAATGTAGCAGTTAAGGGTTTTTTGTTTTTTAAAAAGGAGTAAATGTGCTTGCAATTTGTGTTCTTTCCCATTAACATTAGAGTTTAGCAAATATAAATGAAGGTTACAGCTTACCTATAATTACAATTCCATACCACCACATGCATTCTGTTGCTTTTATTTTATGAAAAAGCTATTTCAAATCTACATTAAATGAAGCTGAATACAAAGTCTTTGTGAAGAAGGCCTGGTGGTCTCATTTACAAAATAACATGGCCAGGGTCCACTTGTCTTTAAAATTTCAGGAAGGGCACTTCAAATGGTTTTGTGTTTGCATGTTTCAGCGCCAGAGCATAGGAATAGACTCTGGCATCCACTGTAAGATGTTCTTCAGCTACCAGAGCTAAGGAAACAAAGACAACAATTTAGACAATGCACCAACAATAACAGCACTTGGTCCATCAGTGTTTACTAAGCCACTATTACATGCCAGTTTCTATGCTAGTTGCTGGTGATGGGACGTCTTCTGTCTTCAAAGATCTTACTCCAGAGGAATAAAGGATATGAAAACAGGATCACATTCCAGCATGAGACGAGAACATCTCAGGGACAATGATAGTGCTGTTTCCAGATCCATAGGTTGTATTTCGTTTAGAATTCAGTAGGATGTAGCTATTTTGAAGCTCTTAGGTGCTGATTAAAAAGTAACTTCTTTAGCTTCTCAGACTTTGTATGGGAGACTGTCTCCTATTTCCCCAGTCACTTTCTTGGGAACAAGCTCAGAGACATGTTGATGTTCAAAGGTAGGGCTCATGTCCTACTCACCTGTGTGTGGCAGGTGTTTGAACAAGTGTTGAATGGTACTCTTTGTGGCATGATATTAAAGTACCTTCTGTACATCTTCCCAAGTGTTCCTTTTTGAATAAATTATTTGATTACTATATCTTGATTCTACTGAAGCTAGTAACTGGTTCTTTTGTCCTTCCCTCCCTCTCTGACTCTCTTGCTCTACTTTATCCCCTTCTTTTAAGACTAAAAGGGAAATAATATGGGAGAGAGGACAGAATTATTTTGAAAGGATGTATTCTATGAAGAAGGAATACTGTGGCATGTAACTTTTGAGCACTTGGGGTCACGTGCTTTGAATGTATTATCCCATTTAATTTTGCTTACACCTCCTCAGAGGTAGAGGTTGCTATTATTCCTATTTAGAAAAAACTTTAGCCTAAGACTTGTTCAGTCATACCTAATAAAAATAAAGGTCTGATGAGTTTTGAATCCTGTCAGATTCTGAGTTGTACTGCCTACTGATCGTCAAAGCTTTTTCTGAATAAATGTCTAATACATTATTCTATATAATACAGTTATTCTCAGTCTGACTTTGTGATCTTGAGGTGGTTTTGATGTTAGTCTATTCCTCCTAGTACTAGGGGGTTTGAACTCAGAGCCTTGTACTTTCTAGGAAGGCATTCTACCACTTGGGTCATGCTCCCAGCCCTTAGGTCTTTTTTAAAAAGGTGAAGTAGGGATGAAGGCTACCTGGACATCTGAAATCAAAACAGCTTTTGAGAGAAATTCACTTAATTTTTTGGACAAATAATACATTTCAAGATAAAGTCTCTGCTTAAGAAGTAAGCCCCAGCAGTCATATAAAGAAGTAAGGACTGCTCTCAGCTTAGGTGAAGTAATGCTCCAAGTTAATTTGTCAAAAAGTTATTTAAAAACAGAAGAAAAATCAGTTCCCTGAACTACTACTACTAAAAGAGCTGAATCATGAAAAGACTGCTTTAAAAGTGAATGAGGATCGTCTCCTGGCTCAGCTGCCACGCCCTCATTAACTGCGTCTTCCATAGCCGTTGGTCAAAGCACATCACTGCACATGATAGAACTTTTACAAAGTCTCCGTGACACGCCTGGCCAAGTCACACAGTCTGACTGCGTGACTAGAGCACAGCTGAGGAAAAGCTAGAGATACCCACTTACACCTCTGCACTGCTAAGGAGCAATGCAGCTCAAGTGTAGCTTTGGATAGGCGGCAGGAAAATAATCTCGACTATTCTTAGGGGGGAAAAGCCTCTACACTAAAAGTTTTCATTTGACATGGAATGCCTTGAAGTTATTTTCCAATTCTATCATCTGTAAAGGAAAACTGGTGTTGGTCAACTGCAGTTTTACAACAGCTTCTAAGGTATCTGACATTAATGAGATAAAGAAGATAAAAGAATAACATTTAATACCCCATTGCTGGGGGCAGGGAAGGGAAAAGAGAGAAAGTTGGTAATAATCAAGAATGCTTACCATCAAGTCTATTCAGCAGGTCATTCTTTGGTAAAGAAATTACTTCCACAAATTCTAAACAAACAAAGTGCAAATGAAAAAAAAGCTAAAGAACGAGGGCCTACCCAAACAACCCAAAGTGTCTGCAGCCATTACCACTACACTAAGGCATCCACATGGTCAGCCACTGGGAGTTGAGTGACATACCTCCATCCCCTGAAAATAAACAGAAAGGGAACATTTTAGCAAGGCCCAGAGAGGCAGTACACTGGAAGACTTTAGTGCAAGACATACCGTAAAGTCTGTATCCCAGGTCTCTACTAGTTTAACTTCTGTCATGGTAAAACCAATTCCAATGGTATAAAGTTACTACCCTCTAAATCACACATTTGAGAGCAAAACTTAAAGCATATTCTGGAATGTGTATATTTATGTGTTTCTTTTTTTACAGGTAAATCTGTACACTCTGGTAAAATACGCACAACATAAAATTTACCCTCTTAGTCATTTTTTAAAGTTACAGTTCGCTGGCACTGAATAACATCCTCACCACTACACTCACAGTTTTCATCATCTTCAAAAGAAACTTGGAACCCACCAAACAATGGCTCCTCATCCTTGTCAATCTAGTCTATCTTCTAGCTCTACGAATGTCTAGTCCAGGCACTTCATGTAAGAGAATTACGGAACATCTGCTCTTTTGTGTCTGCCTTATTTCATTTAGCACAATGTTTTTAAGGTTCACTCATGTTTAGCATGTGTCATCCCATTCCATTCTTTTATGGCTGGGTAATACTCTATTATATTCGCATACCACATTCTTTTCATCCATTCATCTCTGATGGATGCTTAGGGTATCTCTACTTTAGGCTGTTGTGAGTAATATTATTATCAACATAGGGCAACAAGTATCTGAGTCTCTGCTTTCAGTTCTTTTGAGGATATACCTGGGAGTGGAAAAAGCTAGACCATACGGTAATTTTATACTTTAACTTCTAGAGGAGCTCCCAAACAGTTTTTCATGTTATATGTATATTTGCAGTTTAAAAATTAAGCATTTAAATTGGCTATAATGGGATACTGAAACATAGCTAGGACCAATTAAAGAGGTTAAGAAAGAATTCCACTCATACGTGAGTGTGTACACACTGTAACACCCCATGTGTCCTTTTTAAAGGGGTGGGAGAAGTGGTATGGAATTGACAACGGCATTAAAGCTTTTTAATCCAAACTTGCTAAGAAATTTTTTACACCAAATATCGTAACAGGTTCTCTAAATACAGAACCCAAAGTATAGTATAATGTATGGGAGGATAGAAACCAAGGTGATTTTGAAGTTTTCCTTATATTTAGGCCTGCAGCTGATATTACTAAGTGGGAATAAGCAAGATGCAAAAAAATATGCAAATATGTAATTTAACATTTTCTACAAGAAAGCACAAAGATCAATGAAATGCTGGCCAGGCATAGTGGAGCATGTCTGTAATCCCAGCACTTGAGACTGAGGCAGGGGGATCAAGAGTTTGAGGCCACTCTGGGCTGTATAGCAAGATCTTGTATGCTAAAATACCCAAGTTTAGGAAAGCAGACAAGAGTACCTTCTGAAGACTATGATTCTTTCAACAAATCCAAAAGAACCAAGTTAAAAGTTCTTTAATGCAATTCAACCACCTTAAATGTAGCCAAACACTCACCTGGCTTTGGCTTAGGCCTTACATTTTCTGCATCATCTCCATTGATAGTTACTGTCACGATGTGTGTCATACAGTTTGACAAACCTGGATCCATGCACACAGCTACAGAGACACACGACAACTTATGAGAAACCAGTCAAATACTTCAGTCTTTTTTGTTGTTTCACTACTTTAAATGTCTAAGAAGAATGGCTCTGAATTTAGTTAGCACTGATGCAGGACTGCACAGCATATATAGATATAGCATGTTCTCATATTTTCCCCAGAGTTTCTGAGTTTGAAAGTCTGAGGAGTTCCAGGGGCAGGGAGGAGTGGGGCATGGGGATGAACTGATAAAGCTTTGGGTGGGAACAATTCTGAAAGGCAACTCAGTTTCTTAAGTCTTCTCCAACTTCAGGTCCTTCCTGCTCAACTTGCTCTCATGGGGAGAAGAAGTTCACTTCTAGATGGTGACAATCTTAATCTGTGATTTCCTTTCATCAAAAGAGCTGAAATAAAACCCATCTGAATCCTTACCACAAAGAACCCTTAAACACTCAATCCCTTTCCACCTAGAGGCAAGGGATTATTGGTTACTTTTCAAGAGCCTGACCCAAGTGTACACTTGGAAAGCAATACAAACCTGGAGAACACTCTGCAACGTCGCCTTTGTAGCCAGTTTCTTCCTCCAGCTCCCTAAGAGCAGCTGCTTCTGGGCTTTCATTGTCATCGATGAGACCTGTAGGTGGACAGGGAAATTGGCTTCTTTAAAACCTCTCATTCTCCTAACTTAGCTGCTGCTGAGCTATTAGAGGAATGAGAGGTCATCTTACAGATAAAACTGACAGAGGTCTGGAACTTTTATAGAGAAAAAAAGGAAAGAATAAAACTCTTCGCAGATTGAGTAGGTTCTGATAGGTATCATTCATTTTTCTTATTTAGAGCTACAATTTTTGATGACCATTTCAGCTGTGTTTTTATAAAGCAAACTGTGTTTTTTTTTTTATACAGCATTTGTGAGAAGTGACTTGGTGGTGGCAGATAAGTGGCCCAGGGTTTGGAGCCAGCTATGTGACCTTAGCACAGGGGCTTACAACACATTTTGTTTGTTTCCTTGTATATAAGATGGTGTCAGTTTTACCTGTCTTGCCCTCCTCCCTCATAGAAAAATACTGAGGCTACAAAATATTGTAGTGAAATGCCATAAAGGAGAACAGTGAGGGCTGTAGAATTGAGGTAACTACTATGGTCACTATGAAGAGCAAATAAAGAGGCCAAACGGAGGGAGAGCAGCAACTCACAGACTCTTTTTCCTGAACAGAATAAAACAATGTAAAGAACAAGTAAAATGCAGGCTATAGAGTTAATTTCACTGTTACTAATTTCTTTAGTAAATCGTTAAGTACATAAAAGTTGTTAACTACCATGACCAGGCTTTAAAAATACAAAATCTACACCATTTGTGACAATGACAGTAGGTTTAACCTCTTTGGACTGGAACAACTCAATAGTTTTATAACAATACAGTGCATTCCATTCTGGATAGCTTCTTTAATTACTGTGTAACTGAAAGAATTCTAGCTGAAATCAGGATTCGCTTGACGCGTTTACACATGGTATTCATGGCTTTTAGAGTTAAGAGTCTGACGCACATAATACTGTAAACTTCTTATCAAAGGCAGATTGCTAGTAAGAGAAAGTGAAAGAAGTTGACAAATTAAGAGGCATTGTGGAAAGGTGGGCCATTAACACTGCGCTCACACCATCTTCATGAAGTCAGTGGATCCCTGACTGTGGCTGGTGGCTTGGAGGAGCCTCACTACAAAAATGCTTTTGTTTTACTTATAGCCCTGTGGACAGATAAAAGGTGTTAAAGAGGTAAGCACCATGACTCTCAGGCTTTGCCCTGGCTCAGGCCAGAGGACCTGACGACAATGATGCCAGTTACTCACCTGCAGGGAACTCTAGGCAGTAACCACCCACTGGTGGTCGAAACTGTTTCACTAGAACGAGGCACTCATAATGAAGAGTTCTTTGCAGCACTGGGATGACTGCTACACCTGTTACAGAAAATAAAATCAAGGAAGTCCCTGAGAAAGGTCAATCACGCCAGCAATTTGTTTAGGCGCTCCAAAAATCCCCAAAGTTTAAGAAACTCTGCACCCAAAATCTACTCTGAATTTGGCATTAAGGAATAAGAAATTAAAATGTATAGTATTGGCAGTTAACTTTGAAGGTAAAAATGTAATTAAAGAAAAAAAATCACACTTCTACATTTGAATTTTTTTCTTTTTCATAGAAAGTTCATTATAATAGTCATAATTTTCCTCCCTCCATCTCCCTTCTCCCTCTCTAAGATAAGGCCTCACTATGTTGTTCACACTGCCCAAGTTAGTCTCAAACTCACAGTTCTCCTGCATCAGCCTTCCAAGTAGCTTGGACTACACAGGGATGTGCCACCATATCTAGCCATAATTTCTTTAAAAATAAATCAAAAATGAAACTAACCATGTCACACAGTGCCATGGACATGAGTTTCCAGTCTACACTAGCTTCTGTATAGAACCAGTTCTCACAATGTAGTAGTTACAGTGATCTATGTGCTCCCATGTCTTCTTTAAGCTATAATTTAAGGAAGTTCCAGTGTTTTTAATATATGCTGACTAGACTGACTTTTACCATTTTAGGGCAAAAGATTCTTCCCCCCAGATTGCTTGCCCTTAACCAAAAAGCCAGGAACAGCATTTGCCTCCTCCTAAATGCTTTTGCATCAGTTAAGAACAGCAGCTGCAGCAAGGCTACTTTGTTGGCTTCTAGTAAAACCAGAAACCAAAGGAAAACCAAGAAAGACCCATTGCTCAACTTCCCCTACACCACTGGTGTTTTCAGGATTGTTTCTGGGGTCTTTAGAGTCAAACTATTCTCGTCTAGAAGGAAAGTGAACTGAATGAACAGTCTTCCCCAACTCCCTTTCCTCTTCAACTTATAAAGCAACTGGCTGATCAGCACAAAGGTGTACCAAAGCTGCTCCTGGCTTTTGGTTAAGACCACTCTCACCTGGATCGGTTTCTAGAAATCTTAACATATATAGACATAGTATGTGGCTTCAAATTATATTGATTTATGTTTGGCTGTAAAGATTAGTGTATTTTCCCCTCAAAAACACTATTCTGAGCTTAGAAAGGAGCCAAAGGTTACTTATAATGAAAGCTTGATTTAGTCACATAGGAATGCAAAAACTAATATACAGTTAAAATACCATAATCAAAGACAACTCTGCTTGGAGGGCTTTGGCTACATTACCCTCCCACAGTCACACCTGCTAACTTCCTTTACAAACAGAGATGTACTAGTCATACCATCAGCAGTCTGTCCCTTTCTGGTTGTACGTTTCACTGTTTCCCAAGTTCTGTTCAGGCAGAGAAGAAAAAGGAATCATTAGTATTAAAAAGAGAATGTTCCTAGGTTTTCTGTATACAGTCTGAACTTCATAAATGCAATGCATGCAAATGTACTAATGATATGTCAAAGAACACAAAAATAAAGATCTGTAGTTAAAAAGCCAACTGAACTTTCTTAGTTTCTATAATTAGCAAAGGTGTAGGCGACTACCCTACACCTAACCTTCTGGGTGCCATATGAACAAAAGCCTGTGGAGCACTGGAGCTGCTGCGCTCTCATACAATCACACATAATTTGCCTCATAAATCTATGGGTAAGCAGCACAGCTGGTGATTACGGCTGCAAAGGCTGTAAGCAGTGATGCAAAGGAAACCCCAGCCCCATCTCTAAGGAGGAAAGATACCATGCATAAAGTGAGCCACTGAAATTATATCGATTTTAAAATACACAACCTAAACCATAGAATTAAAGAAGCAGAACCTTTCTATTTATTAACTGAGGAGTTATTAAATTTAAGTGCCCTACTTTACAAGTGTAAAGCCTTAACTAAGGGGGAAAATGGTCCCTCGAGAAAACTGTGAGGTGGATAACAGCAAACTTTTGCTACCTTTTATGGCTTTACTCCTTTCTTTCGATTTGTTTCTGGCTGTATAACCTACTTTAGGTTTTGGTATCACATCTGTTATTCTACTTCCTCTTACAGGAACATTGGGAAGAGTTATTTAGAAAATCCAGTTTCAGGAAATCATGCTATTTAAAGGAGGAAGGGCATAAAGAAAATTTCCCCCTTTATTCTCTCATTCATTAAGTAGGAAAAAGCAGTGATAAAGGTTGGGAATGGAGAAGCAAACAATTTTAGGATCTCTTCTAAACGAAGGTAGCTATCTGGGTGGCTCTGGGGGTTGGAATAAGAAAGCCGTCAACATCTGCCTCCCAAGAGTAAGAGGTGTAAGATGTACCATGTTGAGGGACCCTCTTGCTTATACCTTTTATACGGTTGTCTCTGAGGTTTGATTTTGACACATTTAAGATTTTTTCAGATACTAATCTGGTTTAAAGAGAATAGCAAACAAAAAAATCCCTTTTCGGCAAACCGTCCATTTTTCAGCACTGCACCCAAATTCTAAAGGGCAGATATATCAAAATAAACCTACAAAAATCAGATTACTATGACAACTAACAGCAGTTCAACATTCCTGTTAGTATCAAGAAGCCAATCAACAAGCAATTTCTAATAAGTAAATAATACAGATTGCAAGAGACAAAACACCTTTTGGCATAGCTCTCTCTGCTGCCTCTTAAGGTTAGTCCTAAAGACTGAAGAAGATAGTGCCAGGAAAAGCACTGAAGGTCCCATCCCAAATACACTAGGAATAAGGGAAACAAAAGAGTAGCATCATTATCGTGGTTCAGATGAAGTAAATAAGCAGTATCAAGCCATAAATTATGAGCAATAAAATATGAATGTATTTATAAGAAACACTAGAACAAGAATGCCCCACGAGAGCACCAATGATCTTAAAGGGACTCTGAGAGATGTTCATTTAATTGGGAGTGAGAAAAATTTTAGTCTCTACTTGCCGACCAGCTAAACCCAAAGCTAAAACCTCTGGGATATGGTTTTCTCCTTTGTAAAACTCAAGAATGAGTTCACTGTCTTGACAAATCACTTCTAGCTTTAGAATTCTGCTTCCACTTAAACTGTTCCGTTCTTCAGGCTCTTGTTCCAGGAAAGCCTGTTTGCCTTCTCTGTAGTCCACCAACACAAGAGGTATGAAGGCAACAGAGGATGACATCTTGAATTCAGTATGGGGACTTACTATGAACACACTTATACACTTAAAACTAATGCCCTACCCTTTCTTCCATGGAACACAGATAGGATTCTCTACCTACTATTTTATCTCTTAGACACATGCTTTTAAGAGAACATGTTTTTATAAACTTATAAACCATGGGTCAACTAGAAAGTACAGAGATTCATTCTTCAAAGTTTGACATTATGATATGAAATATTAATATATTACTTAAGATCTGTGAGAGGCCAGGAGAAAGAATGGAGGCAAACATGCTATAAACAGCACAAACATGGCAGTTTGGTAGAGACTTTAGGGCCCACTACCAAACTGCTGAGAAAGATTCCCTAGAATGAGGCCTAGATATGAATATTCTAAAAAAAACCAAAACCCCAAATGATTTGGATGTACATCCCTGATTAATAAAAGCTAGAAGAGAAGACTAGTTAAGTGGACAGGTAAGCTGGCGTGACCAACACACATTCTTTAGACTAGTATTAGACTAGTATTAGGGGTTGGATTTTGTTATAAACTTAATTTACAGGAAAAAGAGAACCAAACTATTATAAGTATAAATTGGGTCTCATATCTGTGTATATTTCCACTAATATACATGAATATACTGTGCTCCCTAAAGATTGGCCTTACCACATAAGTACTGGGTTTGGACCCTACATCATACTTATTTCATATTTAGTTTCATATATCAAATTCACTTGACATTTTAAGTAACAATGACAATCTTCCATTAGTGGATCAATTTTAGTGTGCGTGGGTGGCTTTCTTGCTTATGAGTTTTAAGTTAACATTGCTATAGGTCTCTTAATATGTTTCCTATAGCTCTTGAACATCAGGGCTCATTAAGACCTTTGCTAGTTTAGTAGATATAATCAAAAGTTGTTTAAATTACTGGCAAGTATGCATTTCCACCTTGATGAAGATGTACTTGCTCACAAAGAAACCGTGTACTTACATGACCACTTACCAAATGGAGCTTTTATACTGATGGATTTTATCATGCAACTTGGATACTAAATTTAGTTTTCATATTTTCCCATTCATCTTTCATTTTACTAGAAACTCCCCAGTTACATATTTTCCCATCCCTTATTTCATTATATTTCACTAAAATAAATACTTAACCTACTTTACCATGCTATTTTTTTCTGGTAGTATATTTACTTATGTTATGGTGCTGGGGATCCAAACCCAGGTCTGTGAGCATGTTAGGCAAGAGCTCTACCATTGTGGTACATCCCAGCCTCTTTTTTTTTTTTTTTTTGCAGTAGTGGGGCTTGAACTCAGGACCTACACCTTGAGCCACTCCACCAGCCCTTTTTTGTGATGGGTTTTTTCGATAGGGTCTCTCGAACTATTTGACGGGGCTGGCTTCAAATCACGATCATGATCTCTGCCTTCTGAGTAGCTAGGATTACAGGCGTGAGCCACTGGTACCCCTTTCCCAGCCCTTTCCTGATAGTTTTTAATACCAAAAGATTACTAAACAAAATTTGGAAAGTAGAAGAAAAGAAAGTTAATCACATAGCTCCCTATCTTGGGGGAGAAAGGATACAGCTTTCCTTCTATCTTCTATTTACACATCATTTAGGGAGTTATACCATTTTCTATTTTACTTTCAACTAAGTAATTTTCCATATTGTTAGGTTACCTGCAATTAACACTGTAACAGTTTGCTACCCTTCCCCCCAACCTTTTACAGTGCTGGGGATTAAAGCCAGGGTCTGGGCATGGTAGGCAAGCATTTCAGCACTGAGTTACATCCATAGCCCTAGTTCCCTATTTTTAAAGTGTTTGGGTTGCCCTCTCTGTTTTAGATTTTTGGTAACATTTTTAATATATAAATCTGGTTCCAAAAAATAGATAATTTTCTTAGCCCATTCTTTGGATTGTAAGGATTAGTAGGTCAAAAGGTACACTATCTTTATGGCTATTGACACGTTTAGTGAAGTATGTTCTACAAAATGCTTTTTTCTTTCTAATTTACATTTCCATAAGCAAGGGATAAGCATCCAAGCCTAGCAAAGTTTTTGTTTTCTCTTTAACTCTTCTAATTTAGAGATTTAAAAATTGGGAAGCAACATGTACTGGTGATTACTCCACTGCCCTGTCAGCTTAAATTATACTTGACCCAAAAGTTTTAGGTCTACCGCTAGCCTACTAGGGAGAATGGGATTAAAATAGATTTCTGGGCTGGGAATGTAGCTCAGTGATAGAGTGCTTGCCTAACATGTGCACAGCCCTGGGCTTGATCCCAACACCACTAAATAAGTAAAATAACAATTTACAACTCAATGTTATTCAAAAATTACTAATAACCCAAACATTTTAACAATAGAAAAATAGCTACATTAGATTCTTTGCTTAAAAGACAGTTGACAAAGAGAGGAAAACATCAAAGTTTATGCCGAACCACTCAGAGAGAACTGGAGAACCCAAATACTGATCATTTTAGAAGAGAAAAAAAGTTTACCTAGTTTTACCAGTAGGATCCTTGTAAGTTGTTTTTTCAAGCTTGACCCATTTTCCTTCTGAAATTAACTAAAAGATCAGATAGTAAGTTGAGAGTCTTTTCAAACAAGTTTTTTTTGTTTGCTTTTTAAATCTAAAAGGATACTTTTCCTTTAATTTTCTGCACATCTGCCCCCCTCCCCACCTCCCACCATGCTTCTCTCCCAATAATTTGTGGACCAGTTTTCAGTTCGGGATAAGTATTCAAAGTTGCTTTAGTTTTTTCTAAATGTAGTTCTGTTTCCTTTTGGACTTTCTTGGGTAGTACTGAGAGAAGAAAAGAAACGACAGTCTCACAACTGGGGAGTAATGCAGGCCTCGCTCAGTGGTAAAGTACATGCTTGGCATGCCTGAAACTGTGTTCAACCCCAGCACAAATGAACGAATGAATGAATGAAAGCTCCTGGGTTGAGGTAACGGGGACACCTGGGAGGGAGCGCTGGAGCTGAAGTCCTGACCCTGACCTGAGCCACATCAGTGTGCTTATTAATGGCATTTCCGTCAGTGATTATGCAGGGAAGCTGCCTATGTAGAAAGCAGGTCAATGACTGGATTTCTTATCCTGACCTGGGGTTTCCCACCCAATCTGAGAGAGGAATGCCACGACTGTTCTGCCTGGACACTGGGGAGTTTTGACTAGGAGGACTAATTTACCTACGGTACTACACTGAACTGAGAGGAAAGTTTCATTGTGAACTTAAAGCAGTGGCCTTTTTCTATCTCTTGCTTCATCAGCAGCAAACTAATAATTACCAGATCTGTTCAGACAACATAGAAATATTTTAAATCAAAAAGAATTCCAGAAAGGCCAGAGTTCCAAGATAAAGAATTTAAAATTTATCTATTGCAGTGGTTCCTGTGAGAAGAGACTCTAAAAACTAAACTGAATAATACACAAACAGACATTAGTTTTAGAAGTCAGTGAAATCTGGACTATGATTAACAATTTAGGTTCTTATGAACAGATGTGATAACTTATTAACAGATGTGATAACTAAACAAATAGCTAAGATATGATAACTAAATAAAGAATTTCAAAGTCTTAAAACTCACATATTATTTGCTTTTCTATCCAAGGAAACTTTTAGTAAGAATTAATAATTTTTCTATCAAGAGCCAAAATCCTCTTACAGTTTTAATTTCATTAAGAGATACTTCTATCAGAGAAAATTGAGCCCTAAAATGGGAGTAGGAGAAATGTTTAAGAGCTGTTTTTAAGAGTGAAAAACAATCACCCAAAACAACAAATAACCTATATATTTCTTCTATACCAATTTTATGTGGGGGTGGAAAACAGACAGTGAAGAGCAGGTTACATACCTCCTCTGAAATAACAGACTGTTTGATATTCTGAGAAGAATCTGTTGATTCTTGGTTCTCCATTTTCAACTGAGTCAGTCCTTACAGTCCTCCGGTGAGAAGTTCACACTATAAGATAATGAGATTTGTTTAGGCTAAAAGTTTTTGAATGAAAACAACTGTCTATAGGCCACTAATCAAAGTACTGAAATGGCAAAAAAAAAAAAAAAAAAAACTTACCATCAGGAAATGCCCAGGCAAGAACTTAAAGCCATCCCAGTTAGATTTACTCACAATAAACAAGGTCCTACCATGCACACACTAGATGAACAAAGCATTTAGACACGCTCAGTCTTGTTTCCTAACTCCAAATGTAAAACTCTTTCCAAAGGAAAACAGAAGAAAGATTATAAAACTACTCTCCACACCCACCCCTCCCCTCAGCTATGGCCATGTATCAACCTTTTACAGCTAAATGTTTTTTTTTTTGTTTTTTGAGGCAGGGTCTTAGTATGAGGCTGGCCTCAAACTCACAATCCTCCTACCTCAGCCTCCGAGTGCTGGGGTTACAGATGTGCACCACACCTGGCTTACAGCTGAACCCTTAGCGATGTCTGTCTGGCAGTTCCTAGCTCTCAGTTAGCCTTTCAACTTTTAAAAAAGTTGATGTCATTTCAGTAATTTTAAGTTTATAATTCAGTAGCGTTACATATCTTCACACTGTTGTGTCCCATTTTTATTTAAGTTTCAACATGTATCAAAATCACAGCTGCAGAGCCAACTAGTAATACCAGGGCTGTTATGAAAAAAGCAAACCCCTACCCCACCTGGGGCCTACTATTTATTCTTCTCTTTTGGTTTCTTCCTTTATTTCTGGACCATGTCTTTTTTAAAATCTTTTTTTTCTACCCTCCTTGGGGATTAGTCATCTGGAGCTCTGCTCCAGGTCTTGCTCTTTTGGTGCTGCTATTGAGAAGTCTGAAGGGAATCTGATTTTGGATCCTTTTTTGCACGTGACCTGCTTGTTTTCTTTGGAAGCTTGTATGTTAAGTCACATCTTCATGCTGATGTTACGTATGGGGTATTCAGAGGGTCCTTTCGATCTGGAACCTTCATGCTATGCTTCCTTCTAGAGCCTTTCTAGAATGACTTTATTGATAGTTTCCTCTTCTGCATTTCTTCTGTCTTCTCTTTCAAGAAGTTACCCAGTATTGGACTGGGCTGGGTTGCAGTCCAGTGGCAGAGCGCTTGCCTGACATACACAAGGCCCTGGGTTGCATTCCTGGCACCTTTCCTCCCAATAACAAAAAAGAGTAGCTTCTGGATTTCCAGAACTGAGCCTGTCTTTTCTCTTCATTCCTGCATCTGTTTCCTTTTTTAATGGCTATTCTAACCCTTCACTACTTTTAAGTTCCCTAACCTCCTCTGCCTCCTAACTTTTCCTTCAGTTTCCCAGAGGAAGAAGGGAACAGGTTCCAATATGCCCCATGTCTAGCAAAATGTGCAGAGGCTCAAAAACCCTTAAAACAGTGTGACAGCTGCATATAACTTTCACATATTCTCCTGCATATTTTAAATTATTTCTAGATTACGTATAATACCTAATACAATGTAGATTCTACATAGTTTTTATACCATATTGTTTAGGGGATAATGAGAAAAGGACAAAAAAGTCTGTCCATTCAATCCAGAGACAATTTTCTTCCCCCAAACACTTTCAATCTGCAGTTGGTTGAACACATGGATGTAGAACCCACAGGTCCATAGAGACAACTGGGCAGACCATCGAGCATCAATTCTCTTACTGTCTAAAAGAAAAAGATGACATTTCCCAATCTCAAAATACAACCCACAACAAAACAATCAAATGTCTGACTGACTACATTAGGAAATCTGCTAGAGCAGGCTAGACAGAGAGAGGTTCTGTCCTTGTAAGCTGACCTTGTGATAGAGAGGAAAGGTGAAAACATGAGGAACCATTTACAAAATTTTCCATGTGACAGTTTTTTTTTTTTTTGCGGTACTGGGGCTTGAACTCAGGGCCTTCACCTTGAGCTATTCCATCACTCCTTTTTGTGGTAAGTATTTTGGAGCTAGGGTCTCACAAACTATTTGCCCAGGCTCACTTTGAACCATGATCCTCCTGATCTCTGCCTTCTGAGTAGCTAGGATTACAGGTGTGAGCCACCGCACCGGGCCTAACCTACAGTTTTATGCAAAAGATTAAGAAGGATAAGAGTACGATTGTGTGTGTTTAGGGAAGGCCTTTTTAATTTAGTGATACTTGCACAGATGTGAAAGGAACAGGGAAGAAAGCGTTCCAGGCAATAATTATTTGGTAAAGTGCTAACCATCACTAGATGAAAGAAAAACAGTTTACCTTATTATAGGCAATCAAAGTAGTATGCTGGCCCAGAAAAAACTAAGCAAAGGTGAAGACCAATCTGTCCCTTCATGCTCTACACCCAGACCCAAACAGCTCCTACAGGTTTTTATCTTCTAGCTGTCCATTCCCTCCTATTGATAACATACAGAGAAAAACAAATTCTAATGCAAAGAAAGCTTTAATGCTCGTAGTTAAGAGAAAATAACTTCTAGGCAACAAGCAGCCCAATTGGATGTACAAAATAAGCTGTCTTGAATAGTATAAAAAATGCTTGGATTATGTTTCTACTTCCTTTTTATTTGTTTTCAGCTCTGGGGGCTTCATGCATGCAGGCAAGTGCACCACCACTGAGGTACACTCCAACCTCCACCTCCTTTTTAAAAGCTCCACTCTAGCTGGGAGCTGGTGTCTCAGGCCTGTAATCCTAGCTACTCAGGAGGCAGAGATCAGGAGGATCGTGGCTTGAGGCCAGCCTGGGTAAATAGCTCGAAAGACCCTATCTCGAAAAAAACCATCACAAAAAAGGGCTGGTGGAGTGGCTCAAGGTGTAGGTCCTGAGTTCAAGCCCCAGTACTGCAATAAATAAATAAATAAATAAATAAATAAAAGCACCACTCTAACCCCGATTCTGTGTTCTTCAAAAGTATTAGTACCACCAGAATACTGAAGAACCAGGTATCTTTAATCTCCATGATGAAAAGAGTATCCAACCCAGATTCCCAGAAACCCAAAGAAAATGATCATAGCACATAATACGGAAGAACAGAATGGCTCTGCACCATGTGACTATCTTTAGGGGCAAAAGAACAAGTCCCTTGAGAGTTGCATAAAACTTTAAGACATTTAAGCTATCTTTTAAAATTTTTTTGGCAGCACTGGGGCTTGAACTCAGGGTCTCACCTTGCCAGGCAGATGCTCTACCATTTGAGTCACTTTGCAAGCCTCTATCAATCTCTTTATGGCTTCCCTCTGACTTTCAAAGGGACTGGTGACAACCAGGAAAGTTGAAGAAGTACTGTTGTGAAGGATCTATAGCTCCTCATCTACTAATCCTCATTAGCTGAGTCAGGTACACTCAATTAAAAAGTCTAAAGATCAAGGATCAGCACATTAAAGCTATAAAACAGTTGTTTCAAGCAGACTGTACTAAAGATATTTAAGATGAAATGTTAGTGAGCTTGGGAAGGGGGAGAAGTTAGACATAAATTACCAAAATTTAAATTAAAAAAAAATGACAAACAGGACTGGGCCTTCCTAGAGTAATTAATTAGCCCCAAGAAGCAGCAGTACTCTGAAGCAAGTACTTGCATAGTATGTGACAGGTGCTGGGTTCCATCCTCAGCACCAGCAAAAACAAAACAAAAAAACCCAAACATGATATTCTTTACTATCAGATTCTCAAAATGTTTCAGAAAAACTATAAAAGCCCCTCAAAAGTAGTCCTGGAACAGGAAAGGAGTATTGTATTTAGCACTAGTTCAAAGACAGAAGCCACACAGCAGCGCAGGGGGCCAGTCACCACAAGTGATGTGCTATAGAAGCAGGAGGTTTAAATTCTGAGCTTTTGTCCCGTGGTCCCCACCTCGGCTTACACTCACTCAAGACTCTTAACGACTCCAAAGCAAAGCTCAATTTGAATTTTGTCCACTTCTTTTGCTAGAATTTAAGGCTCTCAACATATTATTAAACAGTACATGTTATTAAAAAATATACACACACACCTTAAGAATTCTAAATTTTCTTTGTGTGTGACCTCTGCATTGGTAGGCAGGCACTCTACCACTTGACCATGCACTCAACCCTATGTAGGATTTCACTTTATGACTGTCCTTAGTCCTCAAAGTCACAAACTTTTAGTTCATAGTATCTTTTTTTTTTTTTTTTTGAGCGGAACAGGAGAGGTTTATTAAGCAGACAGAAGAAGAGAAGAAAATTCCCTGTACAGGACAGGTCTCAGAAAGGCTAAGTCACACAGTATCCATTTTAACTCATTCAGTTTGAATTCTAAGGTCTATTATGTGTCAGATATGTAATTTTCCAAGTCATAATTTTCCAGAGGGGGATAATGTCACAATTAGAGAATTCTTGTTTGTTAAGATAGTCTTACAATGTGACCCAGTCTGTCCTCAAACTCACAATTCTCTTGTCTCAACCTCCCTTGGGCTGGGATTATAGAAATATACTACCCTACTTGGCAAATTCTCAGAATTCTTGTATAGTGACAGGCAGAAGTCTCCAATTAGTTTTATGACATGGGCAACACAAATTTCTGAGTATATAACTCAGTGCAAACTGACCAGTTCTCCTACCCCTGAATACCTCACAGAATAATAAGCAAAGTAGAAGGGCAAAAGCCTGCCACAAAGAACACAATACCAGGATGCTTTAACGGTGGGACACATCACTTCCATTTGGGAGGCAATAAGGGCAATGATAAAACTTCCAAAAGGTAGTTTAACACTGTGATATGACTAGGGATCAAGAAAGTAGGGAAACATTCCAATTAGAAGGAACCACATGAATAGAGGGAGAGCTATTACATGGGGCAAGGTTGAGAAAGAAGGAAAGTTTGGCAAGCTTCTTCGTTCTCAACATTTTGATCCCACACACAATGGAGGATGATAACTTTGCAAGCACATTTCCAAGGGCAGACATAGATTTGGATGGATCCCTGCCTCCTTCCCCTCAAATTTACATGCACAACTATACAACCCTTACCAGAACGCCCAAAATGTCTGTTGATATACAACCTAGTTTTCAGTTTGGGCAGCAAGTACCACCCTCCATTCAAGAGGAAGAAACTAAGTGATTGATTTCTCCCAAGGTTGGTATTTCAGGATTAACAACAGCTGGGTGAGAGATGATGTGGGAGTTAATATTCAAGAAGTTTCAACTGAGAATTCAAAAGCCTAGTTACGGAGCTTGTACTCAGGATCATCATTCAATTGTTACCATAACTGAATTCTTGTAGTTTGTTGAGGTGTAAAGTAAAGCAAAAATCATAACAAGAAATTTTATGTTGGTCAGTCTCTCCTTGATAAAGTTGAGTATTGTAAGCATCAGTAATACTCAACCAAATAAAAGATGTAGGACTTTTCCAGGTATGGTGACTCATGCCTGTAGTCCCAACTATATGGGAGGCTGAGACAGGATTGCTTGAGCTTAGGAGTTTGAGAAGAGCCTGGGAAACACAGTAAGACCCTGTTTCAAATAAAAGACATAGTAGGTCTGGATGTGTGGCGCAAGTAGTAGGGTATCTGCCGGGCAAGCCTACAGCCCTGAGTTCAAACCCCCAGTACTGCAAATAAATTAAAACAAAACAAACAAACAAACAAACAGACAAAAAAAGGCATAGAAATTTAAATCATAAGCAATGCTTCTGAGCTTCTGATTGACAAAAGAAGGTCAGGCAGTTGGAACAGTTTAATAATGGAATAGAGGAATCAACAAGGCACTGTGAAAGGCATTAAATGGTGAGATCAATTGTTTTTACAGAAATAACTTATTATATTATTGTGCTGTTAAAGTATTAATTTAGACATGTCTAAGATACCATTCTATTTTCTGTCACAATAATTACACAGAAAAGCCATCTGATTTAATAAGGGACAAAGAATCAAATAATTAGTATAGCTATATTTAATATAATATAATCACATAACTTAAAAACTTCATTTTTTATAAGAAAATATTCTGATTAATCCTTCTTTTGTATCATTTATGGTAGAAAATTGATTTAAGTGACCTTTTCTTTGCTGATTCACAATCCTTAGATAATGCAAACTTTCTATACTTAGCAATGATGGAAATTCATAGAATTTTGTATTTTGTTTGTTTTTTCCTCTTTCTTAGGGCAGGCATGGGTGTTAGGTAAGTAGGAGTCAACATTTATTGAGATTATACTACTTGATGACTTATAATCATTTACCAGATGGTTTATTATCATCCCACTTAATTCTAGTTGAGCAAGAGTGAACTGGGAAAGTTAACTGGTTACAGCAGTACAGTAATGAGCCAAGTCAAGAACCTCTTGTAATAGTTCAGGGAAGAGACAACATAGGTTTGCCATAGCAGTTAGAAAAACCAAAAACAAGAATGAAAGACTCACTTCATTTCTTACAGATGAATTTATTATTTGTCCTAAAACAGCTTCTACGGAACAGATAAATCAAGGCTACTTCCAAGAAGATGTTTTAAAGGACACTGGGTGGAGCTGGGTGCTGGCGGCTCATGCCTATAATCCTACCTATTCAGCAGGGATCAGGAGGATTGAAGTTCTCAGGCAACTAGTTCCTGAGACCCTATCTTGAAAAAACCCATCACAAAAAAGGGCTGGCAGGAGTGGCTCAAGTGGCAATAGTGCCTGCCTAGCAAGTGTGAGGCCTTGAGTTCAAAAATCCATTGCCACCAAAAAAAAAAAAAAAAGATACTGTGTGGTACATTAGGAGAAAAGGGTGGTGCAGCATTCACGTTTGGATGCCCTGAGTCCATGGCAGAGAAAACCAGCTGACAGTTGTAAATGCTAATCTAGAAGTATGAGTCATGTATGGATTCAAAGAAAGAAATCATTACTTTGAATTGTGCAATACATCCCCCGACTACTGACATTTTTAACATGCACAAGAAAATGCAATTATTTCCACTGTTGTAAAGGTTTCATTGAAGAAATTTGAATATTAAAAAAATACTCTATTGCTAAGTGAATATACTCTTGGGCATTTCTGGTGTCAATTTATTGGAGGATGGTTATATGTGTAAGATTTACTTAGGACCAACTATAATACAAAAGTCACTGAAAAAAGTTAGCTGCTTCTCTACAATTAATTACAATACTGTATTAAAGACTTGCAAGGCTGAAGTTACTACAGGAAGGAGCAGGAAACATTCTGGAACAAATAGGTATAGGCAAAGACTTCCTCAATAGAACCCCAGCAGCCCAGCAACTAAGAGAAAGGATGGACAAATGGGACTACATGAAATTAAAAAGCTTCTGCACAACCAAAGAAACGGTCTCTAAACTGAAAAGACCACCCACAGACTGGGAGAAAATATTTGCCAGCTATACATCAGACAAGGGACTGATAACCAGAATATACAGGGAACTCAAGCAACTAAACTCTCCTAAAATCAATGAACCAATTAAGAAATGGGCAACTGAACTAAACAGAACTTTTTCAAAAGAAGTTCAAATGGCTAAAACCACATAAAAAATGCTCACCATCTCTGGCCATAAAGGAAATGCAAATCAAAACCACACTAAGATTCCACCTCACCCCTGTTAGAACAGCCATCATCAAAAACACCACCACCACCAAGTGTTCGCGAGGATGTGGGAAAAAAAGGAACCCTCGTACACTTCTGGTAGGAATGCAAGCTGGTGCAACAACTCTGGAAAAAAATTTAGAGATGTCTTAAAAATCTAAACATAGACCTGCCATATGATCCAGCAATCCCACTCCTGGGGATATACCCAAAGGAATGCAACACAGGTTACTCCAGAGGCACCTGCACACCCATGTTTATTGCAGCGCTATTCACAATAGCCAAGTTATGGAAACAACCAAGATGCCCCACTACTGATGAATGGATCAAGAAAATGTGATACTTGTACACAATGGAATTTTACTCAGCCATGAAGAAGAATGAAATCTTACCATTTGCAGGTAAATGGATGGAACTGGAGAACATCATTCTGAGCGAGGTCAGCCAGGCTCAGAAGACCAAAAATCATATGTTTTCCCTCATATGCGAACTTTAGATCTAGGGCAAATGCAGCAATGTAGTTGGACTTGGATCACATACGGGAGATATAGGAATAGGTAGAAAACCCAAATAATGAAAGCGTTTGATGTCCACACTCGAGAGGAACTAATACAGAAACCTTAAAACAACAGAGGTTATCATGAGCAGGGGATCAGGAACCAGTGTAAATATCAGTTAAGAGATGAATCAACATGGGTCATATGTAACACATGGGTACAGGAAAGCAATAGTAGGAATCTCTCTGTATAGCTATCCTTAACTAGCAAAAATGCCTTGTCTTCCTTATTATGCTTATGTCTTTTCTTCAACAAAATTAGTGATAAGGGCAGAACAGGACCTGCCTGGAACTCAGGGGGGTAGGGGGGAAGGGGGAAGGGTGGAGAAATGACCCAAACAATGTATGCACATGTGAATAAATGAACAACAATAACAACAAAAAAGAATTTCCCCTTAAACTCTGAATTTGTGGGAAAAAAAAAAAAAAAAGACTTGTAAAGGCCTCAACCTCTATGCCCAAGTGTTTCCAGAGCTGTTAAAAAGCATCTTCCCCCAGATGGATGATGATCCTGGGATCTGGTTACTCCCACAGATTTATTAATTCTCCAACAGAAATACCTTACCCAAATGCACCCTAATTAGTGCTAACATTTTCTTCAGCTGCAACTTTACTTCTAGGTCATATAAAGATAAGTGTGAATGACCACTCATGTCTACTATGAGACCTCTGAGCCCTGTCAGTCTGGCACCATTCTTCAGTATTAAGAAGAAATGGAATAGCCCTGCGCTGGTGGCTCATGCCTACAATCCTACATACATACCTTGGAAGTTGACATCGGAAGGGTAGAGGTTTGAGGCCAGCTGTGCAAATAGTTCCCAAGACCCCATCTTCAAAACAACCAGAGCAAAATGGACTGGAGGTGTGGCTCTACAAGCCCCAGTCCCACGGGTGTGTGTGTGTGTGTGTGTGTGTGTGTGTAATATTGCTTCTTTCCCTCAAATCATAAAGGACTAATTAAATCTGGATTTCAGAAGTATTTACAAATGAACCACTACTGCCCATACCCAACCAATATACACTGCAACATTATCATCCAGTTACCTCTGCTTTGAAAATGTATCCTTTAAAGCAAAGCTCTCAACTGTCCACTTAGCCAGTAACATTTTTGAGAACAACTATATTCCTGGAGAGGGGGAGGTGCCCTGACTCAAAATACAGTGTATACTGTGTATTTTTCCTAACAAATACCTTTCTAAAGAAGACTGCAGTCGATGGGGTTCTTATCTCTTTGTAACGTAAAACTGCTTCGGTGGACCCCTAAGTGTACAATTTTTAGGTGATACCAGGAATGTGCGCTTCAGACATATGTGCCTGGGTCAAGCGCAAGCCTGTAATTATAGGACGCCTCACTAGGTTTTAAGGCGTTTCTCAGCAGCTAGCGATTTTTTCCTTCTTTTAAAGAAACAAAACTCAACTTTGCAATGAAAGGTAGAAAGGGATGTAGGAAGAAAAATGGCATTACGAATTCAACTAGAATTCTTCCAGTCTTAGGATTCCATCATTATGGGGACATTTGCCGCACAAAGTAGGCAACTTTCCTCTTCTTCTCTGCTTTCTCAAACTAACCTCCCAAATCGAACCCCCCCCACCTGCTCCCCAGGATCGTACAGGCGGCATTTCTTCCCTGTGTTTCTCAAAACCCAAACCCACAAACAGAGGGGACGTTCTCCTCCTTTGCAGATGCCTCAAGCACTTCACTGTAGCGTTCCCTGATTTCTTCGGCAGTCCACCACCTTCCACCCCGATCCCGGCTTTTCCTCCCGCGCCCACAGCCGCAGCCTGGAAGACACGCGCGCTGCAGCCCGCACGGTCCGCGCCACCCGAAGTCTCGCGCCCTCTGCTTCACAAAGAGACCTCGTCCTGTGACTGGCCAGCGCCCACTTACCTGCTCCAAGGTGTGGGATAAAGAAGGGAAGGAGGGACGAAAGGAAAAAAGGAGCGTAACTGAAGCAGCAGTTATCAGCAGACACCAGTGCCCAGCTTGAGACACCGGCGCCTCTCGCGGTGCACAGGGGATGTGCACGCGCCCTCCTTCCGGCACCCGTAGAAACCCCGCCGCTGACCAAGCTTTACAAAATTACCTTCCGGGTCAAGTGCGTCTAGAGTAAAAACGGAGCCATAAACTTTCTAAACTTGTTTTCTCTACGTTTCCGCAATCCCTTCTTTCACGACTCAAAAATTTTTTATTTTTATTTGTGTGTGTGTGCGCGCGCGTGCGCTAACAGCACGCCCCATGATTCACCTTCGCGTCCTTCGCGACTACTGCCTCCTAGTTTTACGGACCGGAAGGGTCCTTGAACCAAACTAGCTCGGCCGGCACTTCCGGAAGTGCGGCTCAGAGTTCCGGGAGAGCGCTGGCCGGGGAGCGGACCGTAGCTACCGCGGCGGCTGGAGGATGAAGAAGGAGCATGTGCTGCACTGTCAGTTCTCCGCGTGGTACCCGCTCTTCCGAAGCTTCACCATCAAGAGGTGAGAGGGGAGAGGTTAGCCGGGACGCCTGGCAAAAAGGAACTGTGATTTTCCTTTCCGTCAAATCCCATCTCTGTCAAAACAAGTACAGGCCTTAGAAGGACTGCACTGGAGGCTCAGTGCCAAGGTGTCGGAGGTTAATGAAGTATTTGTCGCGCGCCCTATTGCAGGTCAGGGAGTGTGCTGGGGAGGTTCTGTGGAGGTCGGAGGCGGGATGGGTCTGAGTTAACCTAGCTTAGACTTAGGAGCTCACCATCACTGCTTTTGCAACTGCCAGAGGCGCACGGCGACCAAGAGAACCCGGTGGCCTTGGGCTTTGCCACTGTCTGTTGTCACAGCCAGGTGACAGTTGCATTCTGCCACTGTAAAGTGAGAGCACCGATACTGATCGCACCCCTGAGCCTGCTGTGAAGCTCCAGTGTGATGGTGGCTATGGAAAGAGAGGAGGCAGTCGCCCTGGAAGAAGACGGGAACGATATTCGTCGTCTAATCTCTCTGGCCTAGAACGAGGACTCTATCCCCGGTTTGCGGGACAGGCGGAGGGTGCAATCCTTTATCCCATCGCTCGCGGTAGTGTAGGCAGGGCAGCCCCGACACAATCCCCAGCTGTTCCCCAGAAGCAGTCACAGCGTCTGAAACATAACACAAGGAGAGGCTGTTCATTAACAGGGATAGGTCAAAGGCCCGGGGACCCATGGACAGGATTTTCTGTGGTTGTCACGTATTTGAGCATCAGCCACCCCGCCCTTTTCATTCCCTCCTTTCTTAGAATCCTGAGGGGTGGGAAGAGCTCACATAGATTATTCACAAGACAGTTCATTTTCATCTTGTTATCCAGAAGTGGTATTTGTTGCTAGTCATCCACTGTGTAATGGAGTTTAGAGTAGCACAAAGAGAGATAATCTTTGCATTTGAAGATGGTTGAGGTCACACTAAATAAATAAATAATAAAGAGCCCAGCAGCAGTTTGCTATCACAAGTTATCTTCCTAGCTGATATTCAGGCCTTAATTAAATTGCACAATTAAAAGTAGGCTTTGGATCTGAAATGATGTTGGGGTTATTTTTTCTCTGTTGGTGTGACAGAAGGTATGTTTTGAACTTGTCAGACATTTTTGTATTGAGAATGTTTTTGTTTGTTTTTTTTGAGACAGAGTCTTGTCTGTAGCCTAAGCAAGTCTGGAACTCACTATGTAGCTCAGGGTGGCCTCAAACTCCAGACCTCCTGCCTCAACCTCCCAAGTGCTGGGATTGCAGGCATGCACCACTGTGCCCCTCCCTGCACTGAAAGGCTGACATTTGGTTTCTATGCAGCTAGCTTTAGCAGCCTCTGGCATAGTTTTCCTTTGTCTTAAGCAGTGTAAGCATGCAGTGATTAAGAACTAGACTCTGAAGTCAAGGCCATCTGCCTAGCTTTGGATTCTGGTTCCATCAGCATTTTCAGCAAATTACTTAATCTGGTTAAACCTCATTTGGAAAATTAAGAAAATAATAGGATTGTCATGAATGTTAAATGAGATAAAATATTTAAAATGCTTGTTAGTCTTTCTGGCACATAGTAAATACTCAAAAATGTTGCTTGTTGCATTTTGGATTTAATAAAGGCCTCATTGAAGCAAAATGACTTTCACTTAAAATGAAGCTAAGAGTGAAAAACCCACAGGTGGAATTTTCTGGTATTATTAACTAAACTTCATTGCCTGAAACTACTCTTTATTATGTCTTTAAACCATTTCTTCAGTCTATTTAGTTCTGTGATGGTAAACCTGGAACCTAACCTAGGTCTGGCTACAACCAGCCAATCAGGTGCATGGTGGCCACTGACAGCTTTAATGCTGAAAGACCTTGTTTTGGATATTGACTCAACATTATTATTTGGTGTTTATTAGTTATGATTCAGATGACTGTGCAAGTTCATTTTTTTTTTGACAAGTTCTAGGACCTTGACTGATATTTAAGAATAATTAGCGAGGTGAAGTTTTGGTCCAGTCATTTTTTCCTTCTATATCTTTTTCCTTAAATGTAAAAATTACATTAAATAATCTTTTAAAGGCCTCTTTTACCTCTGAAAATACATTCAAAGTACCTTGTCGTATGCACACAATTATATTCAGTTGATGTGGTAGATACTTTGTCATTTAGTTCTCTTATCTGTCAGGCAGGCCTCACTGGATTCTCCCCTGCATAGTGACTTACTTTGACAGCCTCAAAGATAAAGCTTGCTTGGCAGAGAGTTGTTTATGATGTCAGTGTCTCAGGTGTATTTCATTTTTCTTCTGTATTTCTTAGCACTTGCCATATCCACACTTGGTACAATACTTATCCTGTTGTTCTACTTTTTTTCTTTTCTTTTGTATCTTTGTCCCTTCATGGGCTTTGAGTTCCCAGTAGAATCATCCTGGTGTCCTCCTTGGCTCATATAATGCAGGTGCAACATATGTCATTAGCATGACCATGGAGTGTGATGATTTATGAGAACTGTACAGAATACAACGTCATGCCTCTTAACATCTAGGTGTTGTCGACCTGCTAGATAGGAAGACAATGCAAAGAATTCACACAGGAATCAAACAAGAAACAGATGCTTTGAATTTAATCCAGAGATGGTGAAACCTGAAGGGAGAGTCCAGATTAAGTCAAACTTGAAAGTTAGTATAACTCAAAGACAAGGGACATTGACTCTGCAAGCATCAATTTGGGGACTTAGCGGTATTATTGGCATAAAAGAGGGCTCTAAATAAAGGAAATGCAAATTAAAACCACACTAAGATTCCACGTCACCCCTGTTAGAATAGCCATCATTAGCAACACCACCAACAACAGGTGTTGGCGAGGATGCAGGGAAAAAGGAACCCTCTTACACTGTTGGTGGGAATGTAAACTAGTACAACCACTCTGGAAAAAAATTTGGAGGCTACTTAAAAAGCTAAACATCGATCTTCCATTTGATCCAGCAATACCACTCTTAGGGATATACCCAAAAGACTGTGACACAGGTTACTCCAGGGGCACCTGCACACCATGTTTATTGCAGCACTATTCACAATAGCCAAGTTATGGAAACAGCCAAGATGCCCAACTACTGACAAATGGATCAAGAAAATGTGGTATCTGTACACAATGGAATTTTATGCAGCCATGAAGAAGAACGAAATGTTATCATTCGCTGGTAAATGGATGGAATTGGAGAACATCATTCTGAGTGAGGTTAGCCTGGCCCAAAAGATCAAAACTCGTATATTCTCCTTCATATGCGGACATTAGATCAAGGGCAAACACAACAAGGGGATTGAACTTTGATCACAAGATAAAAGCGAGTGCACACAAGGGAGATATGAGGATAGGTAAGACACCTAAAAAATTAGCTAACATTTGTTGCCCTCAACGCAGAGAAACTAAAGCAGATACCTTAAAAGCAACTGAGGCCAATAGGAGAAGGGGACCAGGAACTAGAGAAAAGGTTAGATCAAAAAGAATTAACCTAGAAGGTAACACCCACGCACAGGAGATCAATGTGAGTCAATGCCCTGTATAGCTATCCTTATCTCAACCAGCAAAAACCCTTGTTCCTTCCTATTATTACTTATACTCTCTCTTCAACAAAAATAGAGATAAGGGCAAAATAGTTTCTGCCTGGTATTGAGGGGGTGGGGGGGAGAGGGAGGGGGCAGAGGGGAGAAATGACCCAAGCCTTGTATGCACATATGAATAATAAAAAAAAAAGATTGGAAAGGAAAAAAAAAAAAGAGGGCTCTACCTGCTTTCATTGTGGTGAGGAAAGTCACCCTAGACATCTGGGAAGTCACATCCTGCCAGCATTTCTCAGTCTTAGGGCCTTGAGACGGTAAAGTTCAAATTCTCTTGGTAAGGTCATTTCTAATTCTCTTGGGATGATATTGTCACCTTAGTGGATATCTTTAACACCAGAAAGAACCAGAATTAATAGAGATGATGAGATTATTTATACTTAAGAGTTTTATTATCTTTTTTTCTGTTTAGCATCTTTAATACTTTGCCATTTTGAGGATAATTAGCATATACATAACGATAACCTTGTGGTTCCAATTTAAATTGTGTAATTGGTTTGGAATTATAAGTTGAGGATGTGAAAAAATTTAAAGTTCTTAAGTAGTTAGTATTAGACTATTTTTGAGAACCTTAGATTCACTACTCTTAGGTAGTTTCATTTGTTAATTTTATAAGAGTTAAATATTTGGGAAGGCTTATTTGTAATCGTGATTTTAAAAGAAAATTGAACAGGCTTTTTTTTTTATAAATGGGGTTTACATTTTTAAGGACATTATTAAGTTGCATTGGCTCACTTGAATTGTATTAAAATTTAATTTGTTTATAAATAGAATAATAAGATTTGTTAGCTGAATGAATTTATCTTTTTTTTTTTTCTTTTTTGATGGTACTGGGGGGTAAGCTCAGGCACTTGCACTTGCTAGGCAGGCATTCTACACTCGAGCCATACAAACAGCATTGTTAGCTGATTTTAAAAACCTGAAGAAGAAGTAGACTTTTGAATGTGAAATTATAATTTTGATAAATCAAATATTAAATTTTGAAAACCTAACTATCCAATGAACAATGGTTTTGTGTACAAAAGCCATTTGTAATGTGCCATAAAACCTCATCCAATAAATAAGGCATATTATAAGTTGTTGTTCTGTTGATTCTCCAAAAGCATACCATAATCTTTTTCACTTCTCAGAAAATATACAGCTTGAGCCAGGTGCTGGTGGCGCATGCCTTTCATCCTAGCTACTTGGGAGGCGAGATCAGGAGGACTGAGGTTCAAGTCCACCTCGGGCAAATAGTTCAGGAGACCCCATCTCCAAAATCCCAAAGCAAAATGGACTGGAGGTGTGGCTCAAGTGGTAGAGCACCTGCTTTGTGAGTGCAAAGCCCTGAGTTCAAACTCCAGTCCCACTTTCCCTTTCCCCCAAAAGAAAATATACATCTCAAAATCAAAATGCAGTCATGACAGTAATTTTAGGTATCTGTGGCTCTACCACTGAGCTATATCCCTAGTCCTTAATTTCTTAAAGACACAGAATCACTGTGCTCACCCAGAATTCTTTTGAGTTTGTTGCTTTTCTATTGTGATTTTCACCTGGTTCTTTATATTTGGTTGAGATTTTTGTTTGGTGATTGTGTGAACTGAAATATTTATCCATGTTATACTAATTCCTGGTTTCCTGCTACCAAATGCATGCCACTAACATTTTCTAATTTATATTAAAATAAAGGGAGCAGATAATTCAGAAATTAATCATGTGGAATTTTTTTTCTCTGCTATGCTTGTTCTTTTAAAATGATTCTTTTTTTGCTGTGTATTTTTTTTTTTCAGTATCATTCTTCCACTTCCTCAGAATGTAAAGGATTATTTACTGGATGACGGGACTCTGGTGGTTTCAGGAAGGTAAAGTATGTCAGAAAAAGAATTCTTTAAGCTTTGTAGAAATGTAATGATAAAATCTCAACATTTATCATATAAAATGAATAAATTAGTTTGGACACCATTCTCTCATTTTAGCTTGTTTTATGTTTTTTTTCTTTTATTGTTTTTACATTTACTCACATGTGTATACATTGTTTGGGCACCCCTCCCCCCCCCAGTTTTTTTTTTTTCCTGGTTAAACTAAGTGCTGCTCTTCATCCCATATTCAATGAATATCACTTCCCTCTCTAATAATAACTAATTACCAAATCGAGCAATTTCTTTCATGTCTGCATTAAAGAAACAGCTTTATGCAGCTTTATGAGTGCAGGGGCTTAGCCAATTTCATTCATCCCAGCTTTTGGAACAGTGCTTTATACATAAGAGTTGCCTAATAAACATTTGTGGGATAAATGAAACTTAAACTCGTGAATAGAGTTGTGTGTTCCCAGTAACACTAACTTGACCTTGTATTTTTGCCAAATGGACTTTTAGTATAGCTTGCTCAGTTATATTTCTGGGTTTTTGATGTTAGTTTTGCATTCATAGCTCTTAATCTGAAAGTTGTTAATGTAGAGCCTCATTAACTTGGGATAATTGGAAGATAAGGGAGTGGCAAAAAAGTATACAATATTTACAAATACAATTTTATTATTTTCAAATATAGCATATGTAATAAGCTTGCGTAAGTGATACTGTAGTATAAACGATTCCTAATATTAGAAGATACTTTGTAAGTTTCACTGTGTAAACATTGAAGAACTCCTAGGTTGATTTTCCTTGGCCAGATGTTCACATGAGCTTCCCGCACAGGCAAGCACTGTGGTGAACAGTGGTGACAGTGCTGTACAGTGCCCAGTTTGGTTCTGTGCCGTGCATTAACGCATAAATCTCATAGACAGCCTGCCCTTTTGGAGTTGATAGTTCAGCTTTATATTTTGTGGGAGTCGAAACAGCACAGTGCTGGTTCTTCAGTCCAGTGGCTTAGGTTCAAATCATGTTTGCTATGTTCTAGCTCACCGGGTCTGTAAATGAGACAAATGATTGTGTGTGGGACTTACCTCATTGGGGTGTTGCAAGGATAGAAGCAATATGTGCAAGGTGTTACCCCAATGCCCAGTATATTGTGTGTTCTTAAGATACACTAACTGCTCTCATCATCATTAGTCTTAGTAAGTACTGGCCTTAGAGAAACACTGGGATCAGTGCTGTGAGGGAGACTGGGACTGGGCAGCACTGGTATTAACATGCTGGGAAGACTGAGGATGTGGGCGTGCTCTGGAAGTGTGGTAAGGAGGTAACTCTACAGCCTCTGAGATGAGAGGTTTGGGAGAAGGTAGTCAATTGAAGGGTGTGAAGAAAGGATCTTCCAGGCTGAGGAAAGAGCATTGATGAAGACTCTGAGGCCTGCAAGATCTTGACAGGTAAGAAACTAGGAGAGGGTCATGTGGCTGCAGCACAGAGCACTTGTGACAACAGCAGAGGCAGAACTGACACTGACACTGTCTTTCTGCCTGTAGAGTGCTGCTTTTATGAGCCAGCTTTGTGTAAGTGGGATGCAGAAAGTGTAGCATCCTAAAGATTAGCCGCATACTTTGATCCATTCAGTTCTCAGGATTTGGAGGATGACTTGAAAAAGCCAAGCCTACTAAACTTGCAAATTTTAAAATGTCATCATCTTTTACACTGGACAAATTTTGTGTTGTAACTCAGAATGACATTATGAAAAATTCTCTGAAGAGCTATGAATACGATTACAAATGCATCTTTAAATGTATTCTGTTACACTAACAAAAATCGTAAGTGACTTTTGGAACACAGGCGCATTCCATCAGTTGTGTGGACAGCACTTCACGTTTCCTTTCTGTGTCTTCCTTCATCCTGTCAGATCTTCCCTGTCTCTGGCAGGACTTTCTCATGTGTTTGGGTCAGAGTCGTAGATAATTCTTACAATATCATCACAGGGGGAGTTTAAGTTTTTCTCTCTTGGGTTTTGGTAATTTCTGAGAAGTCAGAAAGTTTTTATTCTGCTGTCTCTGGCACTGTACCATCGTTAATTCCATATTGTTTTTGTCAGCTTCTTTCTCAAAAGGTAAACTTTTCCTTATACTGCTTTCTAGTTCTAAGACTGGCTAAATACACTGAGTGTACTTGAAATTATGAGCACCTGGTACCTAAGTCTTTTTCTTGCTTAATTTTTGCTTTGTATTTTTTAGGGAAGATCCACCAACATGCTCACAGCCAAACAGTGATGATGAAGCAGAAGAAATACAGGTTGGTAGAAAATAAAACAATCTGTTCTGTAGACTATCTCACTTAAATGATTTCTGACGTGGTTTTGACATTTAAATCTTACCTTTGGTAAAGTGAGAAATTATGTGAAAGTCTTGTATTTTTACACATAAATAGAAGATGTACTTTTACCTAGACTGTGTTCAGTGAAAGATGCCTCACGTTTACGCATCATCTGTAGGTGGAGCACTGACTTTGCAGTCCTAGTTCAGTATTTAAGTTTAACGTTTTGTTTCTGTCCTCTTGTCCATGCAGTGGTCTGATGATGAGAACACAACCACGCTGACGGTAAGGAAAGCAGCCTCACACTGTCACATGAGAGCTAGCATCAAGGTTTAAGTGCTACCTATCTAAATTCTCATGTATTTGCTACTCTAATATCTTGTTGTGTGTAGACTATTTATTATTCTGAAAAATACCTTGAATCATTGTTTAACAGGAAAACATGACTTGATTTTTTTCTCTTTGATTACAAAGAAAATATTTAAAGTGTCTCTTATTTCTGTTATGCTCTGGGTTTTTTTCCCCCCTTTGGTTTGTTGTTTGGTTTGTTTTGTGTTTGCTTTGGTGCTACTGAGGGTTGAACTCAGAGCCTTGTTCTTACTAGGCAGGTGCACATGACTCATGCCCTCCCTCCCACACCCATCCCTTTTTTGCTTTGGATATTTTTGGGATAGGGTCTCCAGTTTTTGGCCTGGCTGGCCTGGACCTTGATCCTTTTATTTATGCTTCACGTAGCTGAGATGATAGGCATGTGTCACCACGACCAGCTATTGGTTGAGATGGAATCTCATTAACTTTTGCTGGATCTGGTGTAAAGCCTCAATCCTCCTGATCTCAGCCTCCTAAGTAGCTGGGATTTTTTTTTTTTGCTCTTACAGTTCTTTGTCTTTCTTTTTTTTTTTTTTTAATTATTCATATGTGCATACAAGGCTTGGGTCATTTCTCCCCCCTGCCCCCACCCCCTCCCTTACCACCCACTCCGCCCCCGCCCTCTCCCTCCTACCCCCTCAATACCCAGTAGCTGGGGTTATAGACGTGAGCCACTACTCCTGGCCTGTTTGTTTTTTTTAAGATAGCGTCTTACTATATAGTTCAGACTGGTGTGGCATTCACTAGGTAGCCCAAACTGGCCTTAAACTCAAAATCTTCCTGCCTCTGCCTCCAAGTGCTGAGATTATAGATGCATGTCACCAAGCCTGGCTCTTCTGTTACACTCTGAAAGAAGGAAACAAGCCAAACATAAATTCTGAGGTTCTCAGATTTTACTTATTTACTTATTCAAGTATATTTAAATGATATAAATTAATATATACTTATTCAAGTATATATTAATAATATATACTTATTCAAGTATATATTAGTAATAAGTATATATACTTATTAGTAATATATTAGTAATAAGTATATATACTTATTCAAGTATATATATAGTAATATATACTTATTCAAGTATATTTAAATGATATAAAGTTATAATTTCTTTTATTTGAGACTAAAGTAGGTGATTTCAACCAATGTTTTGTATAAAAATGAAGACTTTGAGCAAGCATTTTTATAGGATAAGAATGGTGTTATGAAATTCATCTAAAATCTTTTTGACCAAAATATTTTCTTAGTGTACACTAAAGTACTTAGTATAAAAATTTTTTTAAATGCTAAAGTAAAGCAAAAAGTATGTTTTTGTTGTTGTGTTGTTTTTTGCTTCTAGGGATTAAACGAACATGCTAAGCAGGAGCTCTTGCACTGAGCAATACTCCCAGCTCCCCTAAAATGTATTTTTTTTTTTTTTTGGTGGTACTGGGTTTGAACTCAGGGCTTCCCATTTCTTAAGCAGGGACTCTACCACTTGAGCCATGCCTCCAGTCCAACTTCTCATACCTTGAAAAAGACTTTTTTATAAAATTTCTTACAAATAAATGTAAAGGAAACTAGTTTTAAGGGAGGGTATATTGCAGTACAATTAAGAAGATACTTCTGTTAGAAAAGAGGAGGGAGAGACCAAGACCTCTACAGCCCTGCCCATGCTTTATTTCTCAGTGGTGAGGGGCGTCCTGCACTCTCGACAGCTGAGATGCAAGCCATGCCAGGGGCTAGGGGTGAGGAGCTTTTATGGGGTAGGCAGCCAGGGAATGATAAAGGGAAGTGTTCTTGTGATTTCAGACAGCTGTGTTTTGCAAGCAGTCAGGAAATAATAAGGGGAAGTGTCCTTGTGGTCTCAGGCAGCTGTGCCTTTCATTATGTCAGAGGTAACTTAGGCAGCTTGGGGGTCTCCACTTGGGACTTCAGGGACCCTGGAGAGTTAACCCTTTATTTCAGACCCTGAGGGTATAAAGAAAGGAGGCACCATGGGCTCATCTGGCTACTTCCTGCTGAAAAGGGGCGGTGTGGTGAGCCTGGGGTGAATAGCTTGTAATAGCAGTAGGGAGCTGAGCTGAACTGGTCCTGTATTGTGGTGTTTTCTTGAAGAAACCAGTCAGCAAAGAGGTGTAGGGTTATTTATCTTAAGTGTTAGCAGGAGCAGACAGTTCTTGCATCAGCAAAGGTGAATACACAAGGAACTGGAATTTTATTTTTTGTACCTGTTGAGATGTAAACTTAGAGCGAGCATTTATTATGCAAGACCTGAATAGAAGTAAGAGGAGGAGCATAAAAAGGGGGCCAGCCAAAAGTAATTCCCAAGGAGCCCAGCTCCTTATGTTGTTCCAGAAGGACCATGAATTGGCTAGCTCTTGTCTCCTTTTTGTAATGGGCTCTTGTAACTCCTGGGCCATGTTTCTGACCACCCCAGATTTGTTAGTATAAAAGCAACATTCTTCATTTGGGAAAAAGCATGTTCCACCTTTTTTCAGTGGTTAACAGGTCCAGTGCACATCTATTTTGGAGCACCATGGAGGCGAGTGAATCTACCTCATCCTGTAGGGCCACTATGGACTGTGAGACCCGTTCGAGGTCATTGTTAAACTCTGTCAACAACTTTTGGTAGGTATAGATTGACGAGGAGATGCCTCTAATGCCTACACCTATTCCAGCTGTGATCCCTATGGCTACTAGCAAGGGAATAATTTGGATAGCAATCTCTGATTGTGTGTAGGCTGCTAAAGGAATAGGGAGAGGTTGGTCGTTAGGTAAACAGTGACTTGCAGAGTCACGAAGCCCAGCGTGCAGATCCCTTTCCACTCGGGAGGCAGGCAGGCATAAGCTGTGTTTCCACAAACAAAATGGTTCCAGAATGAGGTGAACTTAGCGGGAAAATGACAGAACAGTCACTGGAGTTGTTTTATTACAAAGCTCTTTAGGAATATTCCCTACTGATCTTGCCCCCTGTGGGCTTTGGAAGCAGTGGGGAGCTGGATGGGTGAGTATGACCCTGACCACATGGCGGGGAGGAGCCGAGTTTTTATAGGATGAATTAAGATTAAAGCTTATGTGGGTAGCCAATACATGTGGGAATATTGGAGACATAGTGAACAATTTTCAGCTAAAGAGGGGTTGTATCATTTAGGAGATGATGGGTGGAATCAAGTAGTTTGTGTATCTGGGGGAGGGGGTCTATGTCACAAGTCCTATTGCATTGAGGAGGGCTTTTAAGCCCGTTGTTTGGGTTAGACTCCTAGCAGACACAGCCCGTCATCCTAGGGCAGACTGGATCTGCATAACACCAATAGCTATTAGCTGTTAAGTTTCCAAATGAATATTTTCTTCTGTTTGTATAACAGGAAAAGACTTTGTCTGCTCTGTAACATCTTTGTGGCGTATGGGAATAAGCAGAGGTGCGGGACATGGTGGCAGTGGTGGGTCTACAGGGGCTGGAGTTAGATTATCAAGAGATGCAATTATAGCTGGAGGAGAGGGGATGGTAGGAAGAGGGACAGGGTCGGAATTACATCTCCAGGAGGTATGACTGGGTAACATACATAACACAAATCCCGGCGTGGCCCCGTTATGTAAGTTTGCCCCTCATGGAGGCAGGAAGTGGGTCCTTATTTGACACATTGATCAAGTAAATTTTGAAAATTCCAAGAGGGGAGGCAATATATGCAGCATTTACAGGGAGGGTAGGAATCCACTGCTGCAGGGTAGAGTAAGGCACAGATTATAAGAATAAGTGCAGGATAAGAAATAGGGCACACAGGATAAGGTATCCACCACTTAAGGCTGGGGCCATGTCCACTTAGGGAGAGAGGTAGCCCACGAACCAACACTCAAGATAAGGGGAACAAGAATGTAAACAGCCCACAAAAAGAGGGGGAGAGGAAATATAAGTTACGTATCTGATGTGGACAGATCAGGAAGTCATTGGGGAGAATCCTGGGGCTTCTTTCTCTTCTTGGATGGGAGGTAGATGGGATATCCTGTGGTAAGGAATAAGTGAGGCAAGAGAATTATAAGCATTGGGGTAGATGATGGGCAAAGAGTAGGAGGCAGAGGCAGAAGGAAAAAAACTCAATTTGGTCTGGGGAAAAGTTGGCGAAAGTTCCAAGGAGCCACAGGTCAACAATAAGATCAGTGGTCTGTGAGAGGGTCAGGCAGAGGTCTGGAGCATAGAACTGAAGAAGGTCTGATAGGAGAAGGTTAGGAATTCACAAAACTGTTGGAGGGAGGTCTTTTATGGGTTCAGGATTTCTTCTTTTTCTGGGGTAGGAGGTAGGCGGGATATCCTCAGAGAAGTGGGTCTTGTAGGGGTGGAAGGAAAAGAAGGAGTTTGGAGTTTGAGCCCGGATGTATGGACACAGGAAGGATGTCCCTGGAGCTTGGCTACTGTGGGGGTAGTCAGAATGACCTTAAAGGGTCCTGTCCATTTTGGAGAGAGGGATGTGGGAGGGCACCATGTGTGGAGGGGAGACATACACTTGATCCCCCACCTGAATGGGGGAATTATTAGCGGGATGGGGAGCTGGGAGGAGGGAGTCTGCATACTTCCAGAGGGTATTTCGAAGACAGGTGAGAAGAGGAAGGTGGAGGGAGCAAGGGAGGGAGGATGGTGACAATGTTGGGAGACCTGGAGGTAGGAAAGGATGCCCAGATAGGAGCTCAAAGCTACTAAGGTTGAGGGTTTTTTGGGGGAGGGCCCAGAGATTGAGCAGGGCCAAAGAAAGGAGCTTAACCCAATCCTGGTGGATCTCAAGACCCACTCTAGTGAGGGTGTGTTTTAGGGTCCGGTTGGTACACACAACCTTGCCTGAGGATATTGTGGGTGGTAAGGAATGTAGAATTTCCATGTAATTTGGAGGTATTTGGCTCCCTCCTGGGATATGGAGGAGGTGAAATCTGGGCTATTGTTGGAC